CCGCTCTTCCTCACGGCAGGTTGAGCAATTGCGGGGGGCACCGTGTCATCTTGACCTCCTTGGTTTCCCAATTGATCTCTGGGTTATGTTTCCGCAACCAGGAATACCCCAGGATGAGGTCTTGCTTGCCAAGATGGGTGACGGCCAGCTGAACTCGTTCGGCATGGCCCTTGTAGCGCAGGACCAAGTCCGATCTCTGTTTGATGGAGCCAGCGTCATTGGGGGTGCCATCGACATTGAAAACCGGAATCGGCTGATCGAGGGTGCGGACCGGAATGCCATTCCGAGCAACATAGTTCGTGTCAATGAAGTCGGAGGTGGCACCACAGTCGACAAGCCCAGAGAGTGAGAGCTTCAACGCCTGGTGGTGGACTCGAGCTCTAACGGGAGGTGGAGGGAGTTCGCCCCAGGGGCAGCGGCAACGGTGTACTGCTTGGGCAGTTTCTTTTCCCAGGCAGTGAGGCGGCGGAGGACGATGACCGGAGTCGCGGGCGGAGTCGGAGACGGAGTCGAGGCGGGGGCAGGAGAGGGTGTGTCTTTCGTTTCGGGCTCATTGTAGGGCAAGGAACTGCATTCATCATACAAAGAGGCAAAACGATTTATAGACGCGAACGAGGGCACACCAGTCACTCGTCGCGGGGACAAAATCCTCTCCGGCCATCGACTCTGCTGCCGTCTCCGGCAGGGCAGCTGTGTCCGTGTAGCGGGCGATCAACTCCGCTAACATCTCATCACCGAGTTGTTGGATCACCTCGTCGAGGATGTCCATTGAGCGGACATCGGCGGGGAGGGGGCAATCCCGGCGAGATGGTTTGGGTCGCCGCACCTGAAGCAGGCGCGACGAGGGGCACCCCGAGCCCTGGTGCGATCCAACTCCATAGGGACGGGAGCTGGAGGCGCCGGAGCGGGGCGCGGGCCGCGGGTGGCACGACCGGAGCCGCCGGGCGGAAAGGGGCCGGAGCCGGGATGCGGTTGACCGGAAACGGAGTCCGAATCAAACCGCCAGGCGTCTTGGGGGCGGCTGACTTGATCAGCTTGGCCCGGACCAGGGCCTCGTATTGACGGAAGGCCCGGGTGCGCCAGCTAAGGTAATCCCGGAGGTCCGGGGGTCGTTCGAGGACGTGATTCCGTTGTTGATCAGGGGATCAAGTCCGTGGCGGAACTTGGTCACCTTGACCAGCGCGTCTTCAATCCGGCGAGGTCCATCAGGTCCTCGAAGTCGTCGGTGTACTGGTAGACATCCTTTGTACCCATGTGATAGGCGGAAGTCTCCAGCTTGGAGAGAGCGTGATCTTGCTCATTCTCCTCGACGAACCGGAGTCGAAACTCGAAACGAACGAGCCCCAGGACGGAAACGGAAACGGGGCTTTGCTTCCGTGGCGCTCCGCCCATTGCTGAGCGGGTCCTTCTGCCATAAACGACATGGCATAGCGGACAGCCTTTTCCTCGCCGCCTCTCCGTTGACCACGAAGGCCTCAGGGGCAAGGCGGGCGTAGGTGCGGACCGCGTAGAGGAAAGGCGGCCGGCGTTTCCGGGTCGCCGTTGAAGGTGAACGGGGGGTTTGGTCGCAAGACCAATTTTGAGGCGAGGTTGATGTCGCCAAAAAGGGCTTCGAGTCGCCCTGGACCGGAGTCGGAGTCGGAATCGACGTCTCCGGCGATGGTGTTTGGGGTCCGCCAGCATTATTAGCGGCGGCAGCGGCAGCGGAAGCCTGGTTGGTGAGTAAAGCAAGGGCCTCAGTTAGGCTATCGATTTTCGCCTCGAGTGAGTCCAGCCGGGCGTCTGCGGTAGGAGTGACTCCGGACGGCATGACGGGTGCGGGGACCACAGGAGTAGAGGAGGAGGGGACAAGTGGCAGGGGCGGTGACGAGGGCGGAACGGACTCGTACTCGAGCCTGAGTCAGCGCCGAACCTGGCAATCTTGTCCGGTTGATCCCGTAGAGAGTTTCTTCTGCTGTAAGGGCAACCCCGGAGGCCTGAGATCAAGGTCCTAGCAGGGGAGGATCCGAAGAGTGAACATTGGTAAGCGAATACAAATGAAGCTGACCTAGCAGGGGAGGATCCGAAGAGAAGAAACTCTAAGGGTCCGCCTGCTAGGTAGCTGACTATATACTGCTTGTCCGTAGCTGCCGCTGTCGGGCACAGAAGGCTTGGGCGGCGTCGCAGGCGAGGTCCCAGGGCGACCGTCGGGAGGGCGTTGACGGATCGGTGATTGTGCGGGCGAGATGGAGGGCCGGACCGGAGACGGAACCGGAGTCGGACCGGAATCGGAGGCGTCTCCGAGGGGCCGAAAGGGAGGTTCCCCTGACAGTCTTCCCTTGGGTGAGGCCTACTGCCGTTAAGGCTTGTGCCTACTGCAGCACCCCAGGCTGCACACCCTCACACCTCCACCTCTCCGTAGACATCCGGGGACATCTCCGACCCTCTGTCGCTACCCTCCAGTGGTCATGGCTGGCCGCCATTCCCATTGGTCCTCTCCGAGACTCCCCGGCCCTTGGACCAGACCAGACTCCTTCTCTCTCCGCTCCATGCCTCTCCCTCTCTGTTTCCAGCTGTCACGTCATGGTCCCAAGCAGAGATGCCCAGAGGCAGTCTGGACCCCAAAGCCCTTTCTGGGCCTTCTAAGGATGCCTGGGCTTCTCCCTTGGCATCACGGTCCCAGACCTGCTTCTCCAGAGCTTCGAGGGCTACTCAGCATTCACTAAGGGTCTATTAGCAATACCTGACCTCTTGTCAAAACCTGGGTTCAAAAACCCTTTTTCTTTACCCTTTAAACCTTTTATTTTGGCCCTGGTTGATAAGATAAGACAAGGAGGAGATAAGATGGACGATAAGATGGTGATTGGATCATCAGATGTCGATGTTGATATTGATTGACAGCGTGGAGTTGGACATGAGGCAAACAGTATATAAAGGCATGACTAAAGTATAATGTCATTGCCTCTCGTATTAGACATAGTAAACATATGGTAGTAGTGTATATAAGTAGAGTAGATTTTGTCTTGTACCCCAGTCTTCGAATTGCATCATCTTTACGATATCTTTTCACAGTGCTTCTTGCTTGCCTTCACTGGCCAACTGGCATCCTCTGATTTGATGTTGTTTGTGACATGTACTCATTGAATACATCTGAGTCCTTCCTTGTATCTCCCGCCCCAGCAGCCCCACCCCTGCATCAATATCTGTCCCGAGCGACTCCCAGACTGACCCGTGTTGATTTCCAACACATTTATTATTAACAAACCATGGTCATAAAAAGCTAGTCTTAATATATTCTAAATGTTATGCTCTAATACAGAACTTTATTTCTCCTTGACCGGATTATGTGTTCTTTTCTTGATTATCAATTAAAGCTACTAAATATTAGAATTATGTTTTGCTTTGGGAACAATCTTTAGCAGAAGCCCTGGTGTGATTTAATACTTTGAAGGAATATTACTCTCACCAGTCTCAGACCCAATTGCTACTACAATGCTGTATATGTAGGACACTTTTTATTTACAGCTAATCAGTTTGTGCTATACTGCTTATTGGCCCTACCTTAAATCATACTGACCCATTTCATTTAATTCTGTCAGTCACAATCACATTAGACTTCTTGGCTGAAAAGGACCTGTGAAAGTCCCTACTGAGGTAGGATACTGAAATCCGGACAAAATTTTGAATTTTTTTTGACAGAGGTTTGACCAGAATTCAGACAGAAATCGAGCCCGAAGCAGACATCTTTGATCTGAAATCTGGACAAGAGAATCAGGGCTTGGACAGGTCGAATCTGAGTCTAGATAAAACTGCCAGGCTGGGCAGGAAAATCATCTGAAAGTAGGCAAAAATGTGATATTTACTGCAAAATCAGGCTCAGAAGAGGGGCAATTGGAGGCTTGTGAAAATATTGTCCTTTCCATCAAATTTCAATAGAAATAGCTTTTTCAGCAATTTTTCAGCTACTTTTTGTACTGTGAGACTTTTTGGAGGTTAGAATGGAATCTGGACAAAAAATTAGCATTTTGGCTATGTCTGATCCAAATCCGGACAAACTGAGTCAAGTACATATGATGTCTAAAAAATCCGGACAAATTTCAGCCGCAATCATTTTCAGAATCCTACCTTAGTAGGGACTTTTACTGGTCCTGGGCAAAATATTTCAGTAGGGCACAGGTCACAGTCAAATTTTTCAGTCCCAAAGCATCCCAATTGGGAAGATTTTCAAATTTTCCATGCCTGTGGCACACGAAATTTCCTAATCGGATAATAGGTCATACCAAATTCAGCAATTAAACATTTCAGCCAAATGGTCATGGGTCACAGGCCCTGCTGAATTGATTGAAATGGGTCAGTAACATAGTTTAGCAAAAACAAGTAAATTTACATCAGGATAAACAGACGATATGACAGAATTTGAACAAGGAGCTGGCAGAGAGTGTGACATGACAACCACTTAATTATCTCCTTGTCGCTCAGTCATAATACCTAACAACCAGCTACACCGACGCCCGCAAGCTCCCATGAAAGCGGCTGCTGGTCTAGAGGTATGATTCCTGCTTTGGGCTTTATCCGCTCTTGCAGGAGGTCGCCGGTTCAATCCCGGCGTAGCCCCTTTTTGGTGATCTTCCCTGTTCTATATTTATTCGCTAGAATCATTTGAACTGCGAACCATCTGTCATAAGTTGCGGGTGGTGAACTCACTTCTCCCCCCATTAAGCCCAGTTAATCTGCTTATCAGCCTTTTTCTATTTTGTTGCCTGCTCATTGAACATTCTCAATGCTTCATTCTGCTTCATTAAAGTTGGAGACACAAAAATATGCTGACAGTAGTCGTCTAAGCAAACTGCTTTCCTTTTCATCCATATATATTTTGGCAGCTGTCATTTCATGCCTCCAATGTTTTTCTTTACACTATGTACTGTATCAAATTTTTCGGAATGGTGAAATCAAAAATGACGTAGTATCTCCTGGGTCCGTCTATTTTCCCACCATAACCTTCATGCGATAATCCAAAGCAAATGCCGAACACACAAGGGTCATCGAGCTCACCTCCCTCCGCATACGTGTACCCGGCCAGGTCGTTGCTAAGCAGCTCTATCCAACCTGCTTCGCAACCAACGACTGATGATGTAGCGACTCGGACGATGGTGGATATCCGATCTCGCCAGACCTCAGCCCCAACTGACAGTCGCCCACCCCATAAGCGAACTTCCACCACCCTCACAGCAGCCGCCATAACACCTCGCCGTCCTCGATCCGTTTCTGACTCGTCAGTTTCACCAACACCTGCTGAATCGCCAAAAAAGAACCGCAGGAAACGTCGGCAGGGCTCAAACAACACTCCCAACTTTCGCCACTTCCCAGGTGAAGCTGGACCCTCCACTCTCCCCCGAAAATTTTCAGCCACCAACTCCGCCGGTCCCGCAGAACTTACCCCTGACAGTCTCGCGGTTTTATCGACGTCGACATCTATTGCATATGTTGCTTCTCCGTCTGAAAGCCCCTCAACAACCATAACAACTCCACCTGAACCACGCGCACGTCCAAAACAGGTTCCTGTGAGCGACGACCCACTCCCTCCAGAAGAAGTCCCCGACGCGCCTGACGCTTCCTTCTTGGCCCCATGGAATACCGATATCGTTCATTTACCCCCTCTCCCCACTTCCTCCGGCGCGGCGTCTCACAGCGAACGCTCTGTGGCTATCTATCCTCGCCTACCAAGTAGTTTGGGCAGTCGAGAACGTTCTGCCAGTCGATCCTCAACATCACAGCTGCGACAAGATAGCGAGCCTCCGGAGAACCAAGGGAACAAACAGAACAAACTCTCTAACTCTTCCCAAACATCTCTTTCAAACGGTATATCAGGCTCCGTTTCTGGTTCAGCTTCTGGCTCAGACGCTAGCGACTTATTCCAATTCATGACTGTCCGTTTTCAACACTCTCAAGACGATCACGGTCACCATGTTATCATTGGACGGGAGGGGAAACTGTCGCGCTGTGAAGACGAGGCGAGTTTCGTTTGTCCGTTGCATTTCCCCTTATCTGAATGCTATTGTAGCCAATACGCACGCCTGGCGCGGTACAGGGGTTCGGCGTTTTGATAGCTGTGGAAGAGTTGGATGATACGCTATTAGTCCGTCAAGTCTCTGAAGTGCGTCAACCTTTAGTTGTACGACCCCTTGCTAAAGCTAGACACGCAGAATGCCGAAGAACTCCTCGGACTTCCTCCGCACTTCCTTTTCTCTCTCGAATGCTTCACAGACACGCTACCAGAGTCTCAAATAGGTGTTATCTGGGACAACCTTCAGTTCTTATCAGAAACTGACCTCAACGCTCAAGACGAAGAAGGTTCGCCGCACGTGTTTCTCCTGACTGGCTGGGGTGCACCAGGAAGCGCCAAAAATGGCGACCTCACTGCAAACGGCGATCGCCGTGTTTGGACCTGTTGGTGTGCAGTTCATAGACCCTCAGATCCTAGTGGCAATGCCGACACAAGTATCATCATTATGGAATTTGAGCTGGAGCGAGACACATTAAACCCACTTTACCCGCCAATATCAGAAGACACAGGTGCAACTCTAGGCACCCCGGGATCTGTTGGAAGTGGAAGTGGAGGTGGAACAGATGGAACGGGCACTGAGAGAGGCGCTTCTACGGATGGTTCAGCGACATTAATGCCATCCCGGAATGGATCATCGAACGACCTGGGCCCAACATTGTTCGTTCCCAGCGCTGAAGATATTCTTGAAAGTACAACCTCTCGGGCGAAACCGTTACCTGCCCTTGAACGACTCCGACGAATCGCTCGAGGGGAACGACCGCCGACGTCACCCTCAAGTACTCCTTCGGATCCATTAGGAGCACCACAGGGCCTGCCTTTGCGGTCACGTCGTACACGTCGTGGGACTGGCCCTAGTATGAGCGGTGGGGTTGGAATGATGGATGTTTTTGCGGTCATGGCGCAAATCAACGAACAATTGGGAGACGCTCCGGACCTGAACGCGTTCTTGCAGGTCGTGGTTGGGGTGATTAAAGACTTGTCCCAGTTTCATCGCGTTCTGGTTTACCAATTCGACGAAAGTTGGAATGGCCAAGTTGTTGCGGAGTTGATGGAGTGGTCAAAGACACACGATCTGTATCGAGGGTTGCATTTTCCCGCCGCGGATATTCCGGCGCAAGCGAGGCAGCTTTATGGAATCAGTGCGTGCAACACTTATACTTTTACTCTCTAACCATCGCGAAGATAAGGTTCGGTTGTTATACGATCGGTCACAGGCTACTGCTCGAATCGTCGTAAGAAATCGAGAGGACCTCAAGACACCATTAGTGCGTTCAGTCTTCTCCTTTACATCGACAACAACTCTCAATCATTCTAGAACATGACTCATTGCTATCTTCGAGCCATGAGTCCCATACATGTCAAGTGTGCGCATACTTTTAGTAAGTTTTACAACTTAAATGTTGAACCTTCTCTAGATCTAGAAAATATGGGCGTGAGAGCGTCCATGTCTGTGGTGGGTTGTTCGAGTTTTCTATTCGACGCCCAGTTATCAACACTCTTCGCAGTCAATAATGGCGTTTGGGGCCCTCTGGGGCCTTGTTTCTTGTCATTCATATGGCTCTCATGGCATGCGTGTCTCATTTCCTGTTCGGCAAATGCTACGTTTATTGAGTCAATCGATATCAAGAAATATTGAGAGGCTCAGTTACGCGCAACGGCTGACGACACGAAAGTTGGTAAGTGTTTTCTGGTATTTTTGCTCCTTCCAATGACTCTATGGTGGTTAGATCAACACAATGGCAACAGATAACCATCCGGTATGTCAAGACTCTACCGCAGAATATCTCCTGAATGCGGTCAGACCGGCTACATTGTCAGCAACGCGGATGATCTCCTGGGGTTATTTGATGCAGATTTTGGTGTCCTTGTTGTACGTGCGAGCCTTTCGACAAGAATTGGATCACAACGTTTTCAGATCGGTCAAGCTGCCAAAATGCTCGGACCGAACGACCATGGGCAAGAGATCCTGGTAATGACTGAATATTTGCGCCTTAAGCAATTTACGTGCGACACTCCCGTTCTGACTATTGTCTGCACATTCCGACCATTTTACTAGGACGATTCAAGTATCCCAGGGTGTTACCATTGATTTTGAGGACCTTGCGCTTTTGGACGGGCTCGATGTTCTGGCTGGCATGCTCTATGTTCCGCTTTCCAGTGAAGGCAAGGATTTCATATGCTTCCTTCGCAAAGGTCAACCGCGACATGTTCATTGGGCGGGCAATCCAAACTTGAAGAGCGATGCTCCGCCAGATGCGGTATTACAACCCCGGAAAAGTTTTGCGATTTGGTCAGAAACTTTGGCAGGAAGGTGCCGGGCATGGACAGACGAGCAACTGGAGACAGCGGGTGTGTTAGCACTCGTCTATGGCAAGGTCAGGCTAAATCAACTTTATTCATGTGCGTCCTCATTCGCATGCAGTTCATCGAAGTGTGGCGACAGAAAGAGAATGCCCTGCAAACCACGCGGCTTACGAATCTGTTGCTTTCCAATGCCTCGCATGAGGTCCGGACACCATTAAATCATATCATCAAGTATGAATGCTCCTGGCCGATTTCTATTATCCTACTGACGAATCATATAGCTATCTTGAGCTTGCTCTCAATGGTCAGCTGGACGATGAAACTCGTGACAACTTGAACCGTTCTCATGCTGCTTCCAAGGTAGATTCTCTTGCTCATTACCTAACTTTCATTGACCACATTTTTAAGAGCTTGTTGTTTACTATCAATGATCTTCTAGATCTAACAAGACTTGAAAGCGGAAATGAAACCTCCTTCAACGAGCCATTCGATTTGCAGTTCACAATTGAAGATGCAACCCATCTGTATCGTAAAGAAGCTCAACGGAGGAACCTCGATTTCAGGTTAGATCTTGATCAGTCGCCCAAAACAGTCGTGGGGGACGCCAAAAAGATTCGGACAGTGGTTCAAAATCTGACTGCCAATTCTTGTATTTTACAACGCCTCTGCTTTGTGAACTTCACTGACGGACCCACAGTGAAATATACGACTGAGGGCTATATCATGGTCGGGTGTATGCCATACGACGAGCCCGAAGGGCTTCGCAGTTCCAATCAGACGGCTGTCGAGATTGTTGTGGCGGACACTGGCTGCGGCATTCCTCCAGAACGACTGAGTAGCATATTCAGGGACTTTGAGCAGGTAGAATGGGCGGAAACCAAAACTAATACCAATAGCAGTACTGCGGGTGTTGGGCTTGGGCTTGCGGTGGTTGCGAGAATTGTAGAACAGTCGGTCTTTTCCGGTGCTCGACACCGTTGTGTGCTGACGCCTCTGCACAGACTGGGAGGCCAACTGAGAGTTGAATCAAAGGTCAACGAGGGTAGCCGCTTCTCATTTCTAATACCGCTCTCTCTGTCAGCCGACGGCGATGGTTTGATGAAACCCAGAACTCCACCCCGAACGTCTTCGAATAACTCCTCCAAATCGTTGCAAGTCCGGTCACGTCAAGGGAGCCTGGATTCATCTGGAGAAATTGATTCTCTCGTCGAAGCACTTGCCTCAAACCATATGCTTAGCCCCTCCCCAACTGGCAGCAGTTCACATCGAAGGACGCGATCATCCTCTCCAGAGTCTTTGCCTCTGGTTCCCCCTCATAACAATTTACGACCGGGAATATTTGGCGTCTCAGACTCCAGCACACCTTTGCGGCCCATCAAAGTCGACGGTTTCACCTTAGACACCGCTGCTCCAGAAAGCAATCGTTTCTCGCACACCAACTCCATTACCGCATCACCTGATCAACATATATTGGCCGATATTCTTCCACCATCACCCAAGTCGTCCAAGCAGAAGAAACAGATCGTCTCAGATACAGATTCTGAGTCCAAGTTGCGCGTTTTAATTGTCGAGGTAAGAGCTGTCTATCAAAGCTGTAGGACCGGCTTCACTATGGACCATAGGACGATGAAATAAACCGCATGATTCTGGCCAAACGACTACGTCTCGATGGACATGACGTTGTTACTACGACCAATGGCCAGGAGGGTCTCGATAAAGTCACCGGAGACCGTGAATACGACGCCATTCTCATGGACATACAGTCCGTCTATTCATCTACCGTATTGTTTGGAACTTGCTGAACCTGCTTGTAGAATGCCTATTTTGGATGGCTACCAAGCTACAGAGCGTATTCGGACGTTGGAGAAGGAAGACACTGGCCCCAATTCCCGAGTCACGAGTCAGCTCAACGGTGGACACATACCGATATTTGCCGTCTCCGCCAGTCTTCAAGAGAAGCGTCGTGACGAGCTTGCCAACTACGGGGTTGATGGCTGGATACTGAAGCCCATAGATTTCAAAAGACTCAAGGTTTTACTGAACGGAGTTACTGATCCAGATGCCCGTAGTTTGGCAGTATATACTCCCGGCTGCAGCTGGGAAGCCGGAGGCTGGCTTGGACATCCGCCGCCCTCTTGACGGCTCATTTTTCTTGCTCTTCAAGTTGTACAACATCATTGGATTGCAATTTGCAATGGACAGATAGTTTATATTCACGCTACAAACGTTGTCTGTATCAATACCAGGAGATCGCTGTGTATTGTCATTTCAGAGTGTACTCAAGTATAATGTAGAACTAGATGTTTTGGGTCACATGGGCGTGTTTTCTCATCACTAGTGCACGTGCTATGTTTTTTTTTTTTTTTTTTTGAATCACATTTATATTCCGCGGGCAAGTACGCTACTGCTACTAAGGCGCGGTGCTCGTAAAAGCAGCCATCGTGGGTGCGTCGGACAACAGGGCAGAGCCGTTCCACTTTGGGGGTTTATGGTGTAGGTGTCGTTGTGGGCACGTGCTATGTTGTCAGTTTTCTTCGACGCATATGATGTGGCAAGCTCTTGCTCACCTTTTGGCTGCCTGTCCGATATCCAACCGTCGAATTATCGTGCGGGCTCGTTGGGTCCCTTGAGGCTCGAATCTGGACTTTGGCGCCTACTTCCAAAAGGGTCCTACTCAGTCCAAGATCCTTCCAGCCAAATTTCGTGCGTTCTCCATGAGGCGTACTTGCACTTTTGTTAGTCTTCGAGGATAAGTTATGCCTGCATCGCACGCTTCCAACCGATCTTACAAGGTGCATTCTCAGTATCAAGATGCAACTCAAAATGGCTATTGTCTCTTTCTTTCGGGATATATAACATCGCGCTTTCTAGCTGAGCCTGCCTTTTCTTTCAAGTCAACTTGGACTACTACTTCACACTGCGACAATGCCTGCTCAAAATACGCCGAAAATCGAAGGTGGGTGGGTTCTCCTCGGCTGCGAACCATTAACTGACGGATATTCGTCCGCCAAGGTGGTCATGGCGGTAAAGGAGGCGACGGGCATACAGGCGGAGACGGAGGAGTTGGACGCGGCGTTCATATGAACATGACTGACGTCCACCGCTTCGCTCATATCAGAGGTGGGCCCAATCGTCTATTTCATTATAGCGTTCTTAATCCCCAATTTCATAGGCGGAGACGGAGGCGATGGTGGAAAAGGTGTCGGCAAGGGCAAAACGAAAGGCGGCAACGGCGGCGAAGGGGAGGCGCCCCGTTTGTTTAACGGGCTTATCGAGCTGCCGGCCCACACCAAAGTCCCCCGCGTTTCGATCGACACATTCTGCGACGAATACCATCTCGCCACGCTGAAGAAGGGCCTGAAGAAGCACAAGTTCAACTCCGTCGGCGGACTGCTGCTGGTATCGGAAACTGATTTGCAAAAGCTGAAGTTTGGGCCAGGGGAGATAGCAGAGATGAAAGGAGCGTTGCGACAGTTTTGCCGGGCCAACAAGATCAAGACGCTTGATTAGTGTGCAGTGCTCGTAGTGTACGTGGGCGAATTTTCATACATTTTACGCAATTTTGGTTGAGTGAGTCGTTAAATGGTTGCATTAACTTGGGCTTCATTGGGCAGACCCAAGCCATTAAATCGTGATTTGAGATAACGAAAAATTCCCGAACGTAATCAAACGTGAGCCTGGCATGGGTTCTATAAAACCATAGAAGCTCGCCTTTCTATGGGTCTCCACAGGGTATTTCCTGGCCATTGCGATGTTGTCCTTCAAGTTCTGGACCTGGCGTCCTACGACGAGCTTTTTCCGTTTCTTGCCAATCCTCATCCACAGGAGAAACTCAAAGCCGGACCCATCCATGCAAGAGCGGCGCTCCTCGCTTGATTCGTTTGATATGCCGATAACTAGCAGTCCAATACATGACAACGACGAGCCCCAGAGCGATGCACCGTCAACAGCGATGAACGTATTTTTGTTCTCGCTAAGGACCTTGGGCTCGATTTCAAGCAATGTGCCGTTTGGGGGTATACTCAACAGTGCTATTGACCCACTGCTCGATATTCTGAATCGGGTCGATGTAGGTCAATGCCTTTTCATTTTTTGAGTCGCTTGATCTGGTTATAGCAAAAATCCCTGAACGAACGTGGGCTGGTCCAGCTTGCGTCTCGTATCGACATGCTCTCTCCAATCGTTTCCGAGAGCAAGGCCCGTGACGGACAAACATTCATGAAAGCCCTCCAAGGGTGTGTTACTCTTCCGGACGCATGCTGAGAGCGCCGGTTCATGACCTTTGACAGCGAATTCGTTTCGATACAAAGTGATCTGAAGCAAGCCCAGGCGCAAGGCAAGTTGGCGCAGTTTTTCAACAGCGACGACAATGCATCCGCGATCTCGCGGCACAACGCCGCTTTGGCACAGCTCATAGCCGATTCCACGGTCAGCATTGGTTGTCTCCGTCCCGGAAATTGTACTGAGGACTTCTTCTTCAAGTTCGCGAATGTCAATGAAATCTTGAAATCGATCCATGAGCTTGAGGTTCGTCGAGTTCCCCGCTGACAGTGAGAAGACAAGCCTCAAACTGGCTGAACAGGCAGCAAAACTCGAGGCTGTCGCACCAGGTATGGGAAAGCCATTCCGCTTTGCCAGCAGCAGCTGATATAGGTGGTAGGCCGATATGATATTGATGCAATCCGAGGTACTTGGCGCCATTCTCTCGTAGCAGCCGGAATGTTATTTTGAATGCACGCATAGGTGGCACGGGAGGCACGGGCGGCAAGGGAAACATAGGTGGCGCTGGAGGGGCAGGAGAAGGACCGGATGTCGAACTGGACACCGATCCTGGTTTGGATGTCCGGGTCAACAGTATCTCGGGGGGGTATGGGCGGCACTGGGGGAGAAGGAGTTGAGGTTGGCGGAGAGGGGGGCATTGGAAAGGCGCCTATTGTTAGATTCCTGCGTGGACGGAAGAAGTGAAGTTAGTGAACCACTAGTGACCCTCAGGCGAATGTTAATGGAATCATGAACAACGAGGAGTAATGTAGCTGTAGCTTACTTTGCACATTAAGAGATATATATTCAAGTTCAGACAAAGCCTGAAGATATTCGTTTGTCCTTGTCAACCGCCTCTGGCTTGTGTGTGTGTGGGAAACAGACTGCAGAAAAATGGCTCTTTCTTTGCATCCGGCCACATATAGAAAGCTGGTAGCTGTTTAGATTAGATACGAAGAGCGGGTATTTGTCGTCGGGCGAAGAGTGTTGCAATTTTCGCTTCAGTCACGTGACGGGACGTTTTTTTTTTTTTTTTTTTTTTGTATCTGCATTTATATACCGCTACAAGCACACTAACTGCTAAGACGCGGTGGCCAGGACAATAGAGCTGTCTGGCCGCTCGATAGGGTGTTGCGCCGGGTTTGGATTCAGGCCGGTTGTGGTGTAGCGAATGGTGACGGGACGACCAACCGAAGCAAAACTTGGAAGGTTTGCAGTTGGGATGAGTGTGTCAACATCTCATATGTGCTTCACAAGTTCCCGTATGGGCGTCAACTAGCTTGGAACCTCGTCTCAAGTTGGAAAGTCGAATCTTTGTCATCGGATGACAGCGGCCGCGCGACTGCCGGGCCTGTTGACCCGCATCCGAGTCGTTGTTGTCGTCCTCCATGAAGGTAGAAGACATCTTCCACCAGGTATGCTTTCCCCGACTACCAATCCTTTTGCTGAATCGAAACGGCAGCAACCGCCACCAACCAGCAACCCATACCTCTCTGATCCTGCGTTACCCGGGCTACTCAAACGCCTCTTGCCGCCAGAGTTTGCTCCGTTTGCTGCGTGGTGAAGACGTTGAGAAACAAACTCTTAGTGTTCTGGCCACGGTTGAACCAGACCTCATCCGACTGGGGGATGAATTAATCAACGGTGATTGAAACCGCGAGTGCATCGTTTGACCGTCGTTGATTGTTACCTCCTAGTCATTCGCCCAATTGCTCCCCTTGTGAAAGAGCCTACTCTGACCCAATACGACTCATGGGGGAACCGAGTCGACAACCTGCAAGTATCTGAAGGCTGGAAGATCCTCAAAGCGTTCACTTGCAAAGAAGGACTCATAAGCATCGCCTACGAACGCAGATTCCGCGACAAGAGCCGTGTCTGGCAATTTGCCAAAAGCCTGCTCATGGTCGGCGACTGCCATGTGGTACATATATCGCTTGAAATCTCTGCTAAGTATACTCAAGTCCACAGATCATGTGTCCATATGCTATGACGGACGGTGCTGCGAGAGGTGCTTGACACGAGACGACGAGGAAACGGCGTCTGAACTTTATGCAGTCATGGAGCTTGCTGGTTCGACTGAAATGAAGGCACAAGTCCTGCCTCGACTGATCAGGTACAGCAAATTACTACTCATGTTCAGGCTAATTCATTGGAGTAGCTCAGATCCCGATAATGCCTACATTTCCGGACAGTGGATGACTGAGGTAAGATTTGTCTCTCGATTTTGCCGCTCAAACGTCAATTAGTCGACTGGTGGGTCTGACGTATCTCGCACGGAGACAGTTGCACGACCAACCCCCGCCCAGCCGGGCGATCTTGGCCCTGCATACCTCCTCGGTGAGCTATTTTCCTTTCCTTGGAAAATGGTGGGCTGAAATGCAGTAGACGGTTTTAAATGGTTTTCGAGTGCTGCAGAAGGAAACATGTCCGTTGCCCTCGCCCGTTCAGAGTCCAGCCACGGGACTGGCGGACTATCTCTTTTCCTCGTTCCCGTCAGACTACCGCCATTTCCCACTCCTTTATCCAACAACATTCTTCTCCATCGTCTCAAAGACAAAGTGGGCACGAAGGCGGTTCCCACAGCAGAACTTTCTCTCAATGGCGCCCGCGCTTGGCTAATTGGAACCCCTGGGGCGGGTATTCGGACAATTGCGCCGGTTCTGAACATCACCCGCATCCATTCATCGATATCGTCCGTTGGCTCGCTGATGCGATGTCTTTCTCTGGCTCGCGCCTATGCTGGCGTCCGCGAAGTCGATGGTGGCAAGCTCTTAACGACCGTTCCCGCCCACATGGAGACACTCGCGCGTGTGAGCATCTTATATCGCGCGCTAGTTCACCTTCTCTTCGGCGTTATTGGGCTGCTGGGGAGAACCGAGTGTGGATTGGCGAGCGAGGAGGAACAGGTCCGGCTTCGGATGTTGACACCCACAGTCAAGGCCTTTGCGGCATTGCATGCAGTATCAGCGATGGAAGAGTGCATGGCGGCCATGGGTGGCCAGGGCTACATGGAAGAAACGGGAATGGGAAGGTGAGTGTTCTGTTTACCGTCTAGTCCAACTAACCGAGAACAGGCTGATCCGTGATGCCCTTGTGGAGAAGATATGGGAGGGAACGATCGAGGTGCTCGCTCACGATTTAATTCGCGCGAGCCGAGGGAAGGGCGTCGAAATGTTCTGCCGTGTATGCCCAATCTCTTTTCGTTTTCGTAGGTTCCAACCTGTCTTCTAGTGGGGCCAGAGTATCCTCGATGCCGCTCCAAGGAGAACTCCATCGACTGCCTTGTTGCAGAAGACGGTCACAAATCTCCCCAGCATCTTTCTCAAGACACGGAATCCGCTTCTGGGCCGGACGATTCTCACTCTGTTTGGGCACATCTCCAGCGCGCTATTCCTTTTGGAGCATGCCAACTGGTCACGACGCTCGGAGGACACCAGTTTCATCGCAGATGCCGCGGTGTTTGAGAGGTGGGTTGAAGAAGGCGGGCTGAAGGATGCGCTTCAGGAACTCGAGGTCTTGGACTCGGATAATCTGGTGCAAGACCGGATTCGGGATAATTTGTTGCTCGTTGGTTTGGTCAAGGCGAAGCTATGAAGTCACTTCGTGCTTCCGGACTCTTCATTATGCCACATCTGCCATTCAAGTTGGGCTTAATACCATCGATCGGCGCGGATTATTTCCACTTATACCCGGATGCTCTTTCCAAATAGTGAATTCAAAATCGAGGAACTTTCAAGCTTGACCGGTACCGTTGATAGACACTACTTGACCAGAATTTTCGACAATTCCGAGTCCATGTATGTGTATAGATGTCAGACCAGTGTGGTGGTTAAGTTGCCGTGAACTTGAGGCTGTTACCATTCGAGTTCTTTGTTTCCAAATGATTCTTCATAGAAGTCGAAACAAACTGGATTGGATTGACGAAGCTCGTAGAGGAGCAAGTTATCGAAACACTGCTATGAATTGAAGTCGTCGCAAATTCAGAGACAAGGCGCGGCTATGCAACAACTTGCAACAAACGAGACATTAAAAGATGCGAAGAGCCTCCATCTTCTGCAAGAACCTGTGTAGTTTCCAAATCGTGCAGAATTTGATCTGCTTGTTCTGCGGCACCAGACAAATGAGCTACCCGACAGCACGCTGCGTGGATAGCCAGAAGTGTTGGAGATGGAAGTGACGGGACAGGGATACCTTGGGTTGCGCAATCGGCCAATGCATGAGGATCGACAGTGAATGTGACTCGGGCAGGTAAGAAAGCGATCGGATACGGGTCCATTGTCACGACGTTATATGTATTAGGCTGAAGGGCGTTCAGAAAATCGGTGCAAACTTCCGAATGATGTGGATACCTCGGCGTTCACGTCTTCTTCAAACCAAAAGTGCAAGGTATCAAACAACCCATGCAGGGCTGCGCTCATCGATATAGTGTTGAACGTTCGATGCACGTTCGTCCCAAGGAGCATCTCAGAGTTCATACCAAACTTCTCCAGGATTGCGAGTGCACTTGCAGCATAATTTGTCTGGGACAAGAATTAGTTTTTTGAGCAAAGAAATGAATTACATGCTGACTTTGTCTTGTGTTTGAGTACTTTCCTGAGCGGATTCCGAGAAGATGTGGGCACATTGAACCAACCCGGTCTGCCCTCCGACTGCCATGATGTGGGGGCCCAGCCACTGAATCTTCGGGATCGAGCTCAAGTTGAATATGCCAGTGAGTGTACAAGCATAGCCGTCACGAAAGAGAGCCTGGTCGAGATCGTCGAAAAGAATGGCAACAAGGCAGAGGAAGCAAACCTGCTTTCGCGCATCAACATTTGTGACTGGCGCGTTTCGCATTGCCGCCATCAAGTCTTGTCGCATCCTTTCGAAGGAGGAACGTGAAGGGTGTTCCGATTCAGTTGGCGCTGGGACGGTATCGGAGCGAAAGACAGAGGTATAAGATGGTAAATGTGAGTTGTAGGCAAGGATTACAGTACACACAAACTCGGAAGAGATGGTTACGATAGAGCAAACCAAGCTCCCACAATTTCTCGTAGGCACGTTCGAGTTGTGCTTCTGCGCGACACGACGTAATTTCATTGTAGAATGACGAATAAGCCGTCAGGTAGCATGGCCGTTGTTGGTGAGTCCAAAGGTCAAGCAGGAAAAAGCCGACCACTCGAGTCGCAACAAGTCGATCGCCGGATTTGGGCTCGTTGCGCCTGTGGCTTGCTTTTGCCAGTGCTTCTGCCTCTAATATAAATTCCCAGTTGCGTATCGCAGTGGCGGTGAAGTCTTGAGGAAGGTCGGCTACCTTAGGGAGGTCGTGCATGGGTCGTTGGGGGCAAAGGGGTTGTGACAATATGGTGTCACCACCTTTCTGTTGTAAGACTGGAATTTGTTGCTCGTTGGTTTAGTTGCATGAAATATTCAACATTTTTATCTTTATTTTCCCAGTCACGTGGACGTGTTCTTCGCCGTTCGCTAGTCTCGTACCCAGACGTTCTTTCGAGAATCGCTCGCTGCGCGAGCAGAGTCCTGCGGACCGGTCCACGTGACTGATTGGAGATTTTGATGCAGGGATTCTCTCTAGAACGTCTGGGGCAGTTCGTATCAGAAATAGCAGATCCTTGGCAAAGCGATTTCTCATGCCCCCATGCAACTTTTGGGCCCAAAAAAGCGCAGAGCCAGGAGTTTCAAAGACGAGCTTTGCGCTCCAATTTTTTCTGGATCCAACGGAGGTGTCGTTGGATGGCAAGAGGACTCAAAAAAGACCCAATTTTGGTGAAAGAATAAATTTTGGCTGGCTGACAGTTGCCATCAGCTTGAGGATCTGTCAATCCCTATACGAACTGCCCCAGACGTTCCGGTCGCCATTCCTGCACATCAACCTCCAAAACTCACGTGCAGGATCGGCGAAAACCGGAACGGCGGGAACGAGACTAGCCGTTCGCCAGAATTAGCAGAGTACCGCTTGATCTGGTGATGGGCCATCGGCCATGAGACAGGCCTGTCGCATGCACCCGAAACACCATTGCACGGGGTAACTGGGGGTCGTCACCTGGTGTATGCATGGCATTCCCTGGGGGGAGCCATAGGATTCCATGGGGGTATATTTGCTATCTGCCCCTGTTACACATAGTGTTCTACCTCGAGGGCATATAACATTTCACTGACAAGACAAGACAATCATAAACATTACTTAGATCTCAAAGCAATTTAACAGAATGCACAATTTGCTTTGAAAAGTAAATGATTACATTGTAGCTACTCCTACACTATGTCTTACAAAATTACAAACAAACAAAGTCTGTACATAGTACAGATGACGTCTACCTACCCCTCAGTGCAACTTGAAGTACACCAGTGACGGGTGAACCACCAAGGGCCCAGGGAGAATCCACCCCGCCACAGACAAACGAGAGCCCAGGGGGACCCAAGCTGTCCCCCCCGGGCGCTCCCTTGCGTCTGCCCGGGCACAACCAAACAAGCGGCCCGGGCGGTTTCTCACCCGCCGCCCCGGGTACAACCAAACAAGTGCCCGGGTGCTACCAAACAAGTGACCCCGGGCGGATGCCGGCCGGTACCCAGGGTGGCGGGCGAGACTCCACCGGCCCAAAAAGCAAGGGGGGGACAGAGCCACAGCCCGCCCTTACCCGCCGGCCATGCAAACGAGCGGCACAGGAATCCGCCCCAGCGCGGACTCAAGTCGAGCACGCAGCAAGCGGGGAGTTGGTTGGGAGAAGAAGGTGAGCTGGGAGGTTGGGTTGGCGGAGAAGATGGGAGGCAGAGTGGTGGTCATGCTGGGGTTTATGGCCGCGCTGTAGCTAGTACACAGCCCAGCCTGCTGCGAGCGTAGGTGGAAGGAAGAGGTAGGTGGCGTGGAAAGTGCCCGTGTCAGCGGCTCGGTCCAGCCATTTATTTGCAGCTGGGATTCGTTAGGCGGGAGGGATGCTTGAGGAGGGGAAGATGGAAGGAAAGCGGGAGGGAGGAGGGGAAAAAGAAGGAAAAGATGGCGGTGGGCAAAGTTCCCACGTGCTCCGGCGAGCCGGCCGGTTGTGTCCGAATACAGGGGGCAATGGTTATCTTCCCTGGGCATTTGCACAGTCCTCCCCGGGCGTTAGCATCCTTACGCCCACGTGGATAATAGCTAATCCCCAGTGCAAACACATTGACCACCTGGTGTGAACCCTGCTCGACCCCCCGGGCACAACCAGTCGTGTGCATGCGACAGGCCGATGGCCGATGGCCCATCACCAGATCAAGCGTCGGTCTCAGAATTAGAGTCCACATAACAACTTGAACCTCTCGCTGTACATTATTGGTTTAGATGATATTTGTAGCACATAAAAGATAGTTTCATGCGTCAGCTGGAGTTTCCACAAACATCTGGGCCCATATGGCCTCTGGAGCTCGCAATCCTGCTGTTTGACCTGCAGCATTCGCCTTGACCGCTAATTCACGGATTTCCGCCACGTGTTGTACTGTGAGGGTTATATCAGCAGAAGCGGCATTCTCTTCGATGTACTAGGCGTCACCGGTGAGCAAAACAAAGAGGGAAGAAGAGGAGCAAATATACTTTGATTTTCTTCGTTCCCGGAATGGGGATAATGTCATCACCCTGAGCAAGCATCCACGCGAGCGCGATCTGGCCAGCTGTTGCAGGCTTGCCAGAGAGCGTCGTATATTGCGCGCCAATGGCCTTGAGGGAGTCGGCAATGTGCAGGATGTTGGGAAAATTCGCGTCGCTGTAGCGGGGGATCTTACGCCGGAAGTCGTCAGGCGCAAAGTCGTCGGGAGAGCGCTAAGGCTTTATAAGCAAACATGGAAACGGGAATGAAGATGCAAGCGTTACTATTTGGCCAGTCAGCAAACCGCGACCGAGAGGCGAGTAAGCGATGATTTTGATGCCCAGTTCACGGGCTGTCCGGAGTAGGTCGATCTTGGGGTCCTCGATGTCGAGTGTGAATGGGGCGTATTCTACTTGCAGCGCAGCGATGGGGTGGACAGCATGGGCGCGGCGGAGAGTCGAGGCAGACACCTCAGAAAGGTCCAGGTGCCGGACCTTGCCCTCTTTCACGAGCTCTGCCATTGCACGGACGCTGACCTCAATCGGTGTGTTGGAATCAGCGCGCTGGAGGAGCGACAGTGAGACTGAGGAATAAATGAATTGAATAAAGGGCACCTACATGCATATAGTAAAGGTCGATATAGTCGACGCCGAGCCGCTTTAGACTCGACTCGACGCACTGGCGAACATAGTCTGGGGACCCCTTGACCGTCCAGTCATCAGGATTGACGCCAAACTTAGTCCCAAGAAAGATGTCGGCCCGTTTGCCTGTGCGCTTGAACCTGGACCAAATCATCATCATCAGCCAATCAGGTCGAGAAAAAGGATTCACCATTTGCCAAGCAGTTCTTCCGAGTCGAGATATATGTTAGCTGTGTCCCAGAACGTGCTCCCAGCGGCATGCGCGGGCGTCCAGCACCTGTTCAAGTATTGTCAGCACAAAATCGTCGTCAATAGCAGCAAAGTATGACTTTGAAACGCTCTTCATCAGACTCTACACTGCCGTAGAAGCCTGAGATGACCATGGCACCGAAGCCGATGCCAGAAAAGGTGGAGGAGCCGATGTTACGAGTCGCAGGCATTGGATGAGAGAAGATGTCGATGGGATGTTGATAAAAACTGCTTTGCCATTTATACCGGAGGAGTGTGGGGTCGTCATTTTTTGTGTGGAGATGTTAGGCGGTTCCGCTGTCGCGTGGAGTGTGGGCGTCGTTTTCAGCAAAGGAGTTCGGAGCAACAACGGATGTGTCTGATCGCATCACTCACGGATGCCCGCGATGTTGCAGCGATAAGATATTATGTAATGACAACATGTAGACGCGTCCTCCCAAAATGCTACAAGTTCGAGCTTCAATAATGGAACTCATTGCAGGTAACAGAACCTGACCGTGACTCAGACATGTGTGACTTGTCTCAGTCCTTTTTGACGGCCTCCTTCCCAGTTGAATAGCAGTTCGTCGTCTCCCTGAACTCTGGTAGTGGTGTCCTGAATTGATACTTTCCAGTGAATGACTTTACTCTCAGCCATCTTGCCCACACCGACATAACTGCCAGCAATAGTGGCTCGGATGACATACCATCCGACCTTGAGACTGAAATGTGGTATTACGGGATTGGCCAACCAGTACCTCGATGTATTGCTCGTTCTCGTCGCGCGGACCGACCATTTCGGGTCCCTCAAGGCCCCCTGGAATATCTTGTCCGAAAACAGATACTTCCCGCCAAACCACATTCCATAATGACGCCCCTGATGTGGGAAGTAGGGCTTGGTTTTTAAAGATTTTGAAGGTTATCAAACAGTTGGATAAAAATGGCCTCTGAAACCCTGTTTATAAACCGGTTTTTAGGTTTTATAAACCAACTGAGCTGATATGACCAGAGCGACCATTTTTTTTTTTTTTTTGGAAATTTCTGATATAAATTTTGGCCTTTTGACTTGATGTCTGAAAGTTTCATAGGCTGTAGGGGGTTTGAGAGAGAGCTAGAGCCCATCAAGTCTCACTTGTAAGTTAGTATAATATGTTTAAGTTATATATACCAGATGCAATTTACTTGAAGGTATTAGAAGATTTAAGATAAACCCCTTATCAGGAATCCTCTATATGACCTAAAAATCATAATGACAGCAATACTTAATAAGAAATGTGCATAGTTAGTACTTATAGTCACAACCCAGCCCTCAGTACTAGTACTAATCATAGCTACTAGTACTAATCATAGCTAATGTCAGCCAAAGTAGGTAAAGATTCTACTTGATAAGAGACTAGATGTTATAATAGACCTATAAGATATGGTCAAGCCTACTAGTAGTATATAAAAGCAATATTAGTGTGAAGTAAGTCTAGTTTACCAGCTTCTTTCCTTTTTGGGTGCTTATTAATATAAAACCATAAAACAGGGTGTTTCCAGCCAGGCTGTTTATAAACATATAAAACAGGGGTGTTTATAAACCGGTTTACAAACACCCCTATATAAACCAAGCCCTAGTGGGAAGACACCGTCGTTCCAGCACTCATCCAGATACTCAATGACAAACTGCTCTGGACGTCTATAGATTGTGTTCAACTCACCCCCTGGGAAGAAGAAGAAGGCGAAACTGCAGTCACTGCCAAAAACATCGTTTGGATTGCTGTTGTACCTGACACAGTGGAGCGAACACTTGGACTTGTTGTGGTCACGAAGTACGTCTTGCGCTGACTTGTTATTCGTTATATTCAACACAAGCTCCAGTTGCATCCGTGTGCTAGAAAGCCATGGAATCAATAATATCGAGGTTGAAATTCGAGAGAGCGAGGTCTCCCTGCTTGCGGGCCAGCCGGGCCAACCTTTGCTTACTCCGCTATCCAATGACATGGTGGGTGACTTTCGTCATCCATTGACTTTTGCGTTAGGTATTCCCCTTTCGGCTTCCTCGAGTCCTCACATCTTCGGCACTGGCTCATTCTTTCTCAAAAACAACGAAGATCTACTTCTCATTGTTCCGCGTCACATTGTACTTCCCTCTGACATCGACAATTCTGGAAATGTGGTTTTCGATATCGACAACGAAGGCACACCAACGGTCGACATCCTGGTGCCTAGCGAAACAATTCTCTCCAATACAGAGGCCCGGCTTCTAGCAGAAATACCGCGTCAAACATCACAAGATCGTTTACTCGAGCTACAAAGCTTGCTTCGGGATGTGCAGAGCAGGGCCGGGCAGGGTCAAGTCCTGGGTCAGCTTGTATACTCTCCGCCATTTGAATATGGTGGAGACGCCCTCTGTGAATGTCCCTCCTTCACACAAGACATTGCGGTCATCAGGGTTGACAAGGCTTGTCTCCCCGACGACAATGTGCCGAATATTGTTCATTTGGGCACACATATCAACGAAGATTTCTACGATGGCAAACTCAAGCGCTACCGCTACCATGACGGGTTTCCGAAGCCCACATTGCTGCCGATAGACGGGATCGTCGCACTAGATGAGTTGCGCGGATTGGTGGACAACTGCGAGGATAGCCTAGTGGTCCTAAAAAATGGAGCCACCACCGGAACAACAATGGGGCAGAGTCAAGTGTGTCGTTACATGTCCTTCACACGACGGTACATGCCTGATGGCAAAACCCCCCACTCTGTCTCCAAACAGGTCCCCGTTCACTATCTGTGGTCAGATACAAAAGGGGAGATGTTCTCAGACAAGGGGGATTCTGGCGCTGCAGTGGTCGACAGGCAAGGACGGTTAGTTGGCATCATCAATGGCGGACCTAAAGTGCAAGGTCCCGACATCACCTACGTCACCCCCATAACCGTGGTGCTTAACGCGATCCAAGAAAAATACCCTGCAGTCTGTTTCCCAGGTGAGTCTGTACCTCTTCAACCCGACTGGTATTTACATTTCCTAAGATCTGGAGTAAGCTACATCATCCGACAACGTTGCATTGGGGAATAGCGATACAAATACTGAACGACTGATTCGACCTACTACAACTCTCTGAGTGAGATCTTGACGAAAAGCGATGAAAACATGTATTGAGATAGCTGGGAGTCATGAAGAGGCAGATGACGGTAGCCTATTAATAGATAATAAGAGTAAACATTCATTCTTCTTGAAACGAACAAAGCGACATACCTTGCTGCAAGCAAGCCACGGGGGCGCAATAAACGGCCAAGATTGGCTCGTCGTCACCACTGCTGGCCTCCTGCCTGACCGCGAACCGGACAAACACAAGATCTAGCATGTTGCCCACACAGGTGAACGGCAGGCGCATCTTCTCCTCATAGACGGGGTTAAAGCCGTTGTTCTTGACAACGGAGGTGCGGTATATTGCACTCGTGCTTGACAAGGCCGGTGGGGAAGAGGGCGTGCGGCCAAAGCCGGCACGGCTGGCGTGGAAGCCAGTCCAGTCGGGCACGTGCAAGGAGACTTCGACAAAGGTGTCGAGCGTGACACCCTCCTTGGGCGAGGGAAGTTGTTGAGCAGATATAATACCAAGCTCGAGAACGTGCTCTGTCTGTTTAGACAATAAATCCTTGTGGCTGGCTGATCGCAGGGCAGGCGGCTTGAGCACATAGCCCGCTCCACCATTTCGTTGGAACATCGCGTAGTTCATGACGGAGCCCAAGTCTAGGCGGACAATAAGGTCACAATAAATGGGGAAAAAAATTTAACCTACCAACAGTCTGCCAATTAATTGCCACTAGCTGGGCGCCAGCACACCAATAACTGTGAGGCAGATAGTTGGACGAGTTCAGTCTTGTTCCTTTGGGATATATTCGAATGAGGTGGCTCCTGTTGTGCTTGATGAGGTCGACAACGGCGCCAGACCGGATCAGCTTGTTCGCCGAGTTTTCCGACAGCGAAAACATATGCTCAGGCGCGTATTCCTCCTTCTTGTTGATCCCGCGATACTTGACGCCAACAGTGTAAACGAGGAGGGAAACAAGGCCCATTGACATCTTTGGTTTGATACTCTCTGAAGAGCTCGTGGTTGACATCGGAGGAAGAGGGATGAATGCAGAGGGGGGTGATTCAGACGACTGGGCAGAGTGGCCTCGACTGCGACTGCGAACATGCTTAATCGCTGCGCTAGCCTTTTGAAGAATTCGTGAACGACGAGAATCTTTGATAACGTTGAGAGGACATAACTCAAGAGTAAACGAAACCGTACCGGGGACAGCGAGACTGTTGAATTCGGATTCCTCTGCTGTCGAGTCCGCCGAGGTATACGAAATTTCTATTGATGTGGGCGAGACAGTTCCATCGCTTGAAGAGAGATATAGGTTCTTCGTCTTGACCAAAATCATGCCTCGTAAATCCTCGGGACTGGGCAGCTCCGCAAGCGGCGGGCGCCCGTCAATCGGAGCTCGCATTAGCTTTTCACCGAAGACACTGGACATGATTTCTACGATCATGTCCTGCTGGACTGGAGAACAGTGAACCTCAGCAGAAATAATGAGTGGGTATGGAGACGCGACAAATGCGTATTGGTCAATGGCCTCGCAGATGGCACGTAGTGGGACTTTGGACGTAAGGGTGTTTCCGTGGGTAACGAGTGGTGTATGGCTTCCCGGGTGAATGTCGACTAGTGTCAAGTTCAGATGTGAAAATAAAAAAATCGACAACATACTTTCCACACAGCGACATCCAGCTTGTAATGCACGAACATAGCCTTCGATCGTGCTCTCTCCAACCAGCTGATGGCCCGAAAGGTAAGTGTTATGAGATGAGGAAATGAAATATTCGGACAGTGGCCGCTTCATGTCTTGCACAATTTCGCCAGCTTGAGGAGGCTTGGAGATTCCGTCTCTTCCCTTCAAGTGACGAGGATGATGATGTGGGTGGTGATTATAAATTAGGTTCTCCTCAGGGTCCGCGAAGGCAGGGTTGTCGGCTGAGAACAGAAATGCTGTAAATCCTTCCAGAGATAAGGTTGTAGATGAGTTGGAGTCGTCCTCGGCGTAAAAGTCGTAAATGGCCTTTAATTGGTGGGTACCAACAGAAGACTTGGTGGCGTAAGGAGATGAAGGTGCAAGGAGGAACGGCGCACGCACCCGTTGCGTATCTTTCATGAAAGTCTGAAAAACGACGGAATCTAGTGGGCCGTGCTTCTTGACGATGTGTTTGTATATGCGTTCGATGTCTGGACGAGCTTTGAGCATTTTGGCGAATTTTCGAAAGTCTTCAAAGTCAAGAGTGCCTCGTTTGCCAGAATCAGCTTGCTGCGAAGAAGTTAGCTATGCGCGGGACATAGAATTTACTCGCCAGAAAAAGTCGCTGGATCTCTAACCCATCGTAACCGACCTTGAGACGGCGACAAAGTCTCTCTATATCGTCGAGGGTGAAGCCACGCCCATTCCAATAATGGCGCTCCCAGGCGGCATCCAGACGTTCTCCTTGACTCAAACCGTCCAGCAGCTCGCTCCGCCTAGAGTACATCTGCTTGAGTGCGATAAACAGCATCTGTATGATTTCCTTGGATGGCCCAAGGAGATGCATTGTCTTGTAAGACGAGTCGACGATGTAGATGAGGGTGAGCCATCGTTCTTCGTAGTCTTGTCCAAATATTTGAAACTGATCACGATAATTTTTGGTCTCAGCGCCGACCCTGAGTTCGCGGATGGCATCGACCGGAACTAAGAGGAAATCAAAAACAGAAAAAGAATCGATAAGAAACCACGACGACGGACTGTACTTTGGAGTTTTTGACTCCCATGAGAGTTGGCCACGTTCGGGATCGAGTCTGAACAGAAGTGTGCGCTGCTTCTTGAGAGAGACTTTGGTCAGCTGAATGCCATCTTGGAGGACGTTTGGTATGTCATCGTTGTCAAGTCGATTGGGAGCAGGTGACTTTGAGCGCGCTGTAATCCGCCCCAGCCGTCGTCGTATGGAATTTCCGAGCCGCCTTCGAGCTGAAGGCGGTGACTGGTCGCCCATTTCGCATGTTAGGATCAGTGATGGGTGGTGGCAGAAGGAAGGCCGAGATCAGGTCATGTGCTGTCGCGCTTACACCCTTTCGCTCGCTTGTAGAGTCGGAACCAAAGTCCACAGTGGGAAAATGCACTCAATACCCCTCTCTCCCGGTCCACCATCATGCCTGAAATCCGGCCCACCGCTGCTGCAGGAGAATTGCCTCCCGTTCCAGACCATTTGACCATACCCCAGTTCATGCTGGATTCTGGTTATGTGGACACTTTACGTCCTAAACGACCGGGTCACGGTCCGTTCCTCATCGACGACGCGTCAGGTCGCAAGGTCTCGTTAGACGAGGTGCAGTTACTCAATGCTCATTGTGAATGGCTAACTTATTATCTGATATCAAGTTACGAGACCGTACACAAGCCCTTGCCAACGTGCTTTCGTCTGTGTACTCTATAGGCGAGGAGGACGTAGGTTAGCCTTTTCCATGTCTCTCAAGTCGAATTGGCGCTGAGTTGTGACCAGTGCTGGTTTTCAGCAGGAATCATCTCGGTAAGTGCGCCGAATTTCAGTTCAAACGCGAACTGAAGTTGATATTTAGACTACCCTGTGGTTTTGTGGGCAACTCACCGGTAATACTTATTACCCACATCAACCCTCAACCAACCTTCATTCAGGTTGGGCGGCATTGTCTCTCCCGCGAATCCGGATTTCAACCACAGCGAGTTGGAATATCAGGTAAGTGAAACTAAAGGCTGAGGACTGGAACTCACCTGTAGATAGCTCAAGGCAACACAAGCCAAGCTTCTGATCATTCACCCTGAGGCGGTCGAAGCCGCGACGACTGCCGCAAAGACATTCGGGCTTCCCACAGACCGCATCTTAGTGTTGGATGTCGACAATGTCAAGCCGCCAAAATCTTTGGTCAACATCAACTCGTTGATCAAGAAGGGATCAGAAATGAAGCCCGTACCCGAGCGTATCCTCAAGCCAGGAGAAGGCAAGACCAAACTTGCCCTATTGAGCTTTTCCTCTGGTGAGCATTGCAATATGAGGTGTGCTGAAGCTCACACTGCAACTCAGGCACGACTGGACGACCTAAGGTTGCGGATTCTGCTTCTACACTCTCCCATTAACACTACCTTAGGCCGTTGCTATACCCCACACGTCTTTAATCGCCAATGTCTTACAAGTCGCTACTCATTCCAGACTCCAAGACGAATCCATCAAATGGGAAGACCGCCGTTATCGCCCCGGCGATGTCTGCATTGGAGGTGTGTTTAATAGAAACGTTGGGACCGAACTAATTGCATGATAGTACTTCCACTTTACCGTGCGTCTAATCCTTGAACCATTGCGGTTAATTGAACAGATATGCAGACATCTATGGTCTGGTCTTCAATGTAGGTTTCCAACTTCCACTAATAGCATTAGATCTAATTCCTTGTAGCTTCACTTCATGCTTTATTGCTCGATCGACCTGGTGATCGTCCCCAAGTTCAACTTCGAAGCGATGCTCAAAAGCGTCGTCCGTCATAGAATCACCCACTTAATGTGAACTCAATTTCTTCACTGTATGTATGACCTGTTTATTTGGCATAGCATCGTCCCGCCCCAAGCGATCCTCCTTTGCAAGGCAGGTTATCAGCCTTGTTTGCTCGCACATCTTTGACCATGCCAAAGCATCCAGCTATGAAGAAATACAAGCTAGACACTGTTCGAACGATCATGACAGGTAACCTTGGCTATCTTGAACCAATCAGCGTGAACCAACTATCTTAATAGGTGCAGCTCCACTTTCCGACGAAGTTAACCAGATGCTCTTCAAGCTATTCCCGTATGTGAAGCATGAATCTGCCAACTCCGAGTCTTACTTGTTCCCGAAAGTGATGCCCATATTGGCCAAGGATATGGCATGACGGAGACGTGCACGGTCGTCAGTCTCTGGCCAATTACAAGAAAACGCGGGCAATCTGGCAGTGAGTCAAGTGTCTAGATGTTCGCCTTCGTTGCTAAAAATTACCAGGTGCGGGTGAACTCATCCCCGGCGTTATTGCTCGCGTGCTAAAACCGGACGGGACGCTGGGTGGCTACAATGAGATTGGGGAGTTGATGGTCAAAGTGCCATCTGCTGCTCTGGCATATTACAATAACCCACAAGCGTGAGTGCATCGCTTTGTAACGACTGCATGCTGATTACGTCCAAGTACGAAGGAAACTTTCATCGACGGATGGGTCCGAACTGGGGACGAAGTCCGCATTACCCCTGACGGGGAGTTGTGGATTGTGGATAGGTTAAAAGAGATCATGAAGGTCAGATCAGCTTGGTTAATGAAAACCGGTGTTCATTTCCAGCAGGTTCGTGGCTTCCAAGTCGCGCCATCTGAATTGGAAGGCACTCTACTGTAAGTGCCTGCCGCTTGATTTAGAGGTATGTAAGCTAAGACGGCTTCAGTGACCATCCAGACGTGTCAGACGTTTGTGTTGTTGGTATTCCTGACGACTACAGTATGTGTGTCTCGGAGGTTTGGGGGATTCCTGTTGACCATGATTGTTAGGCGGTGAAGTGCCTCTTGCTTTCGTTGTGCTTAGCGCGGACGCTGCGGCTCGTGTCAAGAAAACACCAGCCGCGTTGGAAGATGCCAGAGCTTCGATTATTAATGTAAGACTCTCCTTTCTCGTCTTGCGCTGGACTTGACTGTTCGGTAGCACATCCGGGACAACAAGATCGCATATAAACATCTGGCCGGTGGGGTTGAGTTTATGGAGAGCATTCCTAAGACTGCAAGTGGCAAGCTGTTGCGGCGCGTATTGCGGGACAAGGCGAAGGAGCTGAGGAAGGGCTCGACAACCACGAGGGCCAAGTTGTAGATGAGATGAACTTCCAGACGAATATTACTACGACCAGTACAAATGCAGTCTAAACTGTGGTCAATATATCTGGGACAGGTCATTAGAATAAGTTGGCGGGACTAGTTGGGTGGACATACCTCATCAAATGGTCGAGTATCCTTGAAGCAGCTCTCGAAAACCTCATTGACCACCTTTTCTGCGGTCGCTTGGTCCGGACACATGACGTTTCGGGAAACAGATGTTATGGCGCGTCGTCGCACACAGTCCTGCGAAGGGAGTTAGAAAAACGCAGCAGTAATAATAGGGCACGCACTTGGTGGTGCTTCGTAAACGCCAACGAGCCTATCCTCAACTCCCGCGAAAACCTGCAATCGCCACTCAAACTATTCGCACGAATCTGTACAGATTGTCAGTTTTTTGCTGACGACTTGAGCTGGTTGTCAACGCGCCTCACTGCACGCGTGATGCCTGAGATTCATCCAGTCGACTTTGAAGCGGCATTGGTCGAACATGTGTATCATTTCGTGGACCATAGTATTCTCCATATGTGCGTCACCGAAAAAGACACCTTGGCAGAGGACGATGGCGCCTTGCTCGGGGTTGAAGCCACCCGCCGAGCGCTTGTCGCAGGGGGCGCAAATGATATTTGAAGGTGGCAGTTCGCAGCCGGCAGCCCTGAGGTGTTGGAGCATGAACACAACAGAGGGACTGCGTTCCATAAAGCGAAGTTTCTTTTCTTCACAAGAGAGGCGGGATTGCTCCATGAGATACTCCAGCCGCTCGTCCTCCGTAACGCCAAGACCGGTGATGAGCATGGCCTTTCGTCGCCATCGCTCGAAGGAGGACGCTGGAGAGGAAGAAGACATCTGGCAATGATTCTGAGTTACGCGAGCGATCACGTGCGCGACGCGACTTTAGACGCGCTGCTGTTTGTTTACGGAATCATCACAGCTTGTTTCTCTTCTCCACCACCATGCACACTACAACCCAGTCCCCCCACACCCCTACCAGGAAACGCACACGGTCCAACTCTACTGCAGGCCCTTCACGCAAGAAGCAGTGCTCCAATGAGCGACAAGCTTGCCCATCTCGTCGGTTCTTCGTTGTCGTCGTGGCGTATAGCGGCTGAATCCCCTCCAACAGTGCAGGAAAGTCCTATCAAGGCCTCAGCGCCTGTGTGTAACCTCGAGAAGATACTTCGCCGGCTCGCCCAGGGCGTCGATGTCGCCACTGTCCAAAATCTGAAGAAGGTGGTGGCCGGTATGTCGCTGCTCGTTTGAGGCCAGTAAACATGTCTCAATTACCACGCCAGCCGATGTAGGGGATGATATGCCGGTTCTCGTCCAGTCTATCATCGAGCACGCACAAGAACTCGTTGCCGAGCGTTGCTGCAATTACAAAGGCAAAAACAAACTACTCGAAGGCGAGCTCTACGTAGAATGGCTGATTGAAATAGAGTACATCCTCGATGCCGTCGAGGTGTGTAAATGCGCTACGACGAAGGCATTATCTTAACCCTTCTCACAGAACATGCTCGCTGCCAAACTCCACATTACGCTCGGTCGTGTACTCTTCACTCTGCTCTTCCACCTCATTGAAGAGTACATCTCCGCTGTCGACAGCTACCAGGACGGCTGGTCGCACGATAGGTTCCCTTGGGTCATGACCCTTGTGGAGGAAGCCAACGCTGCAAACCGCGCAATCGACCATCGTTCCAGCGAGGCAGTAGAAACAGCAGAGAGCGTGCTAGACCGGCTGGACAAGATTTTCGTGCGTGTTATACGACAGTTTAAGGCGGAGTCGATGGACTACCGGCGGCTAGCGGGGCTTGTTGGGATGAAGGAGGATGCGATTGCCCGGTCTTGTTGTCTGTTGAGTGAACAGACTGGATTCGGTGACGCGGATGAGATGGGCTTCGAGTTGCTTTCTGAGAGCCGCGAAGCCATGACGAAGTGGAGAGACCAGGGAAAGTCAAAGGCTAAGCGACGGTCATCGGGGGAGACGGAGGAAGATGATGACTGAAGTTGGACGCATTAGCCCTTGTCATCAATGCACGTGACGTGGCTACATCCATCTTGTATAAATACCCTCACTCGCAATTGTAACTACACCAATCATGAAGGTTCTGTTCAACGATACCGTTCTCGCGGACAGCAACGACACCATCGTCGTTGAAGGAAACCACTACTTTCCACCCGCGTCTATCAATAAGGATGTGTTCACCGACTCTAGCTCTTCGTAAGTGTTTCACAAAGCATAGTTGCTGGTCATTCAGATCCACAGGACTGTGTGTGCATGGAAAGGGTAAGCATGCGACAGACTCTCTCGCTCACTTCTGAGTGAATCTAGGACTGCATCATACTACAACGTGAACGTCGACGGCAATGTTTCAAAGGACGTAGCTTGGTTGGTCCTCGATTGCAAGTGCAAACTAGCCCCTCATTCCTTTAGGTATTACCCAGAGCCGTCAGCCAAGGCCGAGAACATTCGCGGATACGTTGCATTCTACAAGGTTGGTTCATTCACACATCATCATCCCTCACTCACTGCTTACACAGAATAAGGTTACTTTTGCGTGAATAAGTTTCAAGAAAGTGTACATTAGCATGTCAAACACGAAATTCTTCTCGCCCACTTTCTACCAACTTCAGTCAGACTCATCCGAATCGACGTCCATCGCGTCGTCACCCGCATCGTTAGTCATTCTGATTTCATCGACGCTGTTATACGGAATCCGGTCCGCGAGCCAACGCCCCCACACAAAATCGACACGACAGAGAGCTGATGCAGTCGACGATGCCAAAAGGCCGGCCCCTCCCAGACCACCCCCAGAATTCCAAACGACGCGCTGGACACCCACTTCGCGTGGCCATGAACCGCTGCCCGCAGGCGTAACAAACCGCGTATCCTTTTTCTTTGCCTTCTCAGCACGCATCGCTTTCGTCTGTGTTGGCCGGTCAGAAGCTTCGAGTGGTAAAAATTGATCCAGCATTCGGAACTGCTTGGTCGTGCGGCTATAGTCAAGTTGATATATCTTGTGCACGAAGAATGGCTAAGAAAAAAAAGAAATGTGAGACTAAGTCGTGGCACAGAAGGGTCACGGACAACGGAACTGCCGCGACGGGTTGACCGCAGGGTATTTGTCGTGCTGCAAACACCATCAGCCGAACCAACAGCAAGTGATGGGTGGTAGTCAGAGGCGCTAAGGCTCTGGATGCTCATCAACCCAATTATCATAGATATAGCCTTCTCTACACACCCAAATCGGACCACCTGGCTCCATTAGAATATGCCCCCGTCCCAGCATACTTGGGGACAGTGAAAACACCTTGATGATATTTTCGTGGTCAATCGTGATAGGCCCGCTTCCGTACTGCGAAAAAGTCATCGAGTGAACGACATCTACCTGCAGTTAAGCCTCAACGCAAAAGATCACCTGCTAGCATACCTCTCGTCCGATTCATGATCGATCCATGACCATCCCGAATGTCTGTAAGGCACTCCAACCCATCGTAGCCCCCACTGCAAATGATCGTGGGGTCAGCATTTGTGCGAGGTTCTCCATTCGGCCAGCTCGGTGGTGACCGGGCCCAACAAAGGGCGCGAATCGCCGATTGATGGACAGTGATGTAGTGCGAAGGCAGGAGTTCGTCTGCTTCCTCAGAAGCTGATAACTATTGGTTTCATCTTCCAGTTTGTGAATGAGTGTATCTTACTTGGCTGGAAAGATGCTTTTATTGCAGGACCTAAATCGAAGACGGCAATGATGCCTGTCCACATTGTAATGAGACCGAGAGACAGCAGCAACAGAATATGCACCATGTGTGGTCCCAATAGCGACTATTTCGCTGTTGCCCCAGTCAAAAGACAAGCATGCGGTCTCTTCGAGCTCGATACGGATCAAAGGTTCAGGCAGCTTAACTGGAGAGATATGAAAACTAAATTACGAGGCAAGAGAATGCTAACTGTAAACGGGCAGCGCGGGATCGTGTCCGGGCGGGGTCACATCGAGTGGCTCGGGGACAACGAAAACGGAAAATGATCCATCTTCAAATGTCCCAGCAAGTAAGCCCAGCTTCCGTGGCTGCTGCCCTTGCTTGCTGGCGATCTTGAAGAGTTATTTTGATGAAATGCTAGAAATAAATAGCACTCACGGGATCGTGACAAGGTAATGGGCACCACTTGAGATCAAAGGCAGGTCCGCTGTCAATGCAAAGAACCATGACGCATTTCATGATCCCTGGGTCGTCTTCGCTGAGCACTGCAGGGTTTGTTGGGCTCAAAGTCCATATTTGTACGCATGCTGAGACAGGGCGGGCTGCCTTCACTCCAACTTCAGGGGCGTGCGAAGCGGTTGGAAGAGGCGCGACAGCCAGATACTGCGTATAAAAGCGTCCTGAGTGTTCTAGTCAGCAAAGTTTATTTGGTGCTATTTTATCAACCTTCGCGATCATCAGGATGAATGGGACACCAATCAAGTCCCCAGGCTGGTGCACCAGGATTGAAGATATGGGACTTGCTTTCAGGAAAGAACTGGTCTGAACAAACGACTTTTGTCAATAAAACGGCATGATTGTGTTCTAACCCCACCATTTTTCAGACTCTGGAACATCTGAATCTCGAATAAATTCTGGTTCTCGAACGGTCCAAAGAAACAAGGCACAGGGGGAGGTGGATTGAGATTTCCCTCTTCTGTGGTAATGCTGTCAGTCGGGAGATACTGCGTAGCTTCTCTGAAGGGCGCTCAGAGGACAGAGGAAACACGGAATCCAAACCGCATACTGGCGACTAAGAGCTTTCCATCCCGACTGCATTTGAAGGTCGCGATAGACAACGGGTCGACGAGTCTCTTCGGTTTCGTAGTCCGATTCTGCCGGTAGGGCCTCCTTGTACCATGCGCGGTCTTCAGTCATCTCCCATAACGGTCCAGTACCGACATTGAAGCCCCATGCCTTGCTGGCGCGGTTTGTGATGCCAAGAGAGTGAGTAAAATTATATGTTGGACTTGTAGACTGGGGTCCAAAAAGAGATGGTGCTTTTGCAAGGCGTTCGACGCGTCCTTTGTGGGAGTAAAGAGGAACAGCTCGATGTCGATGGTGAACACTTGGCGTTGGGAGAATGAAAATTTGCCGCTTGGAAGTACGCGCGATTCCTGCAGCCCCACCAACAGAAGGCATGCTCACAGATTTTACTGTTGACTTTGCGGTCGCCTTTTCTTTCTCTTTCCCCTTGGTCTTCCTGGACCGCTTGCCGTCTTCGTCAAGGACACCATCTTCTGGGTCAAAATCGTCTTCGACTTCCATATCCTGATCGTCTGACTCGTCGTCGTCGTCGTCGTCGTTGACTTCATTTGGGTTCGCGTCGCCTCCGGCATCCTTTTCAGGTGCAAAATCGCTTCCACTGTCGGCTTCTTCATATTTAGATGGGCCAGCCTCACCATCTTCCCCATCTAATTCAAGGTTCACGGAGTAACTTGGTTGAGATTTTCTAGGACGCAGTGTACGAGCCATCGAATTCCAACGAAGAGTAAGTGTGTCACGCCAGTCACAGTCAGCCTCGATCGATTGCAGCGCCAACACAAGACTTGAGACTTGCTTCTGAAACTCGCAAGAATGCTTCAAGAAAAACGGGGAAATCGTATGTCGAGACTACTACTACTACTGGTACACTTTCAAGCCAGTTCCACAATCTTCAAACTCGCCAAATATTCGCGCAAAGCCCGCTTGATCTCAGCAATCTGTCCCCGCTTGCAGCCCATATCGAGCAGGTCATGCTCAGACAACTCCAATAATCCACCCACTGAATCGTAGCCTTCGTCCTCCAGTCTCTTCTCGATAGCTTGGTTCAAGCGATACTTCTTGCAGAACTCCTGGGTGGAAAGTGATGGAATGTGGACTGTCGCAGGAAGTTTGAGAATGCGATGGTTGAGCTTTGGCGCCTCTCCCAAACCGCCGTCGCCTCCGCGGTTAATACCCTCCCCTCCAGTTCCACCGTGTCCGCCTGTGATACTCTGATCAAACGGCCAAAACGAGCACGTTTAAAACCGCCTCACCCCGGATGTCGGAAAACTCGTGGATGTCAGTCATATTGAGACGAACTCCTTGGCCAACTCCTCCTCCGCCTCCATCCTTTCCCTTACCGCCGGTACCACCCGTTCCACCTGCAAAGAGACATGAGCGGCGATTACTAGAACTCTATGGGGACTCATGGCATACCAGCAATATGGCGGACGACTGGTGGCGGCGCTGGCGCAGACTGTTGCTGGGGCTTGCTTTGAGTCCAGGGCCACATCGTAGAGAAAGAAAGAGCAGCGGGTGGGTTTCCGTCCTCCCAATTCTGGAGCTAGACTTAAATACTACTGTCAGAGGTACAGGTACATCGATGTTATCGCAAGCAATCCAATCGTACTCGAGAATAGTACCGAGCCCGAGTTGTTGGCGTACAGCAGGAATCCGTCCCTCTAACACGACTCTTCAGTCATGCTAGCGGTGCTGAAGCCTTACGTTTGTGTGAGACCTTGATCACCGGCGCCAGACCTATCCCACCGTTTCCACCAACCTTTGTTCCATCACCACCTCTACCACCGGTGCCTCCTGAGATGATCCCAAATTCAAGCTCTGTTTTCGAATTGATCGTTGGCCCTTGTCCTATACCTCCATTGCCACCTATCGGTCCATCACCACCCTTGCCCCCCACCCCGCCTGTAGTGTCATTCTCGATGTCACTGTAGGTTCAGACGGAGAAGGACGTGGAGCTTACCCGTGATCGCTGGTCCGATATCATATTCACCTGCTCACTCAGATGTGAACTTGATATAGCCAAGTGCATGGATTTTTTGTCGCACCTAACCCAATAACCTGTTCGTCCATTGTCAGATTGTTGTTGCTATTTAGGTAAGAACCGCCTGACCTTGAGCTCGTGTATCGATCTCAAGACCTTTTCGATATCGATGTGCTTGAGAGGTCTGTCAGTACAACATTCAGCAGATCAAGCAAGTCAATGCTGACAGCCGAATCAACTGCGGCTCGCAGCGCAAGAATGGCCTGGAGCTGTGGATGAATCTGACTGTCGTCTTCTCCGTCAAGCTCGCCTTGCGATATAGCTCCTTCTGATTCACTTTTAGGGAGTGAATCAGGCTTGATCATAGAACGGCCGCTGGTGATAACCCACGCGAAAGTCTGCTCTCTGGCTGCTTCATCTGGTCCTCCGCTATTCTCAACTATTGGTGGAAGCTTTTCGATAGGAGCAGCCGTCTGGGCGTGTCCATGGTTAACCTAGCTGTATGTCAGCCTTTCGAGTGACTCGACGCCGTCAACCACTCACTGGCTGGACAGCACCCTCGAGTGAGCTCTCGAGTGGCCTTGCAGCAACAGATCCTAGAACCAGCAACGAGAAATGCAAAACCACACTAGCCGTTGCCGTTGGCCACATCTGGGTTTGGTGGTAGGGTGAAAGGCACTGCTTTCATCCTCTCAGTCGAAATGAGCGCTCGCCTCTGGCATGTGGCTGTTGATCGCGACGAGCGCTCCTCAAAAATAGGATTACTATTGTTGCCACGGCTTTCTTCTTTGTTGCCTACTGTACCTCTATCCAAGCTTTGCAATGCCTCAGCCAAAAATAACTTGATCTGTGAGGAAAGCGCGCATCGTCCAAAGCGCCTAAATACTTGCCAATTTTGACATGCACCTGGTGAGTATTGGAGCCAGCCAACATACGACTCTCTACCCTTCTTGTCGCGAATCACGAAACTGCCTCAGCTCAGCCAAAAAATTCTCTAATGTCCCGCGTCTCTAATCATCGTAGCTATAACGTACACATTCGCTGCGAATATTATCAACCATATCGCACACCCAACAAGCGTCGTGATTTTCCCACTACTGTAGTCGATGCTGCCCTCCCACCCCACCGCATCAGCCTCCGGTTCAGAAACAGTGCTTGGCGGACTCGGCTTCTTCACCTGCATGATAGTCTTCGAGGACGTGAAGAAAATCAAGGGGATGATGATGAACGGGAGGACGATGGAGAGTATAACCTGAGAGGCGACGAGGAGTGTGTCGATTCCTGGTCGCCCTAAGGCAACTGCCACGATCATGGACGGTATAACTGCGATAAGCCGGGTCATCAGTCGACGCAGGATCGGCTGTTAAAACGTCAATTATTACCAAAGCGCAGATCCTGAAGGGACATACCGAAAGCCGCCAGTTCAAGAATCCCTCAGCAACCGCCTGTCCTGCAACGGTGGCGATGATGGAAGAGCTCTGACAATTGGTGAGTTGCAACAAACAAATTAATGCTGAATATATACTTGACCAGCAGCAAGAAGCGCCACTGCAAACAAGGTTGCCGCTCCTTTGCTCACGACACGTTCAATGACGTTGTACACATCAAACAGACTCGCAGATTCGCTGTTCGACGTAGAGATGTCGTGTCCATAGTAGAAAACCATGGCAGCCACAATTAGGATCCTGACGGGATAAGCAAACGACAAATGTCGAGAAGAAACCATACATTGAATTGATCAGGACCGCAAAACCCAACAAACTGCCTATGACATCGAGTCGCGCGTGGTTGAGATGGGCCCGGATGAAGACGATGCTATTGTTTTCTCGATCGCTGTGTCGTTTCACGCGGGTAGAGTGAGGGCTTGCGGCGGGGGTCCGGAACACGGAATAAATGAACTCCAGCCACGGAGGACGTTTTGATTCGAGTTGCAGTGGTGGGGGCGATGGTTGGTCGACTGAGGTGTTTGATAACAGTCTGTTCTGGGTAGCAAGAGCAGACCCCAAGAACAGACTGTGAGGCATTATGGTGGCCCCGAGTATGCCGACCGCTGCAGTGAATGCGATAAGAAATCAAGTCAAGTAGTTAGTTAGAACATAACTTACAGGTATACAAGGCGTTCGACTTGAAGATGGTCTTGGACGGGAGAAACCCTTCAAATGCATCTGCCCACTGGACGTGGACTTTGGAAACGACGATGATCATGCAGACAAATACGGCGAGCACCTAAATTTGGTCAACAACAGGTTAAAAAAGGCACGAGGCACCCACCAATCCGGCAATGAGAAGCTCAAAGGCGCGCACGGGGGTTGATCTAAGTGGGTCGCGGAGTGCAAGCAGGAATATTACGTCGAAGGCTGTAAGAAGAACGCCATGCCATACTTCGAGTTTTGGGAAGAGTAATACCAGGGCGATAGCTGACCTGTAGATAGACAATAAGAATAGAAGGAAGTCATCAGCAAGATGTGTACCCAAGGAGTTCTGCGAGGTCCGTTGCAATTATGGCGACTTCAGAGAGAAGGTAGAGCGGGTAAAGTAGGAGGTGACGGTATAGAAGTTTGTGTTTTGGACGGTCGTGGAGAAGAACACGACAATGGGACGCGAGATCTATACTTGTTTATCTGGTGGCCAGCTTCGTCGACACGTCAGGCGCACCTAGACCAGTTACACAGCCCAGACGCGTCGCTAGCGATTGTAAAAAAGCAGCAAACAGTCCTGCGAGCAAGACGATGAACAGCAATCGAAACCCATGGTCCGATCCTGCAAGAGGGCTTCAGTTTTGCTTACAGAGAATAATGGCGAGATAATCTACCTGCTTGAAGGTCTGTCGCCCAATTCCCAGGATCGAAATACGCTACTGCACAGACGATTCCAACCTAAGCGAGTGCATCAACATCGGGGGGACGTCCAAGTTGTGAAAAGGGGACTGACGCCAGCGTGTTTGCTGAGATGGAGGGTGACTGTTGAAGAAAATAGTCTGAGACGGTCGTAGATGGTGGGCATCCGGGTTGACATGCGCCCTGACTCTCCTCCGGCCATATATACGTGGTGGGCCACCGGTACCCAAAGAAGTGGAACATGAGCAACCCAACAGAACGGGAATCAACGTGCTCACTCGATTCCTCCTTTCAACAACGTGTTGCCGCCACTTCCGCCATTCTTTTAGCTCATAATGCTGGCAGGAACCTCTATTTTGCGCTGTGTAACACTCAAGCAGGGATGAAAGTGAAGAGACAACTATTTTGGGATTCGATCAATCAAAACTTGGCGAAGGCTTTTCTTTGGCTTTTCTTTCTCTACTCTCATATTCGCCCACAAATCGACCATCCTCGCCGGAATGACTCTCAAACGCTCAACATTGCGCCCTCCTTCAACTTAGCTTTCTAACACCCCTCATGAAATACACGCCCGGCCCCTACCCAAGCCAGATGGCCCAACCCAGCGGAACTTGACGCCCTTCGGTCGTTCATCGCCCGTTTAGTTTCGTAACATCCCGCGTTTCGGTGCCCGCATCGCCTTCAAATACCAAGCCCCACTGGCAGCACACACACCAGCTCACTGCGTGAAACATAGAAATAAACCTCTGGTCGATCAGGTTGTTGTTGTTCATGTCGCCCAAAACTCAGGAACTGCTATGACGACCCACAGAAAAAAACCCTTGCCAAGTGGGAGCATTTGATGCCCAGCACAGATCACTCTGAAAGTTCCCTTATCCCAGAATACCTTCCCGGTTACAACTTTCTGAGTCGCACCGATCTGTGGCGCCTGCAACAACTCCTGCTGTTCCAAGCCTCTAGTCTTGAGCACCAAACTGGGCAGACTACCACTACCTTAGCTGTTTGGCCACCGCTGCGCTGCGTGGGTATACTTTCCGACAACAATGGATCTAGTCGCGTTAGAACCTAGTAGCTTTCTCTATTATATTTTATCCTCCAACCACCGTCTTGAAAAATCGCTCAACGACTGCTTTTCCCTTCCTCAAGTTATCCAGCGATATGCGCTCGTTCGGCAGATGCGCCTGGTCGGAGCTCTGGCCCATGGGAAGGTGTAACGCATGACAGCCAAACTCCTTCTCCAAGAAAGGCACCGAAGGAATGGACTGCAGAGGATGAACAATACTGTGACGAAAATCAACATCAACTTACTCCGCCTTCTCGGATACGTAGCGGCTTTATGCCCCATTCCGCCGCGACAGCGTTCTCGAGAGCATCAAACCAGAAGCCCTCGAGCTCGCCTAGCCACCAGTCAGCTGTATGCTTCACGGCCAGCTGAGATTCAACGTCAGATGTTGACTTGACATATATGCGACGGACAAACCTTCAGCTTGTTGGGCGAGTTGAGCGCCTTGAAAGAGGTCTCCAGGTAATGGCTCAAGGACTGGGAAATAGTGCATAAATCTTGATCTGGTACGATCCGTATCGAAACTTGAGACTTGATGGTGCCAGGAATAACCGTTGCGTCTAAGGTGTTCTATGAGCTTGTCGTTGATTGTCAAGAAAATCATTGATACTTCTAGGCCCAGAAATGTCTATCGAGTGAACCGTCAAAGAGGGTTCGCACCAACGAGAAGACAATATTGATGTCGTGGTTGAGCCTTCAGCAATTTGTGCGATGCGTTCTTTTTCAGCGGCGTCCTGCTTCCGTACTTGAGCATCTAGGCAAAATGAGCTACGAAGCAAAACTTAGGAAATGCAAACAAAAGCTCGGTATCTTCACTCGATGCTCTGGGTCCGTCAGGGTGGCCAGTAAATGGACCCTGACATGGTTCAGAAAGGGCCAGACATAGTTGGCATATACCACACATATCCAGAAGCGGTTCGACGACAGCACCACCCTCGATACCGGAATGCAGGTCAGGACGGTCGTTGGATATTTCCAATGAACAATGGACAACGCCACGCAACCCGTAGGTGATACATGGAGTATCCTCTCCAAACCAGGTCGAGTTACTTTGAGCGGAATCAGTACAAGAACGAGTCAAATCTTGTGGCGTCAAACCTGACGAGGATTGCGTCGATATGGCCAATTATGTCCTTGTGTTTTTGCACAGCTTCGTCAAACCCTGCACTTCCACATTCTTCCTCGCCTTCAATCAGGAATACAACATCGAGACCGAGTTTCCGTGCTGCGAGGAGCTCCGCTACTGCAAAAGCAACAGCAAGAATTGGCCCTTTGTTGTCGGTACACCCTCGGCCGTATAGGTACCCATTTCGTCCATTGAGATGAAAGGGGTCAGAGTCCCAGCCCTCTGACGGCGCCGGTATGACATCGTAGTGCCTGTGTCTCGTGGTAAGACGAAAAAGAAATCTGACACGAAATAAATTACCCGTAAAATAGTACCCGGGGCTTATCTGTCTTATTCCTCGGTGTTACACCAGTAAAAGTCCCAAGAACAAGCGGATTCTTCCCATTCTCCGTCGGCAGCTATACGGGTTTATAAAATCAACTCTCAACTGAAAAAAATGCCTACAAGCTGCGCAGTAGCGCCGAGCTGGGCTAGGCATTTCTTTAACCATATCGCTGCCTGGCGACAGTCCTCTCGGTGTGACGGATTGGAGCTCACGCTCGGAATGGATATGAACTTGGACAGTGCATATGTGAGAGTGTCTGGCAAAACTTTAAAAGACGCCCATCAGTGACATTTGGCGAACCTGGGATTTGAGAGCTGCCAAAGCTCGGGGACGCGATCGGGTCTTCAGAAGATGTTGACAGCTCCCACATCTATTCCGTTTATTTAAACCGCGTGAAATAACCTTCTGGTGGGAACCGAACCTTGATATGGTCATCGTTCCCCCCGGTAATTAAGGTCGCGTGGGTCTTGTCCGTCGTGATGATCGAGGAAAGCACGATTCCATTGTGGGCTTTCCATGCAGCGGTGCAATCGAAAGACGCGGAAAAGCGTTGGACATTACCATCGGCAGAGCAAGCATATAGATCTGAGCCAGTTATTGACAAAGAAAGTACATCAACTCCCTGTTGCAACCGTTGTCAGAGGGACATCGGAATTATGGGCTGCACGAACCTCTTGCACGATGAGGCTTCTCACTAGAGTCTTGGTACCCAGGTCTAGGACTTTCACAGAGCCATCTTGGCACCCAGCGAAGAGGGTAGAATCGTCTTTAACGACAAGAGAGAAGATTGCGCCGCTGTTAGTACACTCAAAAGCATGTACTTCTGTTGGTGTCCCATCCGAGCAATTCCAAATCTAGTTGAATATGTGAAAAAAAAATGGCCCCAGAGAACGATGAACCCACTTTGACGAATTCATCACCACTTCCGGTCGCGAGACGCACCTGCGACGAGCCCCCCTCTTCTTGCAGCAACGCCATGCAGTATATATACCCGAAATGGGCGAAATCCATGACATTCCCTTCTGAAATGTTCAAGAACGCTCGAGGGGACTTGCCTCCGCGCTCGGAATGAGGAGAAATGTCGCGACTCTGCGGCTGCGCGCCTGGCCCATTGTTGGCGTATATATCTGCTGGCCGGCGTTCGTATTGGGGGTAACTGTCGAAGAATTTATGTACTTCGCGTCGGCGGGGAGTGGAAGTGCCAGACTCTCCTTGGGGAGATGGCACCTGCAGGTCTTTGTTACAGTCGAACCATTGAATGGATGTGTTTTGGCAGCCGACATAGAGTGTTCGAGATGACGGAACCCATGTCAAAGAGAACAAATCGCCTGCACCGGTTTCAAGGTAAGGCGAAATAACGTAGAGTGGTGTTAGTGAGGCCGTGCACCAAACCTAACGAGCGTTTCGTCGAGGGAAAGAACAAGACGCGTAATGGACACTCACGCGAATTGTGCTATCTCCAGACGCGCTGAACAGCCATTTCTCCTCTTCCGCGTATTCGAGGGCAAGCACAGATCCTGTGTGGCCGCGTAGACTATCTTTAAACCGAAGAGACTTTCGGTCCCAGACCTGCTTTCGCGTCAAAGATGATCAAGTTGGCAAAGGCAGCATACCGGAATATCCTGGCTTTGGCTCCCACAAAAGATGTATAACTCACTCGCAGCCAAGCTCAAAACTGAGCGGCGTTCGAGCAGGGAATGAGCCAAACGAGGAGTGGTTGTTGTAGGCCCCTGGGTGTCGTCGGAGTCAATCTGCTGCCACAGATTGCGGCTCAAGGATGCTACAGCACGAGCCTTGTTGTCTAAACGCATAACAAGTGGGTGATAAGCGTACGATGAGGAGCCATTGAGTAAAAAAGGTCTTGACTTGTTCACTTCTTGCCGACCCTTACGGCCTTTGATTTCGGGGGCCTCGACGGCCGAGTGTCAACGGGGAATAGGAGTGACGTGCGCGTTGCGTAGAATGGCGTTCGCTATCCCCCCATGAAGGAGGTGGTCAAGACGATCAAGATTCTCAACGTCATCGGTGCTCACCGAGTTTGCTTCCGCTTTCCTTTTTTACCCAAGCTTCGAGATTTCTAGCAGTGCGCAATTCAAAATGCATGATGACCAGCGATAAGAATTTCTTGCTTTCTCAAGGACCAAATGATTCTGTTAAGCAGGAATATGGAGGTCTCCGGCGATCATTTCGACTTGATCCGATCTGTGTCACCGCGTGACAACTCCTTCCCCTTCCACCATGTTATCCACTCGTGCAGTCGGCCTCAGCTCTCCTTTGCGTCAAGCCATACTAGGACGCGCGCTGGGTGCGCTGAGAGCTTTTGACATTTTCGGCTTCTCCTAATAACTTTCTATTATCGTGCAGTCCGCTCGCCGGTCGCACTTGCAAAACGGTACGCAGGACCATCACTTGAGGCATTCCGTTTGATTGAACAACTCACAGCTCTGTACAAACCGAATCCCTACCTCCCTCGGCCGCCGTCGATATTCTGAATCAGCAACGTCTTCGTCGACCAAGCAGCCCCCACTTCACCATCTACCAACCGCAAATGACATGGATTCCGTCAATCTTCCATCGTGCAACCGGTGGTGCCCTTAGCGCATGTGTGTATCTGTTCCGAATACTATATACTTTCCCCCGTTCACAATGTCGCTTATCATGTGATAGTGCTTTACGCATTTTCTCTGGCCTACGTTGTTGCCCCGGGCACCTTTGACTCGGCTCATGTCGTTGAATTCGTGGCTGGCATGCCTGATGCGGTCAAATATGCAGGAAAAACTCTCCTTGCCGCTCCTCTTCTCTTCCATTCGTTCAACGGTGTTCGTCATCTGGGCTGGGATATGCTCAAGTGTGCGTGCCTGCCCTCTCTCTCATTTGACCATTGCTGATTTGAACATAAGTCATGAATGTCAAAGGAATGTATCAGACAGGCTATACCGTCCTTGCAGCTACCGCCATTGGCACGGTTGGCCTAGTTCTGATGTAAACTAGACAGCTACAAATACTGGAATGAAAAATTGAAAAACTCTGCTTCTGTCCCAGATTCATTCTTGGGCCCGCAAACCATGCAGCCCACGCGCCACACATCACCTGGACTGGCTCTGGCTTTTCCTGCTTCATTCAGGTCGAAACCGTGTACCTCCCGGTATTTCACGAGCTCTGTTTCATTCGGAACAGAATCTGAAGGCCCACTAGAAGAGAGATACTTCTTCACTGTTAGATGTGGGCCTTGACGAGAGATCTGGATATATATCGCGCCTGCAGATGAGGAGCCAGAGGTACTGGTGGAGATCGTAGCTGGTTCAATAGACCAATCCGACCAAGGAGTAGTCACAACCGCACTTCATTGCCGTAGGTAAGCTGAGAACACTCGGATTGAGAAACCCCCCACGCACGAGACGAATTCTTTACCATCTTCCAGCTCTACCCCAGCCTTGACCCAATTCCCAGTTGTTCCCGTCGCACTGGTTATTATCATTAAACATCCTTGATCATACTGGACCCCCCAAGCTCCACGGATCCAAACACCAGCCACGAAGTCTCGTGTAGCATCGATTGGGCGGGCGAACAGAGCCCCATCGCGATTTTCAACACCGTTGGGCTGCTCTGCGGTGCCTGGAATTCGCCACCAATCGGTTGATGGAAGCGCCTTCAACGAAAGTTGTTTTCCGGAGGAAGATATGGTATGCGACGAGGCGGGCGGGTCAAGCAAGAAGTTGAGCGATGCATCGTTGAACAAGTCGATGGGCATGGTGGTGGCAAAGCGGTGGTGAGCGATCAGCTGATTCGGACTCCGAGATTAACCCGGCAGCCAGAGACGCTGGCCGCGGCTAAGGGTTGTACCTTAATGCGTCTTGCAGCATATAAGAGAGCATAAAGCAGCACTAATTCGTGCATAGGTAGCTTCTTCGACCCAATATGCTTCCCATCTCGACGCGAAGTATCAGACGAGGTTGACAAGTTTTATTCTCTCAACTATCTTGACAGCCAGGCAAGTTCAGAGGAAAATAGATCTCAAGCTGCGTCCTTGTTAGGTTCAACGTACTTTCCACTGCCACGCGCAAAGATATCCTGCCCAATCAGGTCAACTCGCCATCAAATAACTCAAAGCTCATTGAGACTAACCTTGACCACTCCTCGAGAGATCAGCTTCAGGGCATCGCGGCTCTCCCACAACGGATACAACACCACGCTAAACGCCGACAAGAAGGTCCATATAATTCCGATCACCACCCAGGCTGTATACCCACCCTTGCCATAAATCGTCGACGCGAAAAAGAGTGGCAGCGGAATTAGGATGATGAGAACGAGCAGCTGGAGGAAGCATTGAGCCGCTCGGTGGGTTACTGTAGCCTAACTCGACTTACCAAAGCCAGCGATGACCATGCAGCAAAACGGAAAGCTTTATTGAGGGCGACAGGGTCTAGCTCGTCCGCGATCTCAGCAGCGTTGAACGAGTCAGCTACGGAAGGAGTCTTTTCCTTCTCGATACTCGGTCGATCTGCGGCGTTAGCTTCCTTCTCTTCCGGTTTGGAAATCGGACCTGGCGCATTGATAGCCCGAGTCGATTCGAAATCGTAGTTTTCTGGCCACTGCAAAGGTTTACTTCGAGAAATACTATGACCGTAAATATCACGCACGACATAAGAACTTGCGGTTGCAATAATACCTCCGACACCGATGGACGCCAAGTTCCCCGCAAGCATCTCGAAGTCACCTCCACTGGTCTAGAGATCCAAAATATTAACCGCCAAGACCACATCAAGTGCGGTAGGTACTCACGACGACGTTGATAACCCCTCCATTCAGTGTGCTTGTCGTCACCAGCCAAGCGATAATTCCTGCCGCAAAACCAGCGACAGCCCCCACAATGCACCCCGTCTTGTTCGCTTTACTCCAGGTGATGCAAAGGGCGATCGGTGCGACACCGGACCCGAGGATAACGCCCATGAATGTCTTCATGGAGTTGAATATCGCAGAGACCATAAGGTAGAAGAACATCACGAACGTAGAGCCAACCCATCGACACGCCGATGTAAAAGAAAATCAGGCCGGCAAGTCCAATTACTAAAGCATAAAATGCAACCTATAGGTGGAATCAATGAACTGGTCGCATCGAAAGATTAGGCAGAAAATGTACCATAAGATGGCTGACTCGCATAATCTGCGCCTCGTTCGCTTGCGGATTAATATAGCGCTACACAAACACTTCGTTTAGGAGCTATCATCGGTGGATCAACCACTAACCTTGTACACATCGTAGGTGAGTAGCGACGAAACTGCAATTAGTTCGGCCGAAGTTGCCGATGTGACGGCAAGGAAAAGTAACACCAGTAATGCAGCAGCGCCAGCCTTCCCTAGTAAAGCGCTGGCTGCAGCTGCAGCAGGTAAACCCGCTGAGACATCAGCAGCCGACAAAGGACGCATTTCAGGATCTCCTCTCAATGCGACTGCTGCCAGACCCAGGGTGGTCGCTAACGTGAAAGGAATAGCGAACCACGCCAACCCTCCAAGCAAATATGCCTTGACTGTTGTCGACGGCCTACTGGCAATGGCGCGTTGAAAGTAGGCTTGGTCTTGGAAGACGGTGGCGAAATTTCCTAGAAACAGTCATGACCAATAATATCCCAGGCTCCAACGCATACCAATGATATTTATGACTCCAAAAATTAGTCCATTTTTGCTGCGCATGGTGACATAGGATCCATGAGCATTCCCTGGGACCGGAGAAGTTTTGGCAGCGGCGGTGAGGAGGTCATACATCTTGGAAGGGCTGCCTATCTTGTCACTGGTTGCATAAACGCTGAACACGAAGACCTGGGTGAGAATATTCAAGTTAGGTGGTATGCCCAACATTTGTGGTCGAATGCCGTACCAAGATAATGGCGAAAAGTACGGTCGTATGCGTGTAGTCGCATAGAAGCGTAGATCGCATTCCACCCACAACGACATAGATAGACACGCCGAGGGGAATCAGAAAGCACGCCGCAATAGTGCTCATTCCAGTTAGATCAGTTACCGTGGCGCTGCCACCAAGGATAAGCATTGAGCTGACGATAATGTTCGTGGCAAGTCTTATCAAGACTTAGGCAAACGGCGCGTATCAAAGACCCGGGAGTGCACTTACCCAAAAAACATGAAGACGAGATGGGCTGTTTTACCCCATCGCGCCCCGACAACTTCGAGCCAAGTATGCGCAAACGGTGCATTGAGCTTTAACTTTGCCGCTATCTGTCGAGTCTGAGAAAATGTTTGCGTTTGACATATTGATCTCACCATCGCGAAAAGCAAAACTTGTATCGTTGCTCCCGCTCCATACCACCATGGCCCACTGATACCTGACCAATGGGTCAGACGAGCACTCGATTGGAGGTATTACTTACCATATTTGTACGCAACAGCACTACTCTGAAGTAATGTTGCTGCCCATGTCCATGCTGAGACGATTCCCGCCGCAATAAGACCCGGTTTCACGCTGCGAGACGCGCTGCTGAATTCTTCCGATGAACGAGGAGAGAATGGCGTGTAGCGTGCTTGAATCGCAGTCAACCCGATCATAAACACGCTGAAGAACAGGCCAATTCCTATAAGATGTTCGGTGCATATTCTGACCCGTTATATCTGGAGACTGACCGACAACTGAAATAAAATGGTCAGAAAAGATCCATACCACAATGGCGGTGACTCACCAACCCCATACCCGGCACCCTGAGGAAGCACAGTCGAGCTGGAGGACATAATATGTCGTGTAGAGAAGGGAACTTCTCAGCTTGCTTCAGGAAGCTAGCGGCATGGCTGACTTTGTGTGGAGTCTTTATCTATACGACAGGCGATAAGCCATTCGAAGTCCTGCCAACCAGCGCCGCCGAGTGGCATGGAACCTTCTTTTAGTCGATACGCGTCGTAAAAGGGCCCGTTTTCTTGTCACATAGCAAAACGAAAAAAAGAAAGCCGAATCAGCAACAAAAGTCAGGTTATATAAGCCTTTGATCGTATGATGCACAATTACTTTTACGACTAACCAGTCAAAGTCAGATGGAACTCTCCGTTATCGCGATATTCGAGTCCACCAAAAAGAGTGTTCCCCCTGAGAAAGTCGATTCGTCCCATTTTTATCTCATCCCTAACCCCATGTGCACGTGCAACCGCAACTCGACTGTGGAAATCGTTTTCAGCTTGAATCCACTCCTCACGCGACATGGCCATAAGCTCTCGATGCGTGAGGTTCTTTTGCAAGATGAAGATATATGGCATAGAGAACGTCACCAACGAGCACTATACCATCGTCTTTGCGCTGGATGTGAATTAAGTCCCAAGGCCAGTCCAGGTCTGGAGACTTCAGTGGAACCGGAGGAAATGCCATATATGTTGTTGAAACAGCAACCATCATAGAGGATAGAGGGGGGGTTGTAGCAGGTTGAAAAAGATCGTAGTTCTCAATGGGACGACTGGTGCGATTCACTCGTATCATGGCGTGATTCGGAGGCCTTGACGCATCCCAATCGAGGTATGAGTTCTCATATCGTTGGTTCGCAAGCTGTGCATTGACAGTTACCGGGGGAGCACTCCAGGATTGTGGAGGGGGTGCCTGAGGCCACGACCAAGGTGACTGCATTGCTGGCACATACGGAGACAGAGGCTGCGATGCAGGCACTTGAGTCACTGATCGCGACATGAGAAGAGAGACCATGAGAGATCAAGAAGCGAACTCAGAGGGTAACCAGGTATAAAACTCTGTGGGTATTGTGGAATGTATGGCGTCGATCGATGAACAGCAGCAAATGGATTTGGTCGCCGCTTGCGCTGAGTATTGGGGTAAGCCATTGTGCTCCCTTGAACAAGGCAGACGTGCCTTAAAAGGTGAGGACCAGCTGGAGCACTGACCCATATTAGTTGGGAAGAGTCAAGTCGTGTTTTGTGGGTCCAGATTTATCATGCACGAGGCGCCGAATCTGTTGATTCCCTCAACAGCAGTCCCAAACTGGTCCAAGAGATGCCTTCTGAGCCAGGGACGTGCCAGTCATGAGCTTGCAGTAGTCACACAATGTCTTGATAAGGTCCACGTCGCAAAGCTAGTTGACGATGTTGATAGAGTTAAATGTTGGTGGGAGACCAAAAAAGAATCAGATCAGTGAAGCTGACCAATGCTGTGACACGTTTGTGTGTCCCAAATGTTTTCCCTTGCCTCGAATGACCATGAACGATCTTCCCGTCCTCAACCCGTCCTGCAAACTTTTCCACTGAGGGAAGGCGCCATTGGACGTGTATTTCGAACGCAGAAGCTGAGGCCAAACTCGAACACAAATAAAGAGGAGCCAAATATAATGACCGACTCATTGCCACTCGAGTGACCTTCGGAGCCACAAACACCAAGCATGCTGCCTTATACGGCACTCTTCAATGAAATTGCCGAGCGTCGTACAGAAGAAAACCCTTCATATGAGCAACTTGGGTTGTAACCATATCTTCCGAGTCTGTACTAGTATGTGATCTGAATCAACTCATCGTATGCCTTTCCAGTTCGGGCTAATGGCGGCCAGAGTCAGAACACCCTTCCCATCCTTCGAGAGGAGACAGGAACTGATCTTGGCAATGCCAACCACATATATTGGTGCGCGAGAGCAGGTTCGCTAGCGCTTTCTTTACCTCATTGCTTCGAAAGCCTTGACTAGGCTTTGTTTCATGACGGCTATGCTTGTCAACCTGCTGGAATATATGGCTTTACCGCAATCCAGCACGATATTTGGCTAATATAAACCCCACATCGCGGCCGTCGGAGAGCAGATTGGGTTTGTTGACTGAGCCCACATCTTTCCGGACTCAGCTCAGGAAAGTGGCGATAAAGTCAGCGCGGAATTCATTTCCTTGACCAAAAAGATAATTCTTATCTCAGAGAAGTCGTGCTGCAAGTGTAACCGCCCGCAGTCTTTGGTGTGGACGCTGAGATGCTTATTGGGACGAACGTCCATCGCCCGTTCAACACTATATCCATGTTCATCTCCTGCATGGGGTCTTTGATACGGTGCGTCCTTTGGTTTGGAGAAGTCGTGAACGAGGTATTCGATCATTCAGCAGTCTGCACTGATTTTCTGAACGCCATCCAGCTGTCGAGGAGCTCATTTGGCTGGTGACGATCCGAGAATTTCCCGCCAGTCGGGCCGGTGTCGCGGCCCGGCGTAGGCGGCCCGCACGTGGCCCTCGCGACGCTTCTTTCTTTCGCCGCCACATATAAAGGCGTCCGCTGGTCCCCAAACCATCCGCTCGCCCCAAGTTTAAATGCCCGTTATCACTGGCTTCGACATTCACGGTACTCCCCCCCTTTTTGTTGTTCCGCCCGCTGACCCTGACGGCAGATGTGCGCTTCCCGACGTCGCTCACGGGTGATGGCACGGACGCGATGAACACGGACTGCGACTACTCTTCGGCATATGTCACGCTCCTCACCGACTCTGCCCTGGTGGGCCATGGGATGACGTTCACCATAGGTCGCGGGAACGACATTGTGTGTGCTGCGATTGGCGCGGTCGCACAGCGCCTGGTGGGCAAGGAGAGCGAGGAGTTGTTCAAGGATATGGGGAAGACATGGGAGTACATGATGGCGGACCCACAGCTGCGCTGGTGTGTCCCCTTCCCTTTTTTACTTCTGGGTAAGCTGACGACAAAACCCTGGCAGGATCGGCCCGGAGAAGGGTGTGATTCATATTGCCTCAGGTGCTGTGAATAACGCGCTATGGGACATGTATGCGCGGGCGAGGGATAAGCCATTGTGGAAGCTTGTGGTGGACTTCACACCAGAAGAGCTGGTTAGCGCGGCTGCGTGGCGGTATGTGTCCGATGCCATTACAAAGGAGGAGGCGCTCGCAATGCTTAAAGCGAAGGAAGCGGGAAAGAAGGAGAGGGAGGCGATTGTTAGGGAGCAAGGGTGAGTTCATTGTGATTTACTATGCGAACAAGAGGCTAATGACTGAAGATACCCCGCATATGTGACGTCCGCCGGCTGGTTAGGTCCGCCTTCTCTCTTCCCCGCTCACAAGACTAACGCTGTTCCCAGGATACACCGACGAGAAAGTTGCGCGACTGGTGAAAGAGGCACTCTCTCAGGGCTTCAACCATTTCAAGATGAAGGTCGGGGCCGACCCAGCTGACGACCTTCGCCGTGGAAAACTCATCCGCTCGCTCATCGACGACCCCACGCTGCTGCCTCCAAGCCATGCGCCGCCACCCCCAGAGAGCATCGCGGGGAAGAATGCCGGGCCGACCGGCGCGGTGCTCATGATCGACGCGAACCAGGTCTGGGATGTCTCACAGGCAATCGACTATGTCACAGGCCTGAAAGAGATCAAGCCATGGTTCATTGAGGAGCCCACAGCCCCGGACGACATTCTCGGCCACGCAGCCATCAGGAAGGGGTTAAAGGAGCGCGGGACGGGGATTGGTGTTGCGACGGGCGAGCACGCCCATAATCGGATGGTGTTCAAGCAACTGCTGCAGGCTGATGCAATCGACGTGTGTCAGATCGATTCCTGCCGCCTCGCAGGCGTCAGCGAGGTCCTTAGTGTGCTCTTCATGGCGGCCAAGTGCGGCCCATCGTTTCTTTCTCATCTTATCTGATTACTCGACAGATATGGCGTCCCCGTCTGTCCACACGCCGGCGGCGTAGGGCTGTGCGAGTACGTCATCCACCTCTCGCTGATCGACTACGTTGCCGTTTCTGGCAGCATGGACCGCAACGTGCTCGAGTTTGTTGACCATCTCCACGAGCACTTCGTCACCCCCTGCTCTATCAACACTCGCGGCCGCTACAACGTACCCGACAGTCCGGGCGAGGGGTACAGCATTGAGATCAAGACCACCAGTATTGCCGAGTACGAGTGGCCTGGGGGGAGCTATTGGGTTGGGCGGAGAACAGAGGGCAAGGAATGAATGTACAACAAACAAACTGTATTTAGGTTGCCGAATGAAGCCCAAGTTAATGCAACCATTTAACGACTCACTGAACATGAATGAAGATTAGCCCACATAGCAATGTCTTATACTTGAGTTTGATTTGTCAGCGTTGGCGCGGCATCCTCACTGCCGATGAATGAACAATCGGACAGTATATCCAGGGGGTCCTGTCCGCAATCACTTTCATTGGCCTGAAATGCTATACGGTGAGTTCTCAAGATATGGTTACAATGCTTACCTCCTTTCTCCAAGTTTGAGATTCCCCGATGAGCTGACTAAGCTGCACCACCTCTGGTGCAAACGCGGCGACCCTCCACAATTTCCCTCTCGCGAGCATGGCAAGGTCCACCGCAGGTCGCCCTGCGAGAACCCAATATTTGCCTAGTTCGCACATCGGTTCAAACCATTCCACAGCTCCGGTCGTGAAAACACCTCGAACGCCCAGGACGTTGAACAGGTCGGACAGAGAGATGTTATTCGCTGCTCTGAATTCGTCCAGAAAATCACAGCGCGTGAGGCATGACCGTTCCAGCCAGCGCCAATAAACGCCGTCTCGCGGTACTTCACCGGTTTGAGGGTCCAGCAAGAGGTCAGTGAGGGGTGTACCAAAGACATAGCGTGCGATAACATAGACGGTCATAAACACATTGAGACGATGGGTAAATATATACCCCAGTCGATTGACGTCCTCCAGGGTGTGAATCCGATAAAGCCGCATTGGGGGGCAGAGCTCGTTGCTAGGCACGATTCGGATTTGACGTGTGGAATAGAGAAGGTAAGTGGGAGGATGCTCCAGTTTGGAGGGTTCCACAGAGTGAAACAAAGTTATGAGTTTCCTGACGAGCATCTCGGCGGATGCGAGATCCCCTTCGGAGTACTGGAAATATTGTGCTGGTGCCTCATCAGTAAGCTTTGGCACAAGGAAGGATGCTATGTGCAATGGATTGCGTTGCAAAGGATTGGAAAGGCAGCTCTTGCGGCCAAGAACGGTCCACGGTAGTCCAGGTTGCGACCAGCACGCGTCGTCGCATTCGGGCATCCACAAAATGACATTCGAGGAGGTTGGAAGTACCGAAGCTAATTCTTCGACAGTAATCCCTACCCCTTGTCCAAGGTCAACGGTGCCCTCTTTGAAAGAAGCAAGAAGGGGAAGAAACAGAGTGTCATATGTCTGCAAGAATTTCGTTGTCTTTCGAACATATGCTAGGTAACGGGCCTTCAAGCATTCGGAAGAGGGACGGATTCTGATGTGTTTCTGGTCGAAAGCGGCAAGCATGACAAGGTCGGAAGTATAGCTGCCTATAACCAAAGATCTGTAGTTGTGTTTATAGAGAGGCAACTCTGACATCGGTCGGTTGAGGTAGACGACGAAATGGTTGATGGGGCGCCTGGGTCTGCCACAAAACACGAAAGCACTTGCAGCGTAGATCACCGACGAGGGGGTTGACGCTGTCAACAGAACGAGTGTGTGCAACATGAGAGTCAGACTGCAAGACGGATTAGGGGCACCGCGTATGATTGAGGCTTCAATCCGATCACAATTATTAGACACCTTTCCCGATCATCGCCGTCCAATCGAATTTGTCAAACTTCTTTCTGAGTTCTCCGACCCGTTCCTTGTTGCTCCGGAAATCCACTCGTTTCGGTCGCCGCCATTTCCTAGGTTCCAGCTCCAAAACATTGCCAATGATTTCCCCCGCAAAATATCTTGCAGACATCAACAAGTTGATACATTGCGGAGAAAACGAGAAATCGCACCTCGGAAACTCACCACCGCCTTTCTCCCCCTCTTCGAATCCCGCGGCATCTTCTTCTTCCGCCCCACCGTCACCAGTACCTTCGATGACATGGCCGTAACCCTTCTCGCCTTTGTAGTCGAACTGCACCATAAAATAAGGCAAATTAGGCACCATGGCCCGCCTAAATCCACCCGGACGACTTGAAAAGTCGATGAGTTTTTTGTGCTGTGACCACTCCGCCTCAGAAGCGAGGATAGATTCCTTGAAATATTGTGGGATGTCTTCAAATTGTTCCCAGGGCAGCGGAATGCATTCGATGAACGTGTGTTTTTGTCCTTTCAGAGAGATGACAGTCTCGTAGAAGATCACGCCTTGGTCGTCCTCTGCAAACATGCGCATGAGGCATTTCATAAAGTTCTGGCGTTAGTGTCAAGGGGTTTGGGCCAGAACGATGGATAAAGACCCACCCGAACTTCGTCCCAGACGTCATCATCTGCTTCAAGCATGTTGAGGTGGTGTTGGATAGGCACAATAAGGCAATGCCCCTTAACAAGTTCTTCGTTCGTTGTGCATGACAAATATGCCCGAGTGCCCATCGCAACAACCGGAGCTTTGGGTGGCGTCTCCCCATCTTCGCCATAGCAAAAGTGGCATTCTGCCAACACCTTTTGTGTCCGCTTGTAATCTATGGAAGTGTTGGGCTGGTTATCAGATGTGCGACGTGGTTACACACCATTGATAGCGAATTGTCGCTTCATCGCGTCCGAACGCATCTTTTGACGACCGAGCTTCTCGGCGTTGTCGTCGATGTAGTCCAGATCGTTCTAAGCGTGGTTTGGGTAAGGAATATTCCAAACATGAGCTCATCATACCTGAAACTTGCCGTCGCTCATGATGGAACGCGCGAATTCGGCATCCAGATTCTTCTGGTCTGCCATTCCGCCACCGAATCTTTCTTGCCTCAGCATTTCGCCCAAAGTGGTCGTGTCGTCGTTTGCGTTATACCGGAGGATCTCGCCAGTTTTGGGATCGTGGGTTTCAAACTAAGAACCTGATAAATGAATTGAGGATATTGAATACTCGTCGACTTCACCTTTTCTTCTTTCTTTCTCCGATTACCTGGACGAACTCGATCGTCCTCGGCGCCATGCCCAACATCATATAAGCGACCATGTCCATCGAGGGTGGGGAGAACTTCAACACGAGTCCGCACTCCACCTTCGTCACCGCCACCGTTTGCTTTGCGTGCCTCCGCCTCATACTCTCGTTCAAGCGCGTCTGCATCTGGTGCTCCCATCAGTTTTGCTCGTATTACTTTCGCTTGCAATCGGTTGAGTGACGAAGGTGAAAGCGCGCGTGACTTGGAGGTGCCAGCAGATGGGGTCATAACCGAGGGTATTGGCGTTCGCGCTTGAGCAAGCGGTGAACTGGCTGCTGATGGAAGACGGAGAGCATCAAGTCGTCGGTTTGTTGGTGCAGTAGCAGCAGGCGTAGATGGCCCACTACCACCACTTGGCCCGCCAGGCCGGCGAAATGACGAGCTTCGGCTAGATCCACCACTAGCATTGACATCGTTGAACATGAATCGTCGTTCTCCCTCAGGCCGCCCACGATCAGCATCTCTACGACCAGATCGCTTTTCTTCTCGCTCATCAAGTATTCGCCTTTCTTCCTTCGCTTCCTCAAATGCTTCCAATGAACCAAAACGGTCAACAGCAACCTGTTCGATGGAAAGTCCCTCTTCCTCTGCTGTTTCGTACACTTTTCGTAGTCGCATCATCCGCCATGAGGAGCCGGGACCACCAGGAGTATTTGTTTTGGGAGGCGGAGCAGTAGCATTAGGCGTCATTCCTAGTTTGACTTCTGGATTGAGCTCTTTAGCATGGACCACGGGCTTGACAATTGTCAAAAACGGAATTGAGCATCAAGAAATAGTACCTTGGTCGGGTCAGGGCGGTCGTCTTTGCCTCTCCGCTTCACTTCCGTGCCCAAGCTCGAGAAGAAGTCGACCCCACCAGCCAGCGTCCGCTGATTTTGCGAAGGTTCACCATAGTCTTCCGTGAATGATTCGTCACCAGACAGACCCTCAATGCGTTTCCGAGCAGGCTGTGGTGTTTCCGACGCGGGAGCGAGCATCCAGTCATCGCGTTGTAATGGCGGTTCTGACCTGCTTGGAATTGCGGCAGACGTGAGTTTGAGGCTTTTTGCAGTCGGAATGTCCGTTGTAAGAAGCTGGAAAGTCGGCAATGAGAGATGACTTGAAATAATTTACGCGTACAACGCACGCGTTCGCCGTCCATGTCAATATTCTTCTCGACCCACATATCCTCCTCGTTCGGGTCCTCGTCAACAATCGTTACTTTTTTGGACTTTTTGTGTTTCCGTTCCCCATCTTCGTCATCGTGTTTGCTCCGCTTCTTGTGTTTCTTATCTGAGTCATGTTTTGACCGTTTGCGTTTGGAGGAAGTGTCGTCCATAACGCGTGACCGTGATGATCACCGTGTTGAAACTTGCAACAAACTACAAATAAAAGGTCTTACAAGTCCGCGACTAGTCTACCCAAAACAAAACAAAACAAAACAAGTACCACAACTCAATAAAATCTCGTCGCCTTGGTCTGCTTGCCATCAAGATTTGTCGACCGACAAAGACTCTGCAAGTGGAACTGTGCCTGCGACACTGGCTCGAACCACTCTCTCTCGAATTGAACCAAAACTACATCCCCAGGTCCCGCACCAGTAATATTTGCGTACTGGCCCAACTGGGAGACACTCCCCCGGACATCCGGCCCGATGATGACAACCCTGCCTTTGGCTGCCTGCGCAATCGAAACATCCTGGGTGGGTTGAACCGGCTGGGGTAATGCGCTTCGCATAGGTGCAAGCCACTTGGGGGCTAGTCTGATTCGCTTCTGGAGGCCATCTACATAGACGTTTATTGGAACTTTGAGCAACGCCTCGGTTAGAGGCTGATCAAGTTCGATAAACCCACTCCTGCCAACCGCATCTGCTTGGACGTTGGTGACCCGGCCGTGTCGTATTGGCATGATGATAACATCGATACGCTTTCCGGAAAGTGTGGGTATGCAAAGCCAGCGTCCCTCATCGTTTCCAATTTGGTGAACATCAGGCTGTGGTGATGAGTTGACGAGAGGGGAAAGATGTTCCGGGGTACCGGATGCACTTGAAGGCGAGTAGGAAGATGGTGAGTTGACATTGTCGTCCCAAAATGCCACACGCTGAGCCAACACACGCGAATAGCCAGACGAGGATCGACAAGCGTTGTCTGGTTCTGGTTCTGGTTTTCTCGGCTGCTCCAAAGGCTCTTCCCTATGCCAGAACACGACGTGTTGGGTAAGAACACGACACTAGATGAAATGTCAGCATTGTCCCATTACCCATGTCATCGGACTTACAACTTTATAGCCTTTTGGGCCGGGACTCTCTGGTCCATTCTGCGCCAATGAATTAGATCAAATCATGGTATTGCTATGTGCTCACCAATGGAAATACCTCAATCGCGCTGTCGAGGACACCTTTGCGGGCACTTTCAATCAAAGGGAAGGTCCTAATCACCGTACCAACTTCGCCAGCATGATAGCCATGGACGATTTTGACGAGATCCCGCTCGACGAAGTGCCGGACCATGCAAGACATCGGCACTTGTTCCCTCGTGTGATACTGTTCTGTTTCAACTATGACCAAAGGGTCTTGGCCAGAGTCGATGGAAATAACGCGTCCCAGCATTCCTCGTTCTCTACCACGGACGACATAAATGCGATCTCCGACCAGCGGCGCGGGGATTCCCGAGAATAAATGTCGGCGAAGACACGACATGTCGAACGTAACAACATCATCTTCATGCATTGGGGTTTGCAGTCGTTGGACAAAATTTGGGTCGAGGGCGCTGAATGGTGCGTTGTTCACAGCCACCCGGACTTGAGCTGTGCCGTCTGGCGAAAGCTGCATGATAAAGCCACTCCCACCGAATGGAAGGACCACTCGACAACCCGGGAGGAAAGCCGCCCCTTGTTGTCGACAGTAGGCCGTCTGGAACCATTTTGCATCGGTCGCCAGTTGCTCCCAGAGATGTAGATCGGAGGGAGAAGGTTGTGGGGCGATATTTACCATACTTGGAAGATGCGTTCCGTCGTCAAGTTGCAACTCTGCGAGTGTGTTGGATTGTATGGTTCGTGTTGATGATGAGCTGCTTCCGTGTAACCGTTCTCGAGGGACGACAGTAATCAGAGTGTCTTGTGCAACGACGAGGGCTAGTTGGCCGGCTCGGATCCCCGTCTCGGGGTCGCTTGCCTTGAGATGGACCCATTGGTACATTGGAAGAGACCCCGAGCTCGAGTTATTCGAAATTTGTGGACGTTTATGATTGTTTGGTGAAACTGGCGGTGTGCAAGATCGCTTCAAAGGCCGATTAGGTGTCTCTTCTTCATATTTTGGACGGTTTGTTGTTGCCTGCAGTTCTGTAGAGCATTCTCCAGAAACTAGCTAAGGGGGTGGGCTCAATCCTTGATAACTCGTTTCGATGATCTTATTTTGAATACCCACTTGATTGAGTTGTGGACGGCGTCGGCTCATGAGGGAAGAAAATATAGAGGGAAGAGCGTTGGATGGGAGAGGGGAAGAGGCTGACGCAGACCGCGGCCGAACGACCGCCATTCGCCAGGCTGGATGCCATCCTGGGCTAGAGAAGGATTCGAAATTGACGCTAACATTGATAGGTGGTTGATGTGATTCTATTCGGTGGGAGCCGACCAATGTGCCATATGTCGCGTGGGAATTCCCGAGAACATGCGGTTCGGCGCTTGCAGTCCCGCCTACCATTTTCAACAACAGCTGTATCTGAAGTGAACATCGGACTGCATCTCGAAACTCCCACAACTTATGTTTGTCTTAGACGTCTCATACCTCTTCGCTCCCTTTTCGCTCGCTGGTTTTTTTTGGTGGACCGGCGGAAGTGAATCAACGGGACGCCTTCACGAGCAGATGGCTTCGACGTTCAAGCTTCAGGAATACCGGCAGCCATTCACTCTTTCTGATTTCCCCTGTATAGTGCATGTTACCAAGCATCTTGAGCGGCGATATCAGAGCGCGGACGATGTCAAAGTTTTCCCGTTGACGCAGACAAGCACAACTCTCTGTGTGTAGACTTGAACGGCTTGTCCAATCGTTTCACCCGTCAACTGTTTGTTTTATAGCTCTGACCTCAGTTTGTTTCAGTGGCTACAACGCGCGAACTGTCCCTTAAATTCTATTCTTGATGAGCTTGAGAAGAGAAGCAAGTCGAATTGATCACCTCTTGACTGGAGAGTGTTTCTGACCCAGCAGGAGTTGGTTTACCGCCCGTTGCCTGCCAATTTCCTCTTGCCGATAGAAGTGTAGTATCGATGGATTGCAATTTGTGCCGGGACCAGGAGTATTACCATCGGTCCAAATACTAGTAGGACACTAGTTTATTGGTAACGAAAGAGTCCGGCATGGTCAGGGACTCAGGGACTCGGGAGCGTGGTGGGATCTATCTGGAAGAAGTGGCACCACTGAGAAATGTTCGGGATTGCATCCAGCTCTAGTAGCTGCTCTACTAGCACATATAAATACTTTCTTCGCTGTGGCACAACCCGGCTGTTGCCCGTGTCAATATAAAATTAGGCCAAAAGAGCAGATCAGCGCTCCAAATATACTTAGCTACTAGGCCTATCGCCGCCAGTTCAAGAGCGCCCATGGTCGATCAAGGATACAGTTTTGCGCCACTAACTTAAACGTGCCACAAAAAAAAAGGGATACAGTTTTGATTGCGTGACTGTGCGAGTCTTATCTGATTGATACGATTATCTGATGATTGACACCTATTTCAGACAGTCATGTGCGAGGAAAAACTATCTAGCTAGTTGCAGAAAATGTAGATGAGGGTCGTATGTACTTGTCGTGGCAGATAAAATAAGGAATAGAGGTAGTAAAAACACAGTAACTCAGCTACATCATCGTTTACAATTCTGCTTGTTCGTCGTTTTGTCATTCCTTTCCTACTCACCTCTACCTACACATCGGCCCATGTTGCGACCCAGGAGAATCCAGCAAACTCCTGCTGGTCCCGCGATGATAGTTGCCCATGCACCGGTGTCAGCGTAGGCTGCTCTTTGGTGAATTCTTCGTCAAAGTTGCTCGTGTCGGCGCTGCCATTCTGCATAATCTGTGCTCAGAAACCATCTTATCAAGATCAAGTCAACACGCACGATGGTGGGGAAGTAAGGGGGCGGTATTCGTTTGTGGAGTACATCGTCCCAATTGACGTCCTTGAAGAAAGGTTGCCGCTTAATCTCCTCGGCGTCTTCCTCGCCAGCACCTAATCTACGCTGAGGGTCACGGTTCAGAAGCTGCAATACGTGTGAATGATCAAAACAAACACCGAAGATGAGTATTCAAAAATACCTTTTGTAAGATCGAGACAGCATCTCTGGGCATGGTGATTGGATAAAGCGGTTCGTCCTCCAAGATTGCGTCGAAAATTTCATCTTCATCGTCGCCACGGAACGGAGACTGCCCTAACAGCATTTCGTAGGTGAGCACACCAAAAGCCCACCAGTCGACCGCCCGTCCATAGCGTTGTTCCAATAAAATCTGATTAAAAATCAGCCAATGCGAGGCATGGAAGTAGATGCGCGAACTTCGGGAGCCATGAATTCTGGAGTACCACAGAAGGTACTCGTTGTCTTGCCGTACCACATTTCCTCCTTGCACAACCCATAGTCCGCAACCTTGACGTGGCCGTCAAGCGTCAACAGAATGTTATCGAGTTTTAGATCACTGCACGATGAGGAGATTCAGGAAAACTATACCGAGGTGAAATGAAGACGGACCGGTAGATGATGCCATTTTTATGGAAATACTCCAGCGCCAGCAACACTTCCGATGCATAGAATTTGGCCTGTCGCAGAGAGAATTGCTTCCGCTGAATGTGAAGCATGAGATCACCTCCGCTTACATACTCCATCACGAAGTAAACGCGGGTCTCAGTCTGGAAACACGAATGGAGTCCGAGGAGGAAGGGATGTCGTTCTCGGGCAGCTGCGAGGAAAACACGTTTCTCGGAGCGGGTGCTGGGTCAAACGTTAGCAAGCTTGGTTAACTGGGCAGCGGTGACATACCTCTCAACTTCATCGTTATCAATGATGAATTCCTTCTTCAAAACCTTGATAGCATAGAGACCGTTTGTCTTCTTCTCCTCCGCCAACATAACCTTCCCGAAATTACCCTTACCGAGGACGGCCAAGAAGTTGAAGTCATCGAGCCCGACTTTCCTTTTTGGTCGCGTCTGCTGGCGAACAGGCGCTTGTACTGGAACCTGTTGTTGTTGAGGAGGCGGTGGAAGACGCGATTGGGGTGGTTGCATGGATGGTGGCCGTGGGGCTATCGGCGACATGGGCAAACCTTGGCTACCTTGTTTTCGTGGACCTGGTGGTCCCGCACCGGGTTGAGGACTTCGTGGAGGACCCTGCATTGATTAACTAAGTAGAAGATTCGATAAGCGCAAATCGACTGACTGGATAAGAAAGCGGGTAGCCATCTGGTCCTAGGGCGGCTGCTGATGGGTCATAAGCTCCAGGAGGTGGACGAGGTTGAGGTGGTGGTGGCTGGTCATAGCCTGGTCTTGGGCCAGCTGGCCCGGTAGGTGGACGAGGACCAGGAGGTGCATATGGTGACTGTGCTGGGGGCTGCACGTGGCCTGGCAATGCATGCTGGTAGTAATGCGGGGCTTCAGGAGTTGATGTTGCGACGATAGGATCGTATTGGGCTGGAGGCGGCGGAGGCCGGCCGTATTCAGGTGGCGGTGCCATGTCAGAACCTGTAAGACGCAAGTTGGCCATGCCAGTGGTAGGCGAATCCCCAGGGGTCAATTGTTTTCGAGGTGCATTTTGGCTCTGTGTGCTGCGAATGTCGCGGAGACCACGTAGGATTCTGTTGGCAGTTTCCATGGACATTCCACAGAAATCAGGAACAAGGTGGGCGCAATTGGCATGGCAGGTGATGTTGCATTCAGAACACTTGCGCGAGTTTTTCCTGCCAAACGGAAGCATGTACCCGCAATGACAGCACCAATTAGCGCCCATGTTAGTGAGGGGCTCAAATCGATGTGGGATACGGTGGTTGATTTTTTCTTCATCGCCCTCCTTGGAGATGATCAGCGGACGGACAATAAAGAAAGTGCTGCACACTCACTCCAGTGTTAGACTTGGAGATACATTTCGTGACCACTTTTTCATAGCACTTCTTGTGACAGGTATATCGACAGTCTTCGCATTGGTAGCCTGCTGCGTTGAGAAGAAACTCGCTGCAGAATGCACAGAGCATAAGTTGGTAGAACTGTCGCTGGACAAATTTATGGCCATTCATTTCGTGGACTTCATCTTTGCGCTTGCGGACAGCGCCTTGACGCCCGAGACCACCGAGAGGAGCATCTAAAGGCCGCTTGCGAACATTCTCCTTGACTAAAAGGTATTAAGGAAAACAAGTCAGCTAGAAAAAGATGAAGACGCACTAAAGTTGAGGTGCAACAGTATAGCTCCCGCGGGTTCGACAGCGAACCATGCATCAATACCTTCTGCAGTCGGGGCCATCCCAAGGAGTTGGCCAGTCCCACCATCTCGATAGCCTAGAGGAGCATTGAAGTCGCCCCCATTGGAGGCTGGTTGACCGGGCATAGCGCCAGCCGTGACCCAACCTTGACCACTATCCATACCAACCTTCTGTCGGCGCAAAGCTTCAACAAGATCGCTGATGCGGATCCAGAGAAGGCCAATAGGAACCCCTTGAGTGTCTCCAACATGTTTGTCAGTCAGGACAATTTCGACTTCATTGGCTTTGTCAACGGAAATTGTGAAGTCTTCGTTCCATCGGTCCGTCCGAGAGGGATGTGACCGGGCAAGCTGAGTGCCTTCAACCTTTAGCGACACGACGGTCTCGATCTGTTGTTTGGATGAAGATTTAGAGCGGCCGGTGATAACCGGAGCATGTTCTATTTCACGGGCACCGTGGACCGTAACATGGAGGGTACCGGAAAGTGGTTTGGCGCGAAGGTTGTCCTTACGTTCGCCGTCAATCCCGGGGACATCTAGAGGTTGTTAAAATTGAAAACTTATGACGACAACCAAAACTGACTTGCTGTCGCGTCCTCCTCATCGACAACATCCAGCACATGTAAGTTCTTGTACCGCTTTAGAGCGGTGTTGAGAAGTTGGATCTTCTTTTCACTTTCGATCTTCTTTTGGTCGGCGTCGGTACGAGAGCGCTTGTCGCCGTCCGCAGAGTAAAGCTTCGCCATCTTCTCTATGCCCTCCTTGTATTGCTGCTCCACACGGAGTTTGAACTCGAGTTGATGAAGCATCCGTGATATCTTTTCTGGCGTATGCGGTGTTTCGGCCTTGATGAGGTCGAGGTTGGAGTACTTCTGACTGGGACTAGGACCTTGACCACCAGGCATTGGACCACGGCCACCCTTGGGAGGTACCTGATGCGTGTTAATCGAATGGAATCGGATGGGAAGCTTTACTCACCTGGGGTGCATCATAATCGGGCTGGGGGTTGTTCTTGCGAGCGAGGAGCTCACGAAGAGTTTGTTCAAAATAAGCGAGAGACCGCTCGGTTTCCCTTATCTTTGAGTCATTGCGACGTAGCACATCGGGATTAGTTGTCGCTTGTCGAAGAAGTTGGGACGCCTCCAAGATCTTGCGTTCTGTCGCAATGTGTTTGTAGACATCCTGGATCTTCTGGTCGAGTTCGTCCTTCATCATCGTTAGTGGGTTTCACATAAAACGATTCCGCTTGTTTCACCATGAGCTCGAGACCAGAAATCCCGCCGTCGATGGGAGTGGAGGTAGAAAGAAGAGACACAGCCCAAGCACCGTGTGACACCTAAACGTAACGCTAATGTAACTTTCACCCAATGGTCATTCGCGCATCCGATGCACACTGCCGTTTAGCACTCACTGCTGCGCATTATTTCTCCAATAAGCTTCTCGATGACAATACGGATGTCTACTCCTCTTCTAGAGTCCTCATCTCTCTATCTGGCATTCTCAATAACTCTCCTGTTTCTCCACCCGATCTCCTTGGATCTCAACTTGCCCAACACTTTGTGGATTACCTTCAAGCGGTAACTTACATCCATCACCACGATTATTTAAGCAACATGAGTGCAGAACGCAACTCAACTTGGCATCGCTCTCTTGTCTGGCTTATATCTCGATACTGACGGTCATGTCAAATGTCGGCTTCTCCGTGAAGCCCCTCCAATACTGATTATCCACCATAGTAATAGTTACACCTGCTGTCTATTCCCCTGCTGGCCCACATCTTCAACGTGCTCATGTTTATCTTACCGCAATCAACCTCAAATACGTTTGGACGACAACCAACCAGTTTTCTGACGCGCGTATTCATCCATTCGCTTCAAGCTTAGCATTGCCTTTTCGACTCCTACTCGATAACGTAATCGAACGCTTTTGCGTCTGGCAACTCGTAAAGTTTGTGGAGTCCTGCCCTTCCATTTTGCCTCTGCTGACTGGTTGTCCAAGACGCTACCCACTTATATTCGGCCATTGGAAGCAGGTAAGTCCAAACCGGATCCGCATGTTGTAAGTAGTCTGATGCAGTACACGAAGCAACTGGATGTCGAACGATCATTTTTCAAGAAAATTTTCCGCTCTGTGTCCCGCATCGCAACGAGATCAAACAACTCTCAGTTTCGCAATAAATGTGCTCGCCGGTTCAAGGTTTGCCTCAATTTGTGGTCACCTCAATGCTTCATCATAATTCATTTCTTCCAGTCCATTCAAGACCAGCATGATGCAAACTTCGCAGCCGCAAGCTTAGAAGACGAACCAGTGCTCGATGACGAAGAATCACTCAGCTTATCCCTGGAACTTTGTTATCGAACCCATTTGCGCCGCCCCCGCTTCAAGGTTCCTTTACTTCCGCTTTCCATCTCTCTTAGTTTGATTTTGGTCAGGGAGCTAACCATTCAACGACAGCAAACCCCAATTTAGCTGACGACAGCGAGTTTTCTCAAGACTTACTTACGCCTCAATCTTCCCAACAGTTTGACGAAGAGTATCTTTGGTCCGATGCAACGGCGGTGCCTATTACAGCCAATCCTGACTTGCTACTTGGGTGCGACAGCGATATCAAACCAGTCCCCATCGAGTATCAAGACCTATCCGATTTCTGGGACGATAGCGACAACGAAATCGAAGATATGCTGGACCAAGCTTCACCTTCGGATGACGACATACGTCCCTCTACCAACGATGAAAGCTTGTTGGACCCCGTCGGCATCGACCGAGACGTTAGTGAGGACGACCAATTTGCATTGGAATGGGAAGAAGAAGAAGACGTGGATAGGTCAGCAGACGAGCTTGCGCTATCCCCAAGTGCCTTGCCTGCCGACTACGGCTTCGAGCCAGATTTGGTTTGCCAAGCGGCTTTCTCAGGCTTGTCGAGCAAGTATTGCGATCATGACCTAGAGCTGGCTTTCGACTCGGACGACCCAGATGGACTGTGCCATGGAAAGGCAGACTCGCCAGAGGCCAGGAACGAGCTGGAGCATCACGATGTTATAATGAGTGTCGATGGAGAAACAATAGGCGCCGGTGAATTCTGTGGAGTGGCTGGATTGTTGGAAGAGGATGAATGGATGTAAATTTGTGGTGCTCCTGTTGTGTATTTTCAGGGCTGCGGATTCCCATACCAACGCGTCGGAGATCGAAATGCTAAAATCGGTGACGGCCGAGCGGTCACACTTCGTAAAGTCTTCTTGCCCTCCGCCTCCACCTTTCCCGCTTATAACCTCTTTCTTCTCTCGCCTTCCTTTACGACCCAACACCATAATGCTTCCCGCCCAACGCAACAAGGTCGATATGAGTGTTCGTTGTTTCAGTTGTCGCATGTCTAGGTGGTTAACGGAACTCATTGCAGAAGCTCAATGAGCAAGAGCAACTCTTGTTCGCCAAGTATGGAAAGCTACCGACACACAAGAATGTCCTCATGAAGATGCAGAAGGTTTGAGATTTTGTGTAGCGGTCACCCGCTCATCATCGTCCAGGATCGCAAGTATTTTGACTCGGGTGACTACGCACTCTCCAAGGCTGGCGTGGCTCCGCAAAACGCTGTTGGTACTGCGATTCCCAATCCCGAAAAGTGCGTGGCCTAGATGAATTCCCTATCTCAAAATGCTCATTATAACTTATAACCAGCATTCCCCATGCCTCCTCCCCGCCCATCAACGGCCACGCTGGTCTCTCCACATCGCCTACGAATCCCACCAGTCCGGTCAATAAAGAGAGTGGACTTGCTCATGACGACGAGTCCTCAACCATTGCCACCGTCACTGAGGCGGCCCCAATAACTGCCGAGTCGTGAATTGGCTCCACCTACTTTCGATCTCTCTCGATGCACCCTTAAGTATATTCCGCATATTATCCGCTGCCCCACCCAAAAATTACTCCTTTTTTGTGGCGGGACACCGAGTTTACTTCGATTCGAAATTCGGCCTCTGGATCTGCTTGTATGTATATTACGGATACTGGCGTAGAAAGCAGAAGTCCTTGTACGAGTGTCTCTAATAAATCGTGGCGAAACGTTTTACATAGACGGAGCTTGGGCTTCTTGAGGAACTTCTTGCCTGCCATTGCATGTGACATTCGCGTGACCTCCTTCTTTCGACGCGACAATGGCTGACGATGCCCTTGCCCAAGAAATCTGTTCACGGTTCCCCGAGGTCGCTTCTGACGCGTCTCTCGTCGCCGAATGCTAGTTATTTGTCGCCTTTTACTCCTAAACTGAGCTAACAATGCTTTAGGCGTGACTGTGTGCAAAAACTACGCTCTTAGTCCTGAAGACCTACAATATAAATGGGAAGCTCATAATTTCCGTCCATCCGCGACGCGTTCCGAGATCTCCCCTTACACCCTCGAATCGCTCATCTCTCTCAAACAACAAATCCAACGCGACCGCACAATCAACGCGATCCCCAAACCAGCCCCAAGACCGACAGCCCTTGTCGCTGCGCTGAATAGGACAGGGTTTCGTGGACGGGGTGCTGGCAGTAATGTGGCCAAGTCTTCACAAGTGAAAGTGGAGCCAGATGCAGAGGGTTTTGCTATGATCGCTGGGCCCAGTAAAGTGGCATTTCGCGGGCCGCCTGCAGCCCCTGCTGCACGCAAGAAACGGGCTTGTGCGTGATTTGATTCTCCCTTTTCTTATCTCAGGACTTCTTTCTAGATAGGTACATGCTGGACAAGCCGTCAGAACGCGGACATGGCGCGTGTTCTTTCGTTTGCCTTTTGGCTTGGCTGCTGAGACGGACTTGTAGTGATGGATCAACGGATTGAAGAGTATGCTGAGCGGATACGCGAGCAGTATGAGTTGAATGATATAGGCGACCCGTCTGCTTCTACAGCGGTAGGCATTACCGTGACCTTGCAACGCGTCTCATTTCAGTTTAGGATGAAATAACCGTTGTGGGTCGGATAATACACGACGACGATGCAGCGGAGGACACATCCAAACTTGGAGACACCGCCATCGCCATCGAATGCGCTTGTTCTATTGGCGGGCCACGAGCCCCGATTAGATTCGAGTGGGACCTTAAAATTCGCGGTGGACCTAAAGGAAATGGCGCAGCTACTTTCTTTCCCGGTGCACTTGCGGCATTCCGTGGAAAAAACGGCGGGGCAGACCATTTCCAGGTATCAGAAGTTTTATATGTGAGGCTTTCCTTTGTGGACTATCTTCCTTCTTGATCAAGAGCTAGCTACCACCCCCACCTCTGCAAACAGAATTCAAGCCAGAACCGCACGATCCCTTCTCCGTTCTTGTCGCATGTGGTCCGTTCACCCCCGACACTGATCTGGGGTTCAAATCCTGGCGCGCGTTATTACAGAAGCTGCAAGAAATCAAACCGGATGTTGTAGTGCTTGTGCGTGTTTCTTCCATGTTAGACTATCCTAAACGTGAATCAGACTGGGCCATTTATCGACGCCCAACACCCGCATATCAAATCTGGGGAAGTCGACAGCACGCCAGCCAGCCTCTTTAGAACACGATTCGTGGATCCTTTACGATCATACCTTGATTCCGCACCGGGAAGCATTGCAGTGGTCGTTCCTAGTGTTCGCGATCTAGTCAGCAGTCACGCGGTGTTCCCGCAAGCTGAGCTGGAGAGGGAACTGGTCAAGTCAGATCCAGTGAGTGGCATCCTATTCAACAAATTGACGCTTATATTACCTAGCGAATACACACTGTGCCAAACCCGGCCTGGTTCACTCTCAACGGCCTCAGTTTCTCTGTCACCAGCGCTGACATACTTTTCCACCTCAAGCGCGGCGAGTTTACCAAACGGGGGGCTGAAATTGATCCAGTAGAGGTATCTCCTGACGACGCTTGTGGAGACGCGATTGTTGGGTTGTGCAAGCATGTATTACAACAGCGGTCGTGCGTGTTTTCTTGTCCTCTGTTCCAGGAAGCTTACCAGAGAGAAGAATATACCCTGTCTTCCCTGTTCCTGCAGATCTTACAAATGAACTGGTCTTGGACATAACGCACTCCGGAGGGCTGCGTCTTGGACCAGGAATGGATGGCAGCAGCGATGTACCACCGCCGGACTGCTCGCCTGATGTGCTTATTGTCGCCAGTCGGTTCAAGCAGTTCGCGAAGCCAGTATATGAGACGACTGCGATCAATCCTGGGTTCGTATATAAAGGGTCATATGTCGTGTTGGAAGTGGGTGCGCGGACTGGGGAGGAGAGACCAGTGTTGGCGCCACGAGTGTTGAAGCTTGAGTGATGTTACAAGTTATCGTTGTTGTTGTAGATCTGCTGCTCGATGTTACCCTCTCCTCATTGTCCACCCCTCGTGGAAGACTTCAACCGTGACCCTGACGCAACCATCGCTTGTTGTTCTTCGGCTACCAACTCTTCGTCGACATCCGTCTCGCCCGTGCCCGTTTCGCGCATAAGCTGGTAGAAGCTGCTCCACAAATCCGCGATCGTAGAGTACTCCTTTGTCATCCCAATCACCTCTTCCAGTTTGCGGTTCAGCATGTTCGTGGATGTGAGCACCGTTTCAAAATCCTGTTCAATGGTTATCACGATCGAAAGAAGTTGAAAAGAGTGAACACAGTTTTGATTTCTCTGGTGAGCCGCTCGCGTTCACGCTCGAAGAAGGAGGGCTCGGGGGAACTTTCAACGCGCTCTCGGTCGCGGTCAAGTTGAGACATGACGCGTCAGTCACGTCACGTCGTCACACACATTCCTTTTCCTAGAAACCACAACCTACCAGTTAACAACTGGAGACGGTTCTGCTCAATAAACATGTCAACATTCTACAATATTGTCCCCGCAACTCTTTAATGACCCTTGTTATCTGCCCTTGGCCAAATTCGATCTGTTCTTCGAGTAATCCTGAATCTCCGATAGACCGATGCCTCGTCGGCCGAGAGTAGCACCTATAAAGCTGCAACAAACATACCCAGCTCCTCTACTATGGCTTCGGACGACAAGTATGACGCGCAAGGCTGGTCTGCCAAACTTTATAGTCAATCTGCTGCATTTGTCTACTCCCCTGCATACACGGCTCCGGTCCTAGACCTCTTACAAGCGCAGCCTGGCGAAAAAATCATCGATTTCGGTTGTGGCAGCGGCCAAGTCACGTTCGAGATCGAGCAAATCGTGAAACAGGCCCCGGGTGGCTTTGTTGTCGGTGTGGATTCCAGTGAGAGCATGGTAACAAAAAGGTCTACCAGTGAAGCTCGGATCAAGCTGACGATTGGATAGATCGCTAAATGCAAGGAGGCTGAAATGGAGCACGCTTTTGTGTCCGACATCCAGAGGCTTGATATTCCCATGAACAGATTCAATAATGGGGAAGAGAATTTCAAGTTCGATGCTGTGTTCAGCAATGCGACGCTGCATTGGTGCAAACGCGACCCTGCTGGTGTTCTCGAAAGCGTGAAGACGGTTCTAAAGCCACGTGGTAGACTACTGGTCGAGATGGGCGGGATGCACAATTGTGGGGGCTTGTAAATCTATTGATTCTGGCTGCTAACTGCAACTCCAGGTATCGGTCTGTTTGACCCTTGTTTTTCCAAGTGTTGTTCATTCCCTACAAGGTATTCGCAGTCACCTTCATCGCTCTTTACAAGCTCGCCGCTACGACCCTGTTGCGCTTGACCCCTGGTTCTTCCCATCGGTCGAAGAGTACTCCAAGGTCTGTTCCTCTTGCCTGACTTCCGTCCTTACCTCGCTAAACCGCTCATCAGCTCCTGACAACCGCAGGTTTTGTTATTAAAACCATTACTCTTGTTCCCCGTGTCACTCCACTATCTGATGGTGTCCGTGGCTGGCTCGAAGTGTTTGCTCGAACCTCGATTTTGAAGCAATGTTCTGAGCAAGAAGCGAATGAGATCATTGACGAAGTGGTCGATGCGATGAAGGTGGATTGTTTAGACAACGAAGGCAACTGGTCCATGATGTACACCAGGTTGAGGTTTGTCGCGATATGGTCCAAAACTTGAGTTTGTACTAGTATTCCTGCTCGATGAAAAAAACGGGTTTTGAGATGTTCTTCTGTTGAGTCTCTTCTAGTCATGCATGATATAAACAACCAGCTGTTCGGAGTAATCCACTCTCGTTCTCGCGGAGCAGTTCAGAGTTTGTCATTCTGCTGGACGTGGTCAGAATCAAATCGAATCAACTCACGTGTCTCGGCTCTGTGTCCGGCATGTTTTTAACTCGCGTTGCTCGAGCTCGACCACTTATTTCTCGTTCAGCCAGCACTTACTACAGACCCAAAATGGGCAAAAAGTCGAAAACCATCCCAGAGACTCTCTTCAAACTCACCCACCCTGCCGTCTCCCCTACTTCCCCCATTGTCGATACCCATACACATCTCGCGTCGACCTTCGAAGCATATCGGCACAAATATCCAGACGGGAAATATGCCGACGTGTTTGACTTTGTGAGGGGACTCTACTCTCCCGGAGGTGTCCAAGAAATCATCGATGTTTGGTGTGAGGCGCCAGTTCGCCCGATATGGCGGGAATTCGCAGACGCCGCCCTGACAGAGCAAGATCGGCAAGAGAAATGGGGCGGGATGGGGTACTGGTTCGTCATGGGCGTACATCCCCATGAGGCGAAGCACTATAATGATGCTGTCGAGGCCGATATGTGCGCGACTTTATTCTCTCTCCCGTCAAATGGATGGGCTGATGCTGCACTCAAGACTAGAGGCCATGAAGCATCCGAGATGCGTGGGCTGGGGGGAAATGGGCCTCGATTATCACTACGACAATTCCCCGCGTGAAATCCAACAAGAAGTATTTGCACGACAACTCCGACAGGCCGTTCGACTAAACAAGCCTCTGACTATTCACACACGCGAAGCAGACGAAGATACGGAGCGAATATTGAAGGAAGAGGTGCCTAAAGAGCACAAGGTATATCACGATCATTTCTAGTCTCAGCATCTCTTACTTCTTGATTAGATCCACATCCACTGCTTCACCGACTCGCCTGCATTCGCACAACGACTTCTAGACTGGTTCCCCAACTTATACATCGGAGTCACAGGCGTTATCACCTTTGCGACCAACGCCGATACCTCGACCACCGTTCGCAACATGTTCTCTTCAGAAGCACCTCAACCGTCAAATATAGAATCTAGACTCCGTATCCTACTAGAAACAGACGCACCGTATATGGTACCCGCGCCGATATATACCTCACCAGCATTCACCTCGCCTGAAGCCAAGGGGAAGCGACTTGCATTCTGTCATTCGGCAATGGTGCCTTGGACAGCGAGTTTCGTGGCAGATCTCCTTCCAAAGGAAGAATCGGAAGCTTGGGACACTTCACGTGTGCTGAGCGTTGCACGTAGCAATGCCAAGGCTGTTTATGGTGTATGAGGCGCTCATTGATGGCGCATCAGGCGCATCACGTCCATCACATCAACTTTCTTCGCGATTTGCCGAGCTGTAGATTTACATACATCAACAGGCACGTTCCCAAGACATCGTGTAAACGCAACAGGACTTTGCAAGCATCTTTCTTCATTAGCTCGAGCTCGACCCACAACAACTGCTATAGAGCTACTCAAGGGCAGATATATTGAAATTTGCTTCCGTCATTTTTTCAAAATGCCTCCCGCATTGTACAGCTTTTTATAGATTCATTTCCACGTATCAAATACGGACGGATCTCAAGCTGCGCATGTTTTTGACTTGAGGAAGCTGACCGACCGATCATGCTCGCCAATTGAACGCGTCGACCAAGGCTAGATTCGACTTGGGCACTCATCTTTCCCGCTCTTTCCTCTGCTACGATGTCCCCGACAAAGCCACCACTAGATATAGTCGAGGGTATCATCAACGAAGTCTACCTGAGCTGTTCCTCTTTCCTAGTTGACACTCGACACTATTGCTCGCTCTCGACACCATGCCCAGCTGCTCTTGAAGAAATCGCGCCGTTTGTTAATCTCCGACTGGTCTCTTCGACCTGGAATGCTTCTGTCACCAAAATACAACACAGCATCCGCGGGAAGTTCTTCACGGATGTTGAAGCGGGGGTATACTACCCACACGCCTGGCATATCAACACCCGCGTGAGGAAATCGGTGCTGCTCGGGCGATATCGCGTTTTTCAAACTATTAGCGCTGAAGAAGGTTCGTCATTATTTTTCATTCAAAGACCACGATGCATTGAATTCCAGGAAGTCGTGGGGTGTATCTCGCGTATGATCTAGCTGATGGGTGTTCTAACTCGTCGGAGGTTGTCCTGAAATGTTGGGTGTCTGAAGCCGACTTTGAGTTGCATCAAGAGACTGCTGCCTACCAAATGCTCGAAGGATGCCCTGGCATACCTCAACCTCTGCATTTGTCTTGTCATGACCCCCACAGCGACGTCAATATTCTGGCGCTGCCGAAACTAGGCCCTTCGCTGGAAGAATTCATCCGGGTACTTCCCAAACAACGTATGGATCGCCGGATGGTACTAACTGTCGCGGTTCAAATGGTACTTATCCCACTCTTCCAGTTCAGGTTTTACGTGTTTTGACCGATCTCAAGCTTCGCCGGTACAGGGAAATTCACGAACGCGGTGTGATCCACATTGGGATGAAGCCGGGAAACATTTGCTTGCCGCCAAAGCACAGTCGAGATGCAAAGGACATGCTCTACATAATCGACTTTGGCTTCTCGTTTCCACTTGCTGAGAACTTGCCTCTGCCGAGCGCGCGTCGGACGGATACCGTCGGTAATCGGCGGTTCATGAGCGTATTTGCGCATCATGGGATTAGTGAGTGCTTTTGCATTAGGTGGTTGTATGGTCTTGACCTATATACATATGTAGGTCAGAGCCAAAGAGACGATCTCGAGTCGCTCGCATACCTCTTGTCCTACTTGTACCACGGAGAGCTCCCATGGGACCGTCCAGGTACCTCACATTCAAATCATCAACCGCAGATGTGGCGACTAAAGACGGCCACAACTGCAACGGAGCTATTCAGCGGCATGGACACGTGCTTTGTTGACTTTTGGCGCGATGTCAAAGGACTGGCATATGGAGAGGTACCGGATTACGATGGATTGGTAGGGCGATTCGAGACATGTTTCGTTCAGGAGTGCTCTCAGCCTGGCAACCACCAGGAGACCACTTGCGATTGGTGGAACATCTGGGAACAATCTCAGTTATGAGGCTGAGAGGATATATAGCGTTGGGCGTACACTAAGGGTTATTTTGTTTCTCTGGGTCTCATGGATACATAGAATGGAGTGTTCAAGTTGTTTGGTTTGAATATGTCGACTTGTGGTCGCAAGCTGTTCTGAACAGAAAGACGCATGACGGTGAGAAAAAGATTTTGATGGTGGAGTGATAAGCGATCTTGGTCTCTTTCGATCACAGATTGACTGTCGCGTTCACGAGGACACGCAAATCGGACGATGTACAAACGCCGAGGAAAGGTTTGTGGGTTGAGACGAGACCCGGCTGCTTGTGCACCCAGCGGCCATGTCATTGGGAGTCAGAACTAATGCGACGTAGTAAGCGATGCTAAAATCCTGACAGTGAGAGAAACTTGAGCGCTCATGGTCGTTGCTGCCGACATGTCCCGTTTCATCAAACACCAAGCTTATAGAAAATTGAGGATCTGTCACGATTTGCCTTTGCCTTTGGTGTTCCTCCATCGTCGCAACAAATGGCCACAGAGGGCCCACCGCCTCTCCCGCCTCATCTTGGCACAATGTTGGGCGTTTGTTTCCCTTTTCGTTTGCTCTCACCGCCCTATATAGCACGAGCTCTCAGCTGATAGGAACGCTGCTCAACTTCTGGTTGTTTGGCACTCTGTTCATTCAAGTCTGTGCGTTTGTTTTCATGTTCTACTTTGGATTGGCGCCTAATTAACTATTCTTACAGACGTGTATAAGGTTCGCTTCCTGCGTTAGCGATCTCCTCAGTCCAACATTGGCGCACCAGATATGTTTCCCTAAAGATCGACCCGCTATCAAAGCACTCGGTGCGTGGAGTACTGCCACACCCTTCGACTAATGTTGATGTCTGTTCCAAGTATATTTTGTGTTCTTTACGATGCTTGTGTGCTCCTGCCTCAACGCTGCGGACGCTAACCGCTGGTATGTCAACAGTCCTCTCCTCGGTACAGCGTTCACCTTTCCCCAGGTTTGGAGACGGATTTGGCAACCTTCTTGAGTTCTCCAAAGCTGGATTCTCCCCATTCTATACACCGTTAATGGGCTCCGTCATCGCGCTCTCCGTTCAGCTCTTCTACTGTTATCGCATCAGCGTATTCCGCGAGTACAAGTGGACAGTCTGGTGGGCAGGGGCCATCGCGGTAGTGTCCTTGCTTCAAGCTGCCGGTGGCATGGGAGGAGGTATCAAGGCATTCATTGAGTCGAACGAACAACATGACCAGACTAGAACCGTCCTTGTCTACGTGTGTCATTTTGCTACTTCATCCGTTGACTCGTCTAAACGCAAGATAGATGTGGCTAGTCGGTGCCGCTGTTGCAGATATGTACGCCCGCGGCCCTCCTTGTTTCTCATTTGCCCTCGATGACGAGTTCCTAGCATGATTGCTGGCACCATGACGTATCTCGTAAGCTGACAGAGCCTTTCATCTTTCGCGTCTGTTCAACTTACTTATCCTGTAGCTCTCACAAGCGTCGGAACCGCACACGAGGGACGTTGTTCAGGGAGTCATTCGACTTATCATCGAGACAAACTCATTTTCCGCGTCCGTTGCTATCATTGGGCTCGCTCTATTCGCTGGAATGCCGGTATGTGGTCCAACCCCTGTTTCTTCTTCTTTTTCATCTTCCGAATCCTAGACAAGCGATTACTTCATTTGCCCCACAATGATTTTACCCGGCATATATTCCAACACGCTCCTCGTTCTCCTCAATAACCGCGCAGCCCCTTCCCGTGCTCGTGGTCGACCTGACTACGGCTCCACTGACCCCGACGCAATGTACAGTTCTGAAGTCACGACAACGGCAAACGGTACCAGCGTTGGCCATATGTGGAAGGCGATGCCAACAAGTCCTGGTGTTCAACTCCAGAGACTCGACTACAACTCCGCAACGAAAAAGGCACCTGTCTCAGCAGCCCAAATTGTCGACATCTCCTCGGCCGGGGCATTTGTTGCTGCACCAAATCCTGCCTTTGGGATCACGTCCGAAGATTATGATTTGGAGAGTGTCCATAAACGAAATTATAGCATCGACGCGTACCGAAGCACTGCCCCCTCACCCAAACCGATCCAAGAACAGCCCATCCAACCTCGACGACAAGCCTCAAAGAGACTTGTCAGCGAGTGGGATGATGCCAGTTACAAGACAGGGGACAGGAATCCAAGAGAGGGCAGTAGCCTGGATCTGACTGAGGTAGAGGTGTGTGGTGGCCCTTTACCCTTTTTAATTGCCTGCTCATAACTTGTAGACGACGCATCCGTATGGAAGTGCGGGCACATATACCACATGGGCACGATAGCAATGCTTTGGACTGCTTACTTCACAACCTATACTCTATTTGTTGTACTACCTGTTGCATTGATGTTGTTTGTTGACCAAGTCAGACACATCTAATCAGATAGAGCGGCAGGCGAGTATGATAGAGATTTTTTGAAAGACGTGAAGGTTAACCTCGGTGATAAGACTCTCTGACTAACTCCTACACCAACCAAGTACTCGACCAGCAATGCTTGCGACGGGGGAGTTGGTTTTGGTAGATCCGGTGGACTGCGCCGAGTTGTCAGCGAAAACTGTGACGTACCACAGCTTACCCCAAACTTTAACTTTCCTTACCTCTCACCTTCACTTCATCGTCACCTCGCCTGGAGGCACGCTGTAAAACCCCTTCGTATACCATGTCTTCCTCCTCTCCACCAGCAGAGAAGGTTGCCAATGGCGACGACAAATCTGGCTCCTCGCAACAGGTTCAGAAGGCAGGCACTGACGCAAAACCCACCGAGCGCGCTTCAAGGGCCGCCTTCGCCAGTGTAATGATGTTTTTCCGATTCGTCACCGGGATATTCTTCAGAGAAATCCGAACCAGAGGCTCGTTCAACATCCCTCAAGATGGGGCTGTTATTTTTGTCGGGGCCCCACACAACAACCAGGTGTGTTATCCATTCATCCTGCAGTTCTGGCTGGCTCTAATGTTGCCCTAGTTTCTCGACATGATACTCGGCCTTGAGGCATATAAAGAAAGCGGTCGTCGCGTACAATTCCTCGTTGCCGCATCGAGCATGAAACGTGCCGCTGTCGGTTTCTTTGCGCGCTTAGTCGATTCCAGTATGTGGCCACGTCTATTTCCACCACTTATCCACAGCTACTTCTAGTTCCTGTCGCCCGTGCTTCGGACAATGTCAAGCCAGGCACTGGTCGAATTCACTTGTCTCCCGACGACCCATGTCTTGTGCTAGGCGAAGGCACTTGCTTCAAATCGGAATTTACGGCCCGCATGCAAATAATGCTTCCCAAGAGCCTTGGCAGCGTTACTGCTGAAATCACGGATGTTATATCCGACACTGAGCTCAGGATCAAGAAAGAGTTTTCCAACGACCAAGGCAAATGCACAGACGAAGTCCGCGAGGCGACAGAGAGCGGGAGTCTGTCCTTCCGTCGTCTGCCCTATGTCGACCAGCAACAGATGTATCACCATGTTTACAACGCACTCAGCAGTAATGGTAGCATTGGGATCTTCCCAGAGGGTGGAAGTCACGACCGGACAGACCTACTCCCTCTCAAGGCTGGTGTTTCTATCATGGCCCTCGGTGCTATGGCAAATAATCCGGGACTCAATGTCCAAATTGTCCCCGTGGGCTTGTCGTATTTCCACGCCCACAAGTTCAGATCGCGGGCTGTTGTCGAGTTTGGTCGGGCTCTCCAAGTTCCAGCGGAGCTCGTGGAGCTTTTCAAGAAGGGCGGCGCGCAGAAACGTGAAGCAGTTGCCAACCTTCTCGACCTCATCTTCAACGCTCTTAAGACTGTCACTGTTCTTGCACCAGACTACGACACCTTGATGGTATGTGCATTCCACGAGATTTTGATGTCGCTCAATCGGAGACTAGCTTATCCAAGCTACTCGCCGATTGTACAAGACGCCGAGTCAACATTTAACTCTTGGTCAAGTCGTCGAGCTCAATAGGCGGCTGCTGGAAGGGTATGAGTTCCACAAAGACGAACCAAGGGTACAGAAATTGCGCGCTGAAGTGCTTCGCTACAATCGTATGGTTCGGGATATGGGCTTGCGTGATCATCAGGTTGGTCAAATCGGCTTTATATATCCCCACGCTCATCTTGCGACAGGTTCCTCGTGCAGAGCGTTTGAGGTGGAAAACGCTAGCGCTTCTGGTGTACCGCATGGGGCTTCTCTCGGTGTGGAGTGTGTTGTAAGCGTGACATCCGACCGATTATACTCGCTGCTCACTCAGGCATATAGTGCTCTGCCTGGACTGATCCTCAACGGGCCAATATTCATTCTGGCGTCGATTATTTCCAGGAAAAAAGCCAGAGAAGCTTTGGCTGCTTCGCGGGTCAAAATCGCCGCTCGAGATGTCCTGGCAAGCTGGAAAGTCCTCATTTCCTTGGGTGTCGCGCCAGTACTCTACCTTTTCTACGCCATCATCGGGACCATAGTCGCGATCCGTACCAATGCGCCTTTGAAATGGCGGCTGATGACCCCCTTGATCGTTCTGTTTGGCGTACCAGCAATGAGCTACGCCGCACTCAAGTTCGGTGAAGCTGGGATGGACGTGCTCAAATCACTTCCTCCCCTCATTGTTGCGCTCATTCCAGGTCAGCAACGCTCGCTGGACCAACTCAAGGCGATGCGGGTGGAGCTGGCCAACGAGGTGTCGAGCCTGATCAATGACTTTGGACCCCAGCAATACCCTGATTTCGACCAGTGGCGCATTCTCGTGCCCTCTGCAAGCGTGCCTCCGTCTGGTGGTACCCCTGGTCTGTGGAGGCGGAAGAGCGGAAACGGGGGTGTGGATGCGCCAGGACTAGGATTAACTCATCCTATGACTTGGTTGGACGAAAGACTGTTTGGGTTCCGCGCTGCAGCGACGGCACCCAACTCGGACGATGAAGGCGACAATGGGGACTATGACAACGTTATAGGGTTCATTCCTGGTGCTTCGACGTTGTTGTCTGCTGCTGCTGGGGTAGTTTCGAAGAGCCGGAACAGTTCATATGCTGATTTGCAGAAGTTGAGAAGCGCTCAAAAGTAAACGGGTTCACTATCTGGTATCTTTACGGTTTGTATAGTCGTCGTATATTGCTTGTAATCCATTCAGGGTGTTTCTATAGGTTTGTAGGTTGGACCGTTCACAAATTGTCTTGCCCCTCATACTTTTCAAGATTTGCAAGCAGCTTCGCCCACCGCCCGTCATTCCATTCAGCCCATTCCTTCCACTCGTCGCTATCAGCGCCTAATGCAATCCTGACCCAGTGCATCTCGCCTGCGACTACGAAATCGGCCAGCGAGACAATGTCGCCCATCATAAACGGCCCCCCACTTGCCTGAATCCACCCATCGATCTTCGCGAATGCAGCCTTGGTTTCTGCCCATTTCGCAGTGTGCTCCTCACCTTTCGGCAAAACCTCCGCCAACGGCTTACCAAAGCTGACCTCCCGTGTCCGCAGAAAATACTCCCGCGAGCGCGGGTTCAGCACCGCTGGTATCCGCGGGATAATAATGGGGACCATCGGCGTCGAGATGTGGTCATACGCGACTTGGAATGTCTGCTGCAACACACGCGTGCCCGCCGGGATAATCGGGCCGGCACCCGAACTGGGGTAGGTTTTGTCAAGGTACTCGGCAATGCGCATCGAGTCGGAGACCGTCTCGCCCGTGTTGGGGTCGTGGATGACCGGTAAGGAGTAATATGGCTTGCCGCTCTTGAGCGTAGTGCTGGGTGGAATCCTCAGTGTTTCCGTGTAGAGAGCGGCGATATCAGGGTATTCGACCCAGATCGTGGTGTAAGGCAGGTTTTTGTAGTTGAGCGAGTACCTCGTCCGCCAGGTGTTGGGCGACCATGTCTCACCAACCACTTGGAAGGGAATGTCATAGAAGAGAATGGGTTGCATGAGGGTAATGAGCAAGCCTTGTTTCGCCGTCGATCCATTTCCTACGGGCGCCGCTCGCTGCGGCGAAACGGGTCATGGGAAACCGATGAAGAGATAAAACACACTCACGTGACGTATGGAGTTCCTCTGGGTATGCTCTAGCTGAGTTGATGTAGTCTCATTTTAGGACTACGCGGTCTTGGAAATGCCTCTATTTAGGGCTGAATACACCAAAGAAACAAACAACACATATATGTACCTATTGAATAATTTACCGAGCCTTTTCCAACCTCACAGCTTCGACTTCGACTTGACTCGCGCCCGCACCTCCTCCGTCAGAATCCGACGCAGTATTTTCCCGCTCGCATTTTTGGGAATCACAGCAACGAACTCGACGTCAGCGAGGTGCTTGTAGCGGATTTTGTTATCCGAGACGAGCTGATGCCGCGTCAGAAAGAGAGAGAGGGCAAGTGGGTGAAAAGGTACCTTTTTGATCGAGGTTTTGATGGCCTCTGCGTCTGTCTTGGCTCGCTTCTCCGCATCGGCAGTTAAAACAACAAATGCAAGAGGAACTTCGCCCACTGTGGGATGCTTTCAGTATTGACAAGTAATGCCGGAGGAAGGAACGCACGTCGGTCATCTGGAGCGCCAACGACGCATGTGTCAGAAACATCAGGGTGGTCTCTGGTCACCAGAAATGAGTCTTATGGGATGACCGATAGTGAGCTGAGAGCTCTTACAAGATCAAGCCCTCTAGCTCGGCGGGAGACACCTTGAAAGGACATCTATATCGGCGAGCATGGGATGAAACAGTCACAAACCTGGAATCCTTGGACCTTGATCAACTCCTACGAGATGGGTTTGAGCGCTGAGGAAAATAGAGTTGCCAGAAGGAGCACCTTGAGCCTGTCCGTTACCCAAACCTCGCCATTGTCCTTAATCACCACCTGATCTCCAGTCCGGAACCAGCTAGTACACACCCCATTAGAGAAACGGTTAGCAATCGCTTATGAGACGCACCCATCCGCGCTAAACGACTCTTCCGTCCTATAGTATTGTCAGTTTTGATGGATCATTGAATCCTCAACTCACGCTTTCTTATTCTTGTGGTACCCCAAAGATAGTGATGGCGTTTTGACCACAAGCTCACCTGGCTCGTTGGGCCCCGCTAGCGAGCCATCCGGTTTGACTAGTCGGACACGAACTCCAGGAATCAAACGACCAACAGCTAGAAGCCCTTCATCAGAAAGCGCTCCTCCAAAAAAGGTGATGCTTACAGCCAAATGAGCTTGGTACGTGGAAAGGCGTCATGGACAAAATCGTCGCAGTTTCGGTCAGCCCTTGGTTTCCCATCTATATCAGCCCATACTTCCGGAGCGCAACACTTAGCATACCATAAGCTTGTCCCGTCTTCACCTGAGGGAATAACTGCACAAGTTGTTCCTGCAGCTCGCTGGTTAACGGGGCGGCACCGCACTGACAAAAAAGCTATCAGTCATGAGATGGGTTTTGTAAGGAAAAATTACCCCGATGAACTTCAATCCGCTGAGATCGTATTTCCGGACAACCGGATGCTTGAAGGGAAAACGTCAGTAAGCGCATGTTGTAAAGTTAGCTCACCTACTTTGGCGAGCGCAACAGCAATCGGCGGGACCAACCTAGAGAAGGTCAGCATATCCTCAGAAATGCCGGTATACAGAAACTTGCATCAGGTGTTGGATACTACGAACTCGAGTTAGTCCTCAAAGAATGGTTGCCGGAAGCCTGCCTACCGATATCGGACAATGCTTTCAAGCATAGCGAGGAAGTCGAATTTGGGAATAACAACGAGGGTTGTCTGTGTTCGGGTGAGCATCTTCGTTAGATAAGAGAAGCAAACCCACGGCACTAAAGATCATGAAATGCAGCTATGGAAGAATTTGAGAAAACGCCATTGATCCAAAGAAGTAACAGACGTTGAAAACGAGTCCAGCGACATGGAAGAAGGGCAAGACGCCAAGCACGACATCGCCTTTGTCGAGCCAGGGATTGTCGGTGAGACATGCGACGCGCATTTGGACCATGTTCGCGACAATTGCAGCGTGTGTGATAGCGACGGCCTGGAGTACGGCCCGATGTTGGCTCAGGGATAGAGAATGGAGAATGACGCACCTTTGGAGGACCTGTGGTGCCAGAAGACATGCACAACATGGCAACCCTGGTCGCGCCTTCTCCAGGCTTTAGCTTGATACCGACGTGTGAGAAGCTGGGTGCGCCACGGGCCAACACTGGGGAAACCAGGGAGGATAGTGTCACAACCGGAGCTTTGGCTGGGGCGTCAATGAGTGCTATGCGATCCAGAGGCAGTCCAGTGCGCTTGGCAGCATCGAGGACAGCGGTAAGAGTGCTTGAGTGGGCGACAATGAAGGTTGCCTCGGTGACCTTGAGTTGGTATTCAATCTCAGAAGCCGTGTAGGATGGATTGGCGCCACTATTGACTTGTTCAGCGAGAAAAACGCGTGAAAGAAAATAACCCATGCCTGAATATTCCACCGATGGTGGTGATAGCCCACAACACGATGGGGTAGTCTAGCAGTTTGGGTCAAGCGCATGCATGTCCTACTGACTAGCAACACTCACCGATATGATTGGGGCTGCACACGAGTACTTGTTTGCGTCAATAACCAACTGGTCGTTCTTCGGATCGAGTCGCTCACCCACTTGGCCATCTCCTAAAACAACCGTTCATAAACGGTACAGATAACAACTCGCAACTTACCAATCTTGTACTTCTCCTTCAATACCGTCGCCACCGCGGTCGTGCGGTCTCTGACCTATATATTTGAGGAAATAGTTTCACAAAACAATACCACACACCTCGCCTAGAGAGACACGTCTTCCTGTCGCATCCTCGATGAAGCAAGGAATGTCGCCTTGTGGCGGACGCAATGGATGGGTATAGGCGGGGTCAAGCATGAACTGGGGAATGGTGACATCGGTAGGGAGAGGCGCATTCGGGCCCAGTTCGCCACCGTAGAATTCAGACATCGTGAAGACGAAGGAACAGGAGAAAAGGTGTGAAATCAAGACAAAAAAGTTAGGTCTTGTCAAAATACCAACTTTCGAGCCTTTTCGGGCAGGGCGGGCGGGAGCGGCGCTCTTTAAATGCTCCCTTTTCGGGATAGGGCGGAAGACGAGAGAAAGTGCTGCTACATATCAAAACCGGTTTACCGTCGTCGGAGGAGTGAAGAATCCGACATCACAGTTGTCATGCTGACAAAGCAGCTATTCGAGAGTACTTAGCTTGTTGTCCTAGCTCATTCAAAACTGGAGGCAGGTTTGGCGGGGAATGTTTAGTAATTAAGACAAAACCCATTTCTCTCTTTCAGAAAGTTTGGGATTGATTCAGCATCCTCTCTATGACTTACAAAGCAGCTATTTGAGAGTCTCTCCGCTGATCCAGACCCAATCCATACCACCATTTCATTGCAACCGGCTTTTGGACATCCCCGATCCGCTCAGAAATTTCGACAAACGTCGCGTCGTGCAGTTCCTTCTTCCTGATCTCGTCACCACCGGCTTTGAGGAGGATTTGGCCGACCCGCTCTAAAATGCGTGGGAGCAGTTTTAACGGCACTGCAGGCACAATTGAGATAAGGGTCAGATGCAACCGGTGGACTCTGTCGCTGGCATATGAATCAACACTTGTTCCGGACAGTTCTTGGATCATTCTATCCAAGACTTCAATGCAGTATAACGCGATCGTGTCATCCTTGGCGGTTGCACATCGAACCAGCGACGAGTAGGCTAGCCGCAACTGGGCAGTACTCAGTCGGCCATCAACTGAATTCTAGGCCGCATCAGGATCAAAGAATCCCGGTTGAAAAAGAAAGCTTGCCTCCAGTAAACATTGAGCATAGAACGGAATCATCCGCACGACAAATCCTTGTCCATCGCCGTCGGAGGGTTGAGTCTGAGCATGATCCGCGTGGGCGGCAAAGACGGCGAGTATAAGTGAGTGCGCGGACTCGTAACTCTCGCGGTGAGTCGAGACCGAAAGAAACCTATCAAGCAGATGAGCATAAAGCAAAAGAGCAATCTATTAGACCATACGGAAGTGCAAGCGGGATAGCATCAGACCGAATGCAGTCATCAGTTAGAACGGGGACGAGCTGCTCAATACACGTTAACTCGTAGGCCGTCTTTGCAAGATCGCCGCTAGTATGCCCCACCAACTCCTTTACGAATGTGTCGGAGGCAGTTCCTGCCGCGATTAAGTCCAACGCGAGGTAAAATGTCTTCCGAAGTTCCGCAAAACCTGGCTGAGCTGCTGTCGAAAGGCCGCCAAACTGGGATACCACAAAAGATAGATGATGCAGAGTGTGTAGGACGGTGAGAGGTATCGAAGAAGGTGGCTCGGGTATATAGACGAGCGCAGACAACGTTGCTTCCGCTATCATGATGTGTGCAAATAGGAAAGTTTTGAGGTTGTTCCAAACCAAGGTTAGGTCATCACCGACAAGACTTGTATGTTGCCAATCCGTTTCAATGGTCTTGGACATGGCGAGAAATACTTGGAGAGTTGCAAGTGAGCTCACAACGCTTTCATTGGACAGTGATTCACAGAGCACTGATGTGACGAGGGCCGTGAGTTTTGCGAGTGGAGCAATCGACTGCATGAGAGGAGATCCATTAATCTTGCGGAGAGTCGATGCGTTCACGAAGGTTCCAGATGCGAAGGCCGACGCGATGGTAAAGGTGAGGAGATCTAGAAGGACTGCCAGCGGTAAGGCTTTTAGCCTTTTGCGAGCGACAAGAACCAGGGAATGGGATGCAAATATCAACGCCAATGAAATTGGATCAACTGAACTTGGTTTCCGTTAATGACAAGAGCAAGTTGACAACACGCACTGTCTCCTGCAGACTGGAATTCAGCTTCCCAACTCGATGTTGAGCTGTCCATAACCTCAGCAACAGATATGACAACTTCGTCTTCAATCTGTGAGCGGTCAACTTCGATTTTCTCGGCCGCTTTCAGATCCTCAAGTCCTGCCAGTAGACCTCCACAGCAGGCCAGTCGCAATAGCGGTTGTCCTCCTTTAATTCCTTTTAAAACCGCGTTCGACCATAACGCGATTCGGGTTCTTAGCGCTCTCGCAAAAGTTGCGTCAACAAATGATCGCTTCTCGTCGATTTTCTGTGCGTCGCGAAAGCGAATATGAGTTGCATGGCGGAATGCGGTAAACAGAGTTTGGAGCTTCTCGTTGGTGAGAGGTTGGGCAGTAAAAAGAGGGGAGGACAAGATTATTGCGGCAAGCGGAGTTGGGAGAGGTGACAGCGTGGCCAAGTGGTGGGCAGTCGCAGCTTGAATTGTACTAAGCGGCAGGGTTTTTTTGTCCTTGCGCTGGTGCAGGTGGGCAAGCAGATGGGCGTAACCAGGAGTCGACATCTCCACGATGAAGTGACATCATTACAAAAAAAACAGAAACACGCCGGGAAATAGCTACTTACCTAGGAACACAACAAGAGAATAAAGAGTGAAATACGAGTTGGATGCTGTACAGCTTGTCGTGAGTTCCAAGCGGTTGACGACAGAGTCCGCCCTGGACTGCGTGAAACGGATGTGACGCGTGTGACGTCTGCTTGCTTTCTCTTGCCGGTGATGTTGTAGAATGGCCGCCTCTCGTTCCCAAAACGCGCGCTGGCCAGCTCAGACGAGCTCCCCTGGGCTCAACAAGCGACGACGAACAGACCATTCCGGCTCTACCTCCAAAATGGCCCGTCAAATCGTGGCTGACAAGAACTCGGTCGAGTCTGCCAAACAGACTTGCGAGTTCGCAGCTGGAAACGACGTCGTCTCATGCTATCCTACCAAGAACACTGTTATTCCCCAACACCAATGGGCCACCTTTGTTTGTGCGTCGCTGGACCTCTATCTATCATTTTTCCCTGCTTACATTTTCGTCGCAGGGAACTCTAATCTCCCCGAATTCACCCAGACGGACCGTGTCAACATATACCTCTTCCATGGCGACTCCCAGCAGCAGATACTTTTCTTCCCGAACGTTGTCAACCCCAAGGGTCGGGCGGGCTCCGTCACTGCACAAGTCAACGACTCGTGGTGGGGAGACCGTGGTGCCAACTGGGATAATGCCAATATCTCGTATCCTTTCTTCTGGATAATGTCTCGCTCAGACAAGTCGCTTGACGATGGGACACAGCAGCCTCAAGCCACCTTCTCTGCCGTTCGTGCGTGGACCCATCATGTCGTTCTCTTGCCATCGCTCATGTCAACTTCCCACAGAAACAACATTCGCTGATTCGGTGCTTGCGGCCATGTCAACTTCAGCGCTGGCAGCCAGTGCGACTCATCCGACCACTGCTTCTACAACAGGCTCGTCACTGTCGCTTAGGTCGACAAGTACTGGCGGGGTCCAATCTGGTGCATCAAGTTCGAGCAACTTTCCTCATTGGGCCATCGCTGTCATCGTTGTTCTGGGCTTCCTTGCTGTTGCCACGACTTGCATTCTCACCTTCTTCATAATCCGACGGATACGCAGACGAAATGCCATCGAGTCCAATCGCAATTCGATGGGTTCCAGTTCTCCCATGATGGCCAACACTGGCCATTCTGCCGCATCACCTCTTCTCGCCGCGGCTGCCATTCCAGGTCGGCATGCCAGTACGACTTCCCACGTCCATGGGGCTCCAAGCGTAGTCTCTCCAGATGGCGCTTCAACAATATCCCGGGCCGGGAGTGCCGGCGACCCAGGTCCTTTCTCTGGCGCTGATGCGGCAATTATGGCCGATGCATTCCGGAAAGCACTTCGCAAACCAGACTTTGCAGACCGACCAGTAGAAGAAGGCGAGAGCCCAGAGAATCCAGAAGTGACTGAAGAACAACTGATCAACCGCGAACTCGCGGACGAAGGGAAAGACATCCGAAGTGTCGGTTCATCTCGAGGAGTCAAAGTTGAAACGATGAGCGATGCTGGTACACACGACACTGCTCATTGAGTGTGCCCTCGCTTTTGTTTATTCTTTTCCCTTCGGTCGGTTTGCTGGTCTGTATCTTCTCTCGCCCTTGACATTATATACTCTTTCTCTCTTCGTGTCTACTTATTCCTCCTCTCTCCTCCACATCAACCTTGGACATGTTCAGCTTCCAATATTACCCACTACTGCCCCCCTTGTCCGTCCGCGCTGCAGGCTGCAACGAATGCTCTGCATCCATTCTCTTTCTGTTACTTTTACAGTACGTCCAAGCCTCTTTTTCATCTCCTACCTCACGCCTACCCACCTCTTTGGATCCATTTTTTTCTTGCCAGCCAGCATCTCTTTTATCGCGGTCTAACATGTATCCCAACTCGAGCGTCAGTGCGCACCTCGCCCTTCCCTTCCTTTCTACATTTGTTCTGCGCGATGTTGGACTATGACGTACCTTGCGTCTGGAAGACGTCTGAATGCAATGCTATGAATGCGATAGGCACCACAATAACAAACGAAATGGATGATGGCGAGCAACGATGAGGCTACAAGCGGATCACATCAACAATTTGCCACCAAAAAGCACTGGAAAGGACAGGACACAGAATGAACTTGCGCGTATTGGGTTTTTCCTATATATTTGTTCAAAATAACTCAACAGTTGCCTTCTGGGCAGGGTTACGAATCGCCTCAATCAGCGGTCCCGTATCTGCGTCTGCGTCTCCAGGCCAGCTTGTCGATAACGTGAAGCGGACATCCTCGAGTATTGTTGCAATGGCACCAAGCCACCATGGATCGTTGACCAACTGGTGCAGCTCTTTGTTCCGTGCCTCAATCAGGCAAAGCACCTCTTCCGACCTCGGAGTAACTTTCAATGTTTGTGCCAGATTGGCTGCGAGAGACTCAAGTTCGTCTTCCATATTGTTTGGCCCACCGGGTACAAGTAACTGTAGGCTTCCAAAGCCTAGATGCATCGCACATGTCACGAAGGTCGGTCGCAAAGCAGGGTTCATCGTTTTCCAGATTTTTGTCGACTGGAGTGCTTCTTCCCAGAGCTGTGGACGAAGGAAATCTGTCGCAGTCTGGAGGCTGAGTTGTTGAAATTTGTCCCTTTTCTCTTCGTCGTAGTTCTTGAAGAACTCCGGCTCGCTTTGGAAATCAAGATGCTCGAATGAGTTGACATCTGGCACACAATACGTGAACCATTTATAACGTGTTACGCAGGTGAGCGGGCGGCACTGAAAGGGAAGATAACCAAGCTCCGTCGAGTGGTGGAAGAGTTCGCCATAGATGACCCAGGTGAGCAGGGTGGTCTCGGGGTCGTTGCACACGGTCCATTCTTCATCCGAGCTGGGCCCCACGGACAAGTCCAACTGCCGATTGAGTGGGTTAAGCACTGTGTATTTGAAATCCAATAAACGCCTGATGTCATCCATAGTGAGTCCAACGACGGAGACCGCCAATTCCGCAAGTTTGTCCACACCGCCACGGATAGCTTCCTCTAGTTGAACTCGTCGATCGTGCTGCTGGATGGCCCAGTTAGCGAGTTGCCTTGCTGTCGCAGCAATGATCATGTGAGGATGAGGACGAAAGAAAATTCGCCCGGATTCTGCCACAAGTCGCGACAGCAGTTTTGGACTGGGATTGGCGCATGTGTGATATAGCGCACGACACGTCGATGAGAGAGACAAAATGTCTTCAATGGAGTCCACAAAGTAGGGTAGCCTTTGAAGTAGTTCAGCGGGAAGTGTATCAAGCGACATGGACTCGGACAATCCAACTCTGATCAAGTCACATTGAGCGCCGAGTGCGGATGGTACATTAACACCAAAAGTGTTCGGCGCTGGGGGCTGTCTACTAGTATTGAGCATGCTGCATGGTAATCAACCGCAATTCGACCTTCTTATAGTTAAGTTCAACAACGAATTCGAATGGGTCGCGAGCTGTCACTATCACGTGGTCACATTCAAGTTTTCTGCCGCCTCCTGCCAATGCCATTGGCTTCGTCCTCTTTCTTCCCTGGCTAAAAATGCACAATACTGCAATTTAGCCTGGGATAACGACCATGATCCACCTCTCCCACCCTATAACTACTCCCCGCGAACACACTGCCTTCAGCTAGCTGTCTCTTTCGCCCTACTCGGGCAACGTCGAAGTGAGAAGCCGGCGGCGGTCCGAACTCACCGACTGAGTACATACTTCCCCGCTCTATTTACATCTACGCCGACCACCAGGTGACTGCTCACTGTCAGAGAAGTCCTATTTTCCCGCACGCTGGCTCTCTGGAGCCACCTACCATCATGTGTCGCAAGCTTCGATATATTTCTTCGACTCCAGACAGCGGTGTAAGGTCAACCCACCATGTTCCTCTCAGCCCTCTTCGTCATCTCCCTTTCCGCTTCGTTTGGCTCAGTTCAGCCGCAAACAGTGTCTGTTTCAGTCCCTTCAGCAGCGCCTTCTGCAGCACAAACTCTTAGCCCAACTTTGTTCTCGCTGTCCATTGAACAGGTCAGCTTATCCTTTCCTTGAGGTTGAACCAGACCCAATATTCTCTAGGATGCTTGGACCGACTGGGCTGGCACATCCGCCCCAAACTCCTTCTTGAGCAATACCCTCAACAATCTCAAGCAGCGCACTGGGGAACCTCCGTGGTTCAGAATTGGTGCAGACTCAGAGGATCGAACCGACTTCAATCCCTCTATAAAGGTCACTCGTCAGTTTCATCGGCGCTGAACCATTCTCACACTTCTACAGTTCTCTCAGACTGTGCCTGTCGCCCCCAGCGTTGCAACCCCATACCCTGAGGTCATTCTCGCGAATTTCTAGCTTCTCATTCTCATGATATAGCCAGGCTTCGCAGGTCATTGTTGGTGATGGATTTTACCAGATCGCCGACCACCTTCCTACTGGTTTGCCTCCGTACTAGCGATTGCCTCCGCTCAATACTTACATACATAGGCACCAAGGTGGTCTGGGGCGTCAACCTCTTGCATAACAACGTCACTGCTGCGTTCCTTGAAGCGAATTCCATCCGGAAGGCTTTCGATTCGCCTGCCATGGCGGCAGCTGGGGTCACATTGGAGTTTATTGAGATAGGAAATGAGCCTGATCTATATTCTGGGAAGGTGACTGCGCCACATTATGCATTGATCTTTCCCTCATTTTGGACTGTAGCTCAATTACACGTCTGCGAACTGGAATATATCGGCCTATATCTCACAATGGACCAAGTTGGCAACAAACTTGACCAACGCGGGTCTTGTAACCTCGGCCAGCGGGCCGAAGTACTTCGGGCCTTCGTGGGCCGGTGTTTCGAATGCGGCGACAGGCTTCACACCCTCTGGAGTGATCAACGGGGGCATGCTGAACAGTGCAGCTGGATCGTTGCTGAAAACGTATTCGACCCATCATTACCAATGTCAGCATTCCCTCTCTTTGGGTTCCGCAGAGCTGATACAAAGCAGGTGGAGGAGGAGAACTCTTGACTGACATCGTCATCAAGGCAAACATCCAGTCCAACCTCACCCAGTTGTCACCTGCAATTTCTCTGGTGCGCTCTCATGGCCTCGACTACGTACTTGGGTTTGTCATTCGCCTTGACATGTCGTTGTTTTCATTCAATGCAGAGAGACAAACTCTTGCTTTAATCACGGAGCCGTCAACACGAGTAATGTGGGCGGTATTGCGATCTGGACGCTTGATTACACTCTGTTGGCGGGCACACTAGGAGTAAGCCGGCTCTTCTTCCACGAGGGTGTGGGTTACAAGTACAATCTGGTGAGGATGGCTCCAAATTCACTTCTATTGACTAACAGTCGATAGATCCAACCGGTTGAGCTAACCCGTTCAACGATTGACGCATCTCCCCTAAGCACCCCGCTTCCTCCGCATGTCCAACCAGCGTACCACGCAGCAATCGTAACTGCTGAAGCTATTGGAACTTCGGGAGCTACCACAGCAGTTGAGCTTGATATCAACGACAAGGCGGTCTCAGGTTACGCGTTTTATGAGAAAGGGGTGCTCAAGCGCGCAGTTCTCATTAACCACACCATGTTCTTTGCCGGGAGCGGTAAGAAACGCGGCGTTAAGACCATTTCGTTGTCGATTGGTGGTCAGGTGACCCTGAAGCGGCTCTCCATCCCGTATGTCTCCGACACTCGTGCATTTGTTCTACTGAATGACATCATCACAGCTCTGCCGATGCAACGACTGGACTTTTGTGGGCTGGACAGTCTTTTGATACGGCGAGCGGGCTGCCGAGTGGGTCAGTGGTTGTAGAGTCAGTCGATGCGGGGTCTATTCCATTGAGCGATACGGAGATTGTGCTGGTGTCTTTCTGAAAGTAGGGAATGGGTTGACTGAATGGATATTGTGTTATTCTGCAGACAATGCGAGAGTGAACACTTGGCAGAGATGTCCGATGTAACTAAAGTGGAACCAAGATGCGAGGGTTTCGATGATGATGGTAAGAGGAGAAGCAAACAAAATGGAGCCTGATTTTGATTTGTGTTTCCTTTGGTTCCTTCCGTCATTCCCGAGTCCTGACGCGCGACAACGACGCCGAAGATTGCCAGCCTGGTCGTCAGCCCCCCGTGCGCCTTGCCGGGGTAATGCAGCAGTCAAGGCCATGGTCCGCTGCGAATAGCATGATAGGTCACTCAGTTGCTAAGCTCGAAGCAAGTTCATATCTGATTCGGAGCAGCCGGCGCAAGCAGTGGCTTCATTGCCAGCGTCGCTACTTGTCCTTTAGACGTTGTCAAAACGAAGTTACAGGCCCAAAGGGCCGTTGCTGGGCATCATGGGTATGAAGGGATCTTAGGCAAGCCATCCAATTCCGTCCCTCTTTACCTTTTCTTACTGAACTTGTACTCCTGTTTAGAAACAGTCAGGTCCATCTGGAAACATGACGGAATTCGCGGATACTACAGAGGACTGGGCCCGACGATTCTGGGCTATCTACCAACATGGGCCATTTACTTTTCAGTCTATGACACCATCAAGACTCATTTTGGCGAACCTCCTCTTGGTGTAACGCCCCAGCAAGAACGCCTATACCCAGCTGCGCAGGTCAAAGGCTACCAACCCACAATACGCGAGCACCCCTGGTCTCTCCACATTCTTTCCGCGATGGGAGCTGGCGCGACAAGCACAATATGTACAAACCCGTTGTGGGTAATTAAGACACGATTCATGGTGCGCTCTACTTGTTATCGAGAACGGAGTTCAGCTGACTTGGTCCTCCAGACACAATCCCGTCAGGAAGTTAGATATAAACACACCTTAGACGCCGCCCTGACCATCTATCGCACCGAAGGCGTTAGCGCATTTTACCGCGGTCTGGTTCCCAGTCTCCTCGGCATATCACACGTTGTCGTACAGTTTCCGCTCTATGAACAACTGAAGATATGGGCGCGTGAGTTGTTGTGGTTTCTCCACGACAAATAGACAAGCTTACTCATTATGGTTAGAGGGCGACTCCCAAGTTCCTCTCCCCACGAGCCGTATTCTCCTCTGCTCAGCAGTGGCTAAGATGACCGCCTCTCTTGTGACCTATCCACACGAGGTCGTTCGGACGCGACTCCAAACCCAACGTCGACCATTAGCAGAATCATCAGACGGGCTGCTGACTCAGCTGGAGCGGGGCGGTATTGTGCACACAACCAAACGACTCATAAGGACAGAGGGCTGGAAAAGTTTATACAAAGGCCTGTCTGTGAACCTCATTCGCACGGTTCCCAACAGTGCTGTCACCATGTTATCGTATGTGACTCTGCCTTCGTCCTCTCGAGTGCTGATTGCTTGCAGGTATGAGCTGCTGATGCGGCAGCTCTCTCCCCGCCCCCCCTAATCCGCATCCCTCTTAGAGCAGCGCTAGTTGTTGTATCATCTTTCACTTGCCAGCATTCAAGTTTTTTTTTTGTCCAAATAGTCCCAGAAATGAAGGTGTGAACGGAAGTACTGGGTGTTCGAGTCAGAATCCTAGCAAGAAACTCGCGAAAAGAGAGAAAATGCAAGCAGTGAGTCTGAGGTAAGGACAACGAAGACACGATATGAAAATCGGGTACTTGACATTGTAGAATGGGAGCTTTTTAGCGTACATTGTGTTTCATTGGGACGAAAGAAAAATCATCATGTGCTAGGAGGAAAATAATTGCTATGGAGCGCGGGAGGCGGAAGGTCTTTTTCAGCTGCAGCTTGCTTCCAGAAGCAGTCAGGATCATGAATACCATCTTGCCAGATGTTGTGCTCCTTCCACCGTCTCCGACGATGCATGATCATAATGCGGTGGTCGATAGTGGATGCCTGGGTAACAAGACTCGAATGTTCATCACTATGGAGGTGCGATGTGACAACCACTTGTTGGAGCTTTGGTGACTCGAGGAGATTCACCAATGCCTCAGGCCGCAGTTGAGGATCTGATCCTATGGCAATCGATATGCGTTTGACCTTGTCGAGCTTTGGCACAATGGAATTGGGGGACCAGTGATTTTGTTCCAATGCGCCGATGAAATATAGGTGCTCAAGCTGATTCATAAAAGCTTTGAATGCGGTATCGGTCATCGATCCGGCCCAGTAAGCGCGGTATTGGAACAAGGTGAGGGAGACACATTCTTTGTGTTTTAGCGTTCGTCCGCTTAGAAGTCTCTGCAAGATATAGGGAGGGCAGGCGAGAGAGCGAATGTGGATACAGCGCTGGATGATGGAAACACCGAGTGTGCTTATATCATGACCAGAACCAGGACAGATCGTCCAAAGAGCACGAATGCGTGGGATGACTTGAGCGCCGCGTTTGTCGAGATAGTAGTCAAACGCCTGTAGTTGTTCCTTGGACTTGAGAACGACGGCGACCTTCTGCAAGTTTTCACAATAAGCTCGATATTTGGCGGGGACAGGGAAATCACAAACCGGCAGCATTTCGAGGCGGATCCAGTCATAGATTTGGCGATTCGTCAAGAGGAGTGCGCGGTATGTTGATTGCCCGGTAGTGACGGCATACCCTAGTATCTGCATGACCAGCTCTACAGCGAGCGAGGTGAAAGGAAATGGCTGGAAAGTAGGCTGGAGCATATGCTGGAATTTCCGACGGACAACATGGTCGTCAACCCGAGTCATCTGGATCTATAGCTGCTAATTAGTATATCTATCGCGAGAAGAAAGCTAGGATCTTAACCGATATTCTACAGTGTGGCGATTTGTGAAAGTAACCGAGAAGAACAAGATGGTTCCAAGTCAAAGAAAGCTTTGAGAGATCAGCGCTCCCGATCAACGCCTGATGGCCGCGATGAGCTCACCAGCGACACTCATCTCGTAGTCCTTATTTTGTTTCCACCGTGGCGCTGTGGAAGTCAATTACTGGGCAGAAGGGCCCTGCCCTGGCCCCGGAACCACTTGCCTCCCCCGCCTATAACATCTCTCTCAACTTCACCAGCCTCATCTCCTTCCCCTCAAGAATTCTTGCCCGGATTCGCAAAGCAGACTCTTTGTTCGATGAATTTCTCCTGGACAGCAAGCCAGCCACCCCGCGCTCGCCATCGCTGTCGGGGAGAGGCTCGGACTTGGGCCCTTATAGCTTTGCTGCTTTCTTCTTGTCGGGGTATATGTTGGGGTTGTTCCTATTGGTGAGTTTTTACCTGGATTCTGTGCTCAACAAGCCAACGCTCCTCAGGCAGTTGTTATGCATCGGATTCAGAACATAGTCGTCCCTCCACGTTCAGCCAGCCGGTCGCATGATCACAGCCGAAGCCATAACCTGGTTCAACGTGTCTGGAATGCCGTTCTTCCACTCGACCTTACCCGCACATCCACGCGCTTGGCCTTCCAGCTCCCGACGCTCTACTTTCTTTCCAAACAGCTGCTCATTTGGGCCGCTATACTACTCCAGGTCTCTGATCTCTATCCTGTAAACCGGCCTGGCGGGTACATCGCGTCTTTCGGCCAATGGACACAACGGTTGGAGATGGATGAAGTCTGCTTTCGCACCTTTATGGCCATCTGTGCCGCGTTTGCTATGGAGTCCTTTGTCCGAGGTTTAGACGGGGGGTTCGGTCTGGTCCAAATTAATGCCAATTCGACACCTTTTAACTTGGTTCGTCTCTCTTTGGCTCATACTTCGCCACTCTCACATCACCGCTCAGATCGGCTACTCGTTTCTTTTGCATATCTACTCTTCTCCCATCACCCACGTCTATAAGCCTTCGGGACTTCCTTCTCGTCCCGACAAGCATGTGATCGTCTCAATCACTATTCCTCTGCTTCAAGTAAACCTCAGAGCTGTGACCGATATATGAATCACTAACCTTTGTAACAGTTAACTATATTCCATATCTTATCCATCAGGAAACGCTGGTCTAACCATCGTCTCTTACCAACAGCACTCTCGTCGGCCTTGGCCTTGATTCACTTCCACTCAACCCTATACTCGCATTATATGGCTTCACCAGCACCTCTCCCTCTGTCCGTGGCACGACTTCCTGATGTCTCTGTTGCAACTACCGCCGAAAAGTTCCCGGCTCCGACTCCCCCTCCTTCCCCTCCATCTGCAGGCCCACTTTACTCACGGCCCACGGGCTCCGGGTCCTTCCCACTTCTCAATTACGTGCCCAACACGTTCGAGACCCTCTTGATATTGACGATCACCCTAACCATTGTGCTTAACGCCCTCACTCAACTAATTCTAACTGGACGGGTCTCTCGGCCCCTTCTCGGACTCGGTTTAACGGGAGGTAGCGCAAATGGAATCTGGGACTGGGCGCCATCGTATGATGAGGACTGGGGCGTTGTCCTGCTTCGGGTCGGAACTGCTTCGCTTGAAGCCACTGGTCTCCGTGGCTGGGGAAACGAACTGCCCAGTATCAACGCGAGTGCAATGCAGCGTTTCCCTCAATATGGTGTCGCCAAGTTGGGAGCGAGCGGATTGGTGGAGGTTTCAAGTGGCTTCGGGTCCACAGATACTGGTCGAAAGTTCAGGAAGCGTGGGCTGACGAACGAAATCAAAGAGGTCGACGTTGGAGTGCGTACTGGAGGCACATTTGGTGCTAGATTGATCAACTGGCGATGGATGCAAGAGGCGTGGATATTCTTGGGAACGATGGCAGGGGTCGCTCGTGGGCTTGTTCGTGCATCATGGCGCTATGCTTTGACTGGCGGGAAGTCTTGGGACACCCAAAAGAGCGTCGCAGGCTCCCGAGAGCCCTCAAGAAGAAGTGCCAAGATTAGAGGCGGACGAAAGCCAAGACCGGGCACTCTATATGCGCTTCTTGAGGCAAGAGGAGATCAGCGACGATGAGAATGACGGTGCAGAACACTGGGGTCTCGAGGAGAGTTCGGAGGAAGAGCCGGAGAACGAAGATACACTGCAGGATAATGAAGCAACTCAAATGTACTCTGATCTGGCAACAACAATGGAGGGCCCATTGCTTCTGGCCCATCTGACCCGTAGTGATGAAGTGCCGCTAACGAGGAGCCGTTACGGGGCGCTCGTCCAACCAGTGCCTCCAGAAGCGTCGGTTGTTTGTGAGTCTCGTTACTTTGGGTATTGTCCATTAGACCTTTTCCTCCTATAGCTATTCCACCTCCGAATGCACAATTGGAAGATGATAGTCGACGGAATTGTGTTATTTGCACCGTTGAAGCTCGCGATGTCATATGCTGGCCTTGTCGGTAAATGGTCAGCACTTCCGTCATCCATTGCTCAATGTTTTGCAGTTGTCTGTCAATGTGCGATGGATGCCGCGAGGTTCTTGCGTCCAGGGCTTCTGCTTCTAAGCATCGCTGCCCATGCTGCAGAGAAATGTGAGTTTTTCTACCGCATAGCTCCGAACTTATATTGATCTGAACGGGTAGCGTCAAAGGCTACTCACGCATTTTCATTCCTTGAATGTAGAGCCTCCTGTACTTACTGTTTGGTCTGTTTGTGTATCATTATTAGTCCAAATTTGAGATGCAAAAATTTTGGCATCAAACCCGGCTCCGAGTGTCGTGACTTGCTACTTGACTGCGACTACGATGGCAGCACCAGATCCTGCCAACATTCGAATACTTACGACCCTCGGCCATGTCGATCATGGCAAGACGACACTTATGGATGCTCTTCTCGCCGCAAACAATATCATCTCGTCACGAATGGCCGGCAAGATGCGGTATATGGACAGTCGGGAAGATGAACAAGAGCGGGGAATCACTATGGAGAGTAGCGCGGTGTCACTGCGATTCCAAGTTATGGATAAGGATGGTGAGTTATTCCCCGCTATTTGTCGTCCTTTATCATGAAAACCAGGCAAAAGCCCAAAGGTTTATGTGGTGAATATGATCGACACGCCGGGACATGTTGACTTTTCGAGCGAAGTATCCACTGCGGCACGGCTATGCGATGGAGCTTTGGTTCTCGTTGACGTCGTTGAGGGTGTTTGCACACAAACCATCGCTGTTCTGCGACAAGCTTGGCTCGATCGGCTCCGACCTATCCTAGTTATCAACAAATTCGACCGTCTCATTACGGAGCTCAAGCTGGCTCCGGTTGAAGCATATCATCACCTAGCGCGGTTGATTGAACAGGTTAACGCGGTCATGGGCAAATTCTTTGAAGGAGATCGGATGGAAGACGACCTGCGGTGGCGTGAAGAACACGAAAGGCGACTGGCAGAGAAGAAGGAGCGAAATGCTGACGCTGCCGATGCTGATACCGACGCCCCAGAAGAAGAATTCCAAGAGAAAGACGACCAAGATATTTACTTCGCACCTGAACGCGGAAACGTCATCTTCGCGTCTGCCATCGATGGCTGGGGCTTTCGAATTGCCAAATTCGCCCAACTATTTGCTATCAAGCTGGGGATGAAGGAGGCTAATCTAAGACGCGTGCTTTGGGGAGACTTCTACATTGATCCAAAGACCAAGAAAGTCATCAGTTATAAACACCTTCGCGGACGTGCTCTCAAGCCTCTTTTCGTGCAATTTGTGCTGGAAAATATCTGGGCCGTCTATGATGCTGTTATACTGAACCCGTTTGTCGTCGATTTCTCTCCTCGTAGATGCTAATTACGTGATCAGAAACACCGAAAAGGTGACCAAGATTGTTGGCGCTTTGAACCTCAAAATTCCGCCCCGAGATCTCAAATCGAAGGACTCTAAACATCTCCTATCGCTTATATTCTCGCAATGGCTGTCGCTTTCGACGTGTATCATCCAGGCTGCAATAGACGTGGTGCCTGCTCCTGCTGTCTCTCAAGCAACCCGAATTCCTAAAATGCTGTACCCTGAGATCTACGAGACCACTATACGGCCGAAAAATAAGATTGAGCAAGACTTGTTTGCGTCCAAGGACGATGCTGATGCTGCCGTCGTCGCATTCGTCAGCAAAATGTTCTCGGTCTCAAGCAAAGACCTACCAGAGAATAAAAAACGATCGATGACCGCGGAGGAAATGAGGGCGAAGGCGAAAGAGGCCAAGGAAGCGAGGCAGGCGGCTGCGGCTAAAGAAAGTGCGGCCGAAGTCGAGAAAGAAGAAGCCCCGTCAAATGAAGATACAGAGCTGACACAAGAGGATGGCGAGATCAACTTGGGTTTTGCTAGACTCTACTCTGGAGCTCTCAAAACCGGCATTGCTGTCTGGGGTGTTTTACCCAAATACAATCCAGCTTTGGCGCCGAATCACCCATATAATGTAAAGCATCTCGTCAAGGCCACCGTCGAAGGGCTATATGTCATGATGGGCAGGGAATTGGTTGCAGTCGACACCGTTCGCCCTGGAAATATATTCGCTATCAAGGGACTGGAAGGCAAAGTCTGGCGGAGCGCAACATTGTTTGCACCGTCTTCGCATGGTGCTGGAGGCGACTCAGAGGATTCTATGCTGAATCTTGGCAGCGTTAACCGGATTGCGCCGCCGATATTACGAGTGGCCTTAGAACCGGCACGGCCAGCAGACATGCCGAAGTTGATTGCCGGACTCAAATTATTGAGTCAATCAGATCCGTGTGTCGAAACTTTCCAACAGCAAACCGGAGAGTATGTTATATTAACGGCTGGAGAGCTACACTTTGAGGTGGGCCCACTTCCAAAGCAGTGCTTCCTGATCAACTTCGTTGCAGCGATGCCTGAAGGATTTGCGTGAACGCTTCGCTAAAGTGGAGATCCAAGCATCCAAACCCATCGTCCCATTCCGGGAAACTGCGGTCAAGGCTACAGGTATTCCTACTTAGCGAAACTTTTGATCTTGTAGATTGAATGGATGCTCTAGATATGGCCCCACCGAAGACTCCGAATGCAACTCGAGGAACTATGCTGGGTACGAGCTCTCAAGGAGTGGTTAGCTTTACCATCAGGGCTAGTCCCATACCCCGCCCGATCCTCGATTTCATACTGCAAAACCTTGCTATATTGAAAACCCTACAGCAAACAGGCAAAGGCTCCACAGAAGAACAAGATGGGGATGATGAACAAGCGAATATCATCGATGGTACTGTGATGCGGAAACCAAGTGTCCAACCCGAGAAATTTTGGACCACGCTACATGAGAAATGCACACAAGTCGGTGGGGAGTGGATTGATGTAGTGGAGCGCATTTGGTCGTTTGGACCACAGAATGCTGGTGGGTGCATTTTGATCGACTCGCGGAAATCTAGCGCCGGGCATTCATCGTATGTCCGCTTTATTTTCTCTGATTGGCTCCGTTCAATGATGTTTAGATTGAAACGCCGATTGGACAAAACTGCAGAAAAGGTACTGGCGGGAGAAGCGGACGAGGAGAAGGTGATCCGGGATTTGGATATCCACATTGAGACTGGTTTTCGACTGGCGACCTTCCAAGGGCCACTGTGTAATGAGCCCGTCGAGGGCATGGCCTATTTCGTGGAGAGCGTAGAGATTGACAGAGAAAGTCTCACGAAGGAAATCGGTGGGTTGATTGACGTCTGTAACAGCCCGCTGATAATTGGGTCAAGAGCAAAACCGGATCGCACAAGTGACTGGGTCGGTCATATCCGCTGTTAGAGATGCCTGTAGAAACGGGTTGTTGGACTGGTCGCCGCGTCTGATGCTCGCGATGTATTCATGCGACATTCAAGCATCGAGTGAGTCGTTTTGCCCGTATCATGACCGGTGATGGGTTGATATGCCCTTGAATAGCGGAAGTGTTGGGCAAAGTATATGGCGTTGTTGCTCGGCGGAGAGGTCGTATTGTGGCTGAAGAGATGAAGGAGGGCACATCCTTTTTCATGGTTTCCGCTGTGATACCGGTCGTCGAGAGCTTTGGCATTGCAGATGGTTCGTGTTATTTTTCATTAATTCATAAAATTGATGCGTACTACTCCCCAAGACATTCGAAAGCGCACCTCTGGAGCTGCCAGCCCCCAGCTGATATTTGCGGGTTATGAATTACTTGATCAAGATCCATTCTGGGTGCCAACTACTGAGGAAGAGTTGGAGGACCTCGGAGAGAAAGCAGACCGTTCAAATATTGCCAAGGGCTATATGGATGCAGTGCGGGAGCGTAAAGGGTTATTTGTGGATAGGAAGATTGTGGAATTCGCAGAGAAGCAGCGGACATTGAAGCGGTAGAGATAGACTGACGTTAGGATAAGGTTACTAGCGGTGAATGTCGTGCCATGACTGCACAACGTGTAGTGGATTGATCTGGAGGACCTCAAGAAGAACGAAAACGGCGTCAAGAATCGAGATTGCAGGGGGGGCTGTGTTGATCGCAAACCACCACCATCTTGGTGGTGGAAACGTCAACGCTGTCTCCCCCGTGGCAGTACTGCACGAGGTGAACAGTACGCTCACCTGCCGAGTCAGAAGGCCCTCCGTACCAAGGAGAAGAGACCTGTAGGGTCTGTAGTCAGTGTACACCTGACAATGCAATGTACCAATGCATAACGCGATCCGCTAGGCGCGAAATTATAATGTGCGGCCAAGGCCACGACTTAGAACAGGTGGCCCATCCAAGCGATGGCACCCCGAAGGTCCAAGACCTTCCGCAAGCCCACTAAAACAAACCTCAAAAATTTTAAATGAGTGACAACACGTGGTCCTCCTCTTCCTCCTCCATCAACTGGTCGCTTTGCAAAGGCGAACGTATGTCTGCAGACAAGGTACCAGTGGGACCAACGCTAACCCAGCCCACTCCGCCAGAACACGACAGCCCAGAAAAAGTCGGAAAGCCAGACGACGGCATCTTCAGACACCCAGACCGCGACAGCCGCGAGAGGAAAACCCCGCAGAGCCGCAAACAGTACGCCTACCCAACCACCACCAGGCCAGCAATCCCACCCCTTCGCTTCCCCAGAGCAGGCACAGACGGTGAAAGAACCCCCCACAGTGGAGGCAGTCAAAATATCTTCGACGAAGACATCCGAATGGACCCCGCTCCACCCCTCGAAAACCGGGCGCAACCACCGGACACGCTCAACCCGGCAAACACGGCCCCAACCGTACCAACAGGAGCCGCCCCGCCCAACACCAACAATGCGGGCCAAGAAGGTGGAGCACTAGACCGCCCAAGACCACCCCAGCCGCAACCCCCGTTCACCCTACCCACCCCCGGGACGTTCGCTGGAGCGGAACCAATCGGCACAAGTACCAATCCCCACTTTGCCACTCAACCCGCTCAACAAGCCCCCCCAAACAAAAAAGACGGCAAACCGGCATGCCAACGCAACCCCGGCTCCTGGCCGGAGGTCATCTTGGACCTCGAGAACCTCATGGCCCACATCGACCCGGTCCAACGCGAGGCAATCGAACGCGATGAAACAGGCCAAAATATGCTCGTTGTAACAAGCCTCGGCGGGGACATGTACAACCGCCTGATGGAGAGTGCCGCAAATGCAGCTCTGGTGATCGACGCAGGCGACAGAGACGCCACACTCACCGACAAAATTGCCAACGTCCTCCAAGCAGTATCGGAAGCCGACAACCCTATTCGCGTATGGCTACCGCAAAGCAACGGAACACCGGCCAGAGGCGACAAATACCACGGGGCGAGCATTCTGGTCGCCGAAGTACCGACAGCGAGCCAACGCAACAAGATAAAGAAACAACGCACGTTTGCATGCACCAGCACCCTCGCATTCCACGTCGTCCAAGCATCTGAGTGCAGAGAGTCATGGGTAGTTGGAGAATGGCAAACTGGCCGCCAAGAAGAGCCGGAACACCAGAAAGCATGCATCCGAGGCGGCCTTTTCAGAGAAATCACGCAGAGCAAAGACCTCATGCAAGACATCGACGCGATGACCCAGGCGAGAGAAGGCTCACTCCCACTCCGAGCGACATACTTCCTTGGATCGCTACATGCCGTCGTTACGCCGCACGTCAAAGACCCCCTCATCACGGTGTACCTCAGCCCGTTTGGAGGAGGAACAAGCCAGCAACGAGCGGCATTCCTCTCTAAACTCCGTGCGGTCAAGTTCTCATTCGACGTCTATCACTTCAAACCTATGCGGAAGAGCGGAGAAGTCCCCAATTGCCCCATCTGCAAACTGTACGGACACCTGGCGTACATCTGCCCATTCACACGTGAGAACAGCGCAACATTCTGGTGGGGCCCGACCCAGACCCTCGGCGAACACACCGAAGGCCCGCTCGCCCTAAACAAGAGAGGCAGATCGGAACGGGGAAGGGGTGGACGAGGTGGCGCCCCACGCGGCCGTTACGTAAACAGAGGCAGCCGAGGAGGGTACAATAGTCGCAGATAATCGAGCTCATGTACTAAACACAATCCCAACTCAGTATATATTGAATGAACACATTTACATTGTTGAAACACAGAATGCCTAGGAACGGGACTAGAAGAAGACGTGGGATGTACCGACTCACGCAACCCAACCCTGCCAAATCTACTGACCAGTGTAAAACTGGGACAGGAAACAGGGGAGGGGACCGCGTTGGGAAAATGCACCCTTGACAATTCAGAAATGGGTTGTGAAGGGGGCATGAGTACCAACGCCGCAACAGCGGGGCCTATTTAGGCCGGGGTCCGCTGGCCAGCAGTCCTGGCATGACGGCGGGCGGAAGCTGCATACCCGATTTATGCAACGGAAGCCCAATGTCAACCCCGAACGGTAGGCGCTAACGTCGCGGGCCATGGCGCGGCCCGCGGCGTGCCTTTTCTTTTGCTACCACAAATTCAACACCATCTAACACAACCACAGGACATACCAGAATGCAACCCGGCACACGACTTGCGGCTCTCGGAGGGTCGGCGAGCTCCGCCACCGGCTTGCCAACACCCAATGATGGGAGCCACATTGGAGGGGAAACAGCGGCGGGTCAACCAGAGGTGAACTGGGATGGCCCAACCGATGACCATCCCCTTAACACCGATGAAGGTCAACCAACTGCGACTCTGCCCACAGTACCGGGAGCAGGGGGCATCCGAGAGGATGCTGTTATGGTGCAGTACGCACCAGGAACCCAGTACGAGGTTCCCCGGCCAGGCAACGAGTCAGTTGCCAGGGATGACACCGGAGACGCACAGTACGTGCATGTAGGCGACACCGCGGGAGTGATCCCAGTCGCAACTCTGCCCGCAGTACAGGGAGCAGGGGGCATCGCAGACGATGCTACGGTGCAAGATGCACCAGGAACTCAGTACGAAGTCCCACGGCTAGTAGAAAGGCCGCCCACACAAGGAGATGTGGAGAATTCACAAGCAGATGCACCTGCTATCCAAAACGAAACCGCGCAAGCACCGCGAGTGAACACACAGAGAGTCTTCCCGGGTCCTGACACCAGCGATAGCAGACTAGGGAAAAAGAACACCAAGGCGTCGACAATGGTTGCTTCGCTAAACATAAGAGGCAATGGGCATGTTAACCCAAGCCACGAAGACAGCAAATGGCCAGAGGTATGGCAGATGATGCGAGAGGAAAAGATTGGAGTCCTCATCGTCTGCGAATCACATCTGAGCGACGAACGAAAACAGCGCATTGACCGCCTGTTTGGAAGACGAATGAGACTCGAGTTCTCACGTGACGAAAGATCGCCAAATGCGAAAGGCGTCGCTTTTGTCCTTAACAAATTCCTTGTGAATGCTAAAGAAATAAACAAGCGTGAAATAGTCGCTGGCCGGGCCCTACTCCTAGAGATGAAACACGGAGACGGCTCAAAACTCTCCATTCTCGGCGTCTACGCGCCAAACGACCCGACTGAGAACGCTGAATTCTGGGACACAATCAACCAATGGTTTGCGAACAACCCACACGTGAGACGCCCGGACATAATGGGGGGCGACATAAATATGGTTGAGTCGGCAATTGACCGCCTCCCCCCACAGTGACCCTGTCATCTGCGTGGATGCCCTCGACCGACTGAAAACTGCACTCGGCCTGGTGGACTACTGGAGGGAGACACACCCGACGACGCTGAAATATACATATGCCCAGTCCGAAGACCAAGGTGGAGCGGAATCGCGAATCGACAGATTCTATGTCCGCGCAAGCATTGCAGACGATACGTTCGAATGGACCTTCAAAACACCAGGCATCCGGACAGACCATAAGCTAATCAGCTTCCGAATAACAACCGTGGACTCGCCAACGATGGGTAGCGGCCGATGGACACTCCCCGAACACATAACGAGCGAGAAAACATTCAAAAAATATACCTCAGAGCGTGGCAAACTCCTCGAAGATAGTCTCGGCCTACTGAAGTCCCACCCAGAAATGCGCAGCCCCTCCAACAACCCACAAATACTCTGGAAAGAGTTCAAGGACGATATCACACACAAAGCAAGGGAACGAGCCAAAATAGTAACCCCCAAGATGACGAAAGAAATCAAAGATCTGGAGAAAAAACTGGATATGATAGTCAAAGACGCAAACATGACTGACGAAGAAAAAACCCTCTCGGCGGCAGTGATGACCGAGAAGCTTGTGCAACTGCAACGAACCAGATTTAAATCCAACAGACAAACCGTCAAGATGCAGCATGTCGTACATGCAGAGCTCGTTGGAAGATACTGGTCCAAACTAAACAGGCCTGCGAAGCCAAAGGATATCATCCCACGCCTGCAAAAGAACGTCGGCTCGAACGAACAACCAAGATACGAGACTAACTCGAGAAAAATGGCATCCATGGCCCGTGATTACCATAACAAACTGCAGAACGAGCGAAACGACGTCCCACCAGAAGAACGGGAGACCAAGATTGACACAGTGCTAAACCGGGTAAAAGCGACCACGTCTCAAGACCAACAAACACGCCTTGGGGGCAAAGTCACCCGGGACGAAGTACTGAACGCACTGAAAATGTCAGCCAACTTCAAAGCACCTGGCCTAGACGGCATACCTTTTGAGCTTTGGAAAACACTGAACGATCGATACGAGTCAGCAAAGGAGAAAGCGGCGGAGGAAGAGAGAGTAGCAGAATTTGACGTGATTACCGCAATGCAAACGGTCTTCAACGACATCGAGGAGCATGGTATGGCGGAGAACACAGACTTCTCGGAGAGCTGGATGTGCCCACTGTACAAGAAAAATGACAAATCTGATATTGCGAACTATCGTCCAATCTCCCTCCTAAACACCGACTACAAAATATTCACGAAAGCTCTCACCATTAAACTCGCGCAAGAAGCCCCATCTCTTATACACACCGACCAAGCAGGCTTTGTCCCAAAACGGCAAATTCGGGACCAAGTATGGTTGACGAAAAGATTAATCGAATACGCTGAAGTGTCAGAACACGACGGGGTAATAGTCGCACTCGACCAAGAGAAAGCTTATGACAAAATAGAACATGACTACCTATGGCGGACTCTGCAGAAATTTGGAATACCAGAGCAATTTATTAAAACCGTACGGGCACTGTACAGCAACGCGAAAACATATGTCATGATCAACGGAGAGCGGAGTGAGCACCCCTTCAAGGTGACGCGGGGAGTGCGGCAAGGGGACCCACTCTCATGCCTTCTGTTCGACCTGGCCATAGAACCACTCGCAGAAGCACTACGATCCTCCCACCTGAAAGGGATCAAAATCGAAGGTAGAGTGGAAAGAATTATCACCTCCCTCTTCGCCGACGACACAATGGTGTACCTCGACAAGGAAGACGACTGGGGTGAATTATGGAAAATTCTAGATGAATGGTGCATTGCAGCGGGGGCTAAATTTAATGTTAGCAAGACGGAAATCATCCCTGTCGGGAGACAACAGCACCGTGAGGCAGTCGTTGAGTCGAGATGCATTAACGGACTAGACGGCACCAAAGTGGCTGACAACATCAAAATCGCAATGGACGGAGAACCAGTTCGCACCCTTGGAGCCTGGGTAGGGAACAACGTCGAAGATGCAGACACATGGGCAAGAACCCTTGAAAAAATTGACGGCGCTCTGGCGCATTGGGAACTGAGTAACCCTACAATGGAGGGACGCAGGCTCATTGTTCAAATGGTGGTGGGAGGTATGACACAATACCTTACCACAGTGCAAGGCATGCCCAAGGAGGTGGAGAACCGAATCGAGCGCAGGATACGCAACTTCCTATGGGCAGGTAAAAAGAGCGTGACGATAAACAAGGAAACAGTGTACGCACCGAAAGAAATTGGCGGCAGAGGCCTCCTTGACATCCGGGCCCGGAACGAAGCCATAACCATAACGTGGCTCCAGAGATACCTAAATTTCGGCCCCGACAGACCCTCATGGGCATACGTCACAGACCAAATACTGATAAGGAATAAATCTGACGACCAAAAATATGGAAGTATGGAAACACGCACCAGCCCGTACCTACAACACTGGGAGCCCAAAGTATCATCGGCCAAAGTCGGAAACGACCTCGCACGCCTGATCAAGGCAGGAAAAGACCACGATGTCGGCATCGAGGCAATAGCTGTGTCCCGAAACATACAACGCAGTATGCCAATATGGCACCACATCAAGTCCAGCGAGGATGACTGGAGGGTCTTCCGCTACCCAAAGGCAACAATCGAATGCCTACACAAGAACCACAAAGTCAAGTCAGTCCGAGACGCGGAAGAACTGGCGAACAAAATGCAAACACGAAGACATACGTCACGAGTCGACTGTAAATGTACATCGTGCCAAATAACGAGGGTGGCGTCTAAATGTAAGCACCCGAATAAGTGCTACGAGAAGGCGAGAGACATGCTACATACCATCCAAGACAAATGGGACCCCAGATTGGCCCAGCCGGAGACGATGGAGGAACTCCTTGAAGACACACCGGTCGCACTCGATGAGAATATTGTCCCATTCAACCGGAAAGTCACCACACGAGGGTCCATAGCCGACACATTCCGCGTCTTCAGAAATGGAGCGCGAAATAAAACAAAAAGCGGCCCCGGACACTTCACCGCTACCCGCAAGCGGCCCAGCCGTCACAGTCTACACAGATGGGTCAGCACTTAAAAACGGAACCCCCCAGGTGCAGGCTGGAGCCGGCATCTTCTTTGGGGAAAATGACCCTAGGAACAGGTCACTGAGAATCCCCGCCCACCTCTCGCCATCCAACCAGGTTGGAGAGCTGGCGGCAGTAAAAGAAGCCGCAGAAATGTGCCCCATCGACCGCCCACTGCACATAATCAGTGACTCAAGGTACACAATCGACGGCCTCACGAAGAACCTACAGAACTGGGAAGATGTCGGATTCTTCCTCGTGGAAAATGGTGAGCTGGCGCGCGCAACGGTGTCGAGGATCAGAGAACGCAGGGCGGAGACGACCTTCCAATGGGTCAAAGGCCACGCTGGCAACGAAGGGAACGAAGGGGCCGACGAACTGGCTGGCCTTGGTGCAACACAAACCCCCGAAGACGAAATTCGTATGGATTTGAGACCAGACTTAGTCCTCCCCGGGGCCAAACTACAGGCGATCAAACAGTCGACGGCCTACAAAATAATCAGACAAATAAATATGGCGAAACCGGACTACGAGGAAGCCCTCAATAGACGGGCCACAAGGGACAACATGTCCAAAGCACAAAACGCGATTGAGTCGCGAGAGGACACGACCGCTACCGAGAAAACAATCTGGAAAGCGACGAGACACAAAGATGTGTCACGCATAATCCGAATCTTCATGTGGAAACTGCTGCATGGAGGCTTCAAAGTGGGCAACCACTGGAAGGACATCCCACAGTACACAGACTGGGTAGATTGCAGGAAATGCGGACTCACCGAATCCATGGAGCATATTCTGACAAAATGCGAATGTCAGGGACAGGAAGAGATCTGGAAATTGGTGAGCAACACATGGGAAAAGAAAACAGGCAACGAAATTAAACCCACAATCGGCCAGATAATGGCCTCTGGTGCACCCGGCGCGAGTCAGGGAAAGAGTAGTGGCGAAGAGCGACTATACCGAGTACTAATATCAGAGTCAGCATATCTCATTTGGAAGCTTAGATGCGAACGCGTCATAGGAGATAAACCAGAGGCGTCGCTTGAAGAGATCAGGAACCGCTGGCGCAAAACAATCAACAACAGGATAGAGATAGATCGTGCACTCACCGATAAGAAAAAGTGGGGCAAGAAGGCCATTCGCCGCTCGGTTGTACAGGCCACCTGGGGCAAAACACTGAGGGACGAGGACCAACTGCCGTCGAACTGGACGTCGACGACTATCGGGGTTTTAGTGGGTATCGGATGAGCTGGTGATGATGGCAAGCTGTGACTGATGAAGCCGCAAGGCAGAAGTTGCAGCGCTGCCTGAACTAGCAAGGCCGAAGCCCCACACAAGGCGTGTACACACGCCAGTGCTATGGAGCATTTCCTCGAGTGGACCAAAATCAGGCTTGGTTTAAATCCCAAGGCCGCCAAACCACGGGTAGCGAGTGACCGACATAGGTCGGCCCGGATGCGATGCGGAATCTCGAAAGAGATAAACGCGGAGATACGGGGAAGCGTTAATTCGCCCTTACGTGCTACTATCCCAAACGTGCCACAAAAAAAAAAAAAAAAAAAAAAAAAAAAAAAAATCGAGATTGCAGCTAGAAGAAGTGGGCGTCACACTATGGTCACACGCCTGTGTCCGCCCCTCGTCGTAATTCTCCATGGCTGCTGCAGTCGCCAGCTATAATAGCCTCTCAAATTCTTTCCTTTCTTCATCCACGGCGGTCGAGGTAGATGACGCCGACGAGCAGTTCACTACACTGTTTTGCCGTGCCATCTACGACTATACCGCTCAAGATGGTTCCGCACTCTCATTCCGCCAGAACGACATTATTGAGGCATGTGGTCAACCTTGTTACTCAACAGCAGGCTGATCTAAACAGGTTCTTACCCAACAACCTTCTGGGTGGTGGGATGGCTTACTGGGGGATGAACGCGGCTGGTTTCCCTCGAACTATGTTACAATCATTTCGGACGAGGAGGCAGAACTAGCATTTTCGTCGTCAGAGGCCTCTGTGCCGACGGAACAAACTCCAGCCTTGGAGGCGAATGGCGACAACGCTTCAGTCCTCGATATGTCTCACGCCATGATGCGAGGTACCCAGGCGGAGAACGAGCAATGGCTGGACGCTGAGTTGGGAGGGGTCCAGGCCGGACTTGACGACCTTGCCAATGCTACGTTCACCAATGGGCCGGTTGAATCCAACGACTTTTGGATGCCGGAGGTCACAACAGATGGCCAGGTGCGTCTTCTAAAACGACTATGAAATGCTCGAAGGAATACCACTAACTTGCAAATGTAGATCTTCTACGTCAATACCAAGACGGGACAGAGAGCTCGGGATTTGCCCAGCGAAACTGACGGCGAAACATCAGACAGTGATTATACCGGTCTGGCATCGCAATCCAGCTCCCGGTCAGGTACCAGTGCTGGTCTTACCAATAGTCTACCTCCAGGAAACCGAGATGGCGGAAGCTCGGCCGGATTTGGTCTCCCTCGTCGAACGACCACTCCCGAGCCTTGGGTGAAGAAACTTGCGGACGATGGCATGTCCTATTATTATTTCAATAAGGTGGACAACACTTCTCAATGGACTCGACCGGAGCCCGACATCAGTAGCAACAACAACAGATCTCACACTCGCGATCGGAGTACAACACGTCCTCTCCCTCCCACTACTGCCTCAACCTCCTTCCAACCAGCCATTCGTCCTCTCCCCCCAACTTCCCGTGCCACACAGAAAGCATCGCGACTTAGCGTTTACTCTGACAGCTCAGACATTCACCCCCTCGAGCCTTCAGGGTCCAGGACAAATGGCTATCGCCCAGCCGTCGATGTCAAGATGGAGCTCACATCGGCAGAACGGATAGCTCAATCCTTACAACATGCACTGACCCCCCCACCAGCAGAACTTGTGACCGACTTGTCTGCCGTTGCACGTAGTGCTATCCAAGCGGTCATCGAGAATGTTGATGCTACTGCGATCGGACGGCGACCGCCTGGGGAAGAATATCGTATGGATGAGTTAGTCTCTGGTGTTGTCTTCTCCGTCCGAAATCTGCTCTATGTCGCTGCCGCATCAACTGGCCAAATACCACCAAACGTCCTACCCCGTAACATGCGATATACTATCCCAACTACCAACCCTTCTCCACTCAAACCAGCCCAGCGTAAAGTTACAGCTACGCTTTCAAGACTTGTCCTCTCTGCTAGAGCTCTTCAATATGATGCAGGCTCGACTGTCTCTGACACTCTTGATCGAATCCAAGTGGACGCCGAGGAACTCGACCGTGCTGTCCATTCTTTCGTTCTCGAAGTTCAGCGAGTGCAGCATTCAACACCAGAGGCCAACAAGAATGTGAAGCGATTACATGGTGTTTTTGTTACAGCCAATATCGGTTTGGGCCTCTTTGGTGCAGGAGCAGCGGCCAGTTGGAAGGGCTTTGGCTGGGTCTCCTTACCTGAAGAGGACTCGCCCCAAGATCCTCTCAGCGTCAATGCGCTCAGCGATCTGTCTACTCAAGTGCAGGAGCTGGATCGCTATTTCGGTTCACTGGAAGACGCAGTTCGGGCGCCTGACGATAGCTCAAGTGTGTCATCAAACATTGATCAAATTGTCCCTATTAACATTTGACAGTGGAAGTCATTCACCACCGCTCACGGCTTCTCGTTGCTCAGCTTTCTTTGTATCTCAAGTTTGCCTCCAACATACATATCGCCCGTCATGTTGACATCGACGGTATACGTCAAGAAGCAGGCGCTGGTCCCAACGAAATGTACCTCCAAACGGTTGATCGAGCGCGTTCCTTGATACGGACGCTGGAACACGGCATGCAGTCCGTCTATGACGAAAGCATGTCTCTCCTTCTTGCAGCTCAGTCTTTGCGGCGGATCGAACCTGGTCAATCCTTTCAAGCACAGGACCTGACTCTTGATTATTTGCAAACACTCTCAGTTTCACTGAGAGCCAATCTCCAATTAGTCAACAATACGTTTGATGGGCTGTTGTCGATTGGACATGAGCAAGCAGACCTTGCACAAGGCGATTATAACGGCTCTATCGACTGGCGAATGTCGCGATTAAGTGTGATCGACCCAGCTCTTGGCGGCGCTCTTCGTCCAGAGTCAACATTGTTGGAGGGTAACGGGGACATGATTGACATTGGTTCTGTTTTGGAACAGAGGAAGCGCCGGCTTGCTCCCGAGACATTTGCCTCGCAATCCAGTCAACATCATCCCAACGCAAGCAGCGTTAGTTCGACCCTCAACGGAGACTTCGAGGACGACACCATGGTACCCGACTCTCCAGATAAGGGAGACTTCGATGGTGGTCTGGATGAGGACCGTGCGATTATTCTCTTTCTTAAAAAACACTGTTTGCCTGACGTATCTTCCCATAGCCACCCCTAACAATCCGCGATCACCTCCTCGTCCGTCCGGCAGCAGCAAATTAGCCAAGATTCTCGGAGCCGACTATGCGAAAAGTGTTCCCCCACCACCAGAACCAGAAGCTCCTCCGAAACCTTGGTATCTCCAGCCATCATATAGTCCCACTGAGATTATGATGGATGCTGATGGTGGTGTTCGAGCTGGAACTGTACCCGCCCTTGTTGAAAGGTTGACGGCACACGAACAGGGAGGTACGGACAAGCCTTCTTTCTTTGGTGTTGTCCCTTCTAAGCCCTGCGTAGATCCGACCTTCATCAAGTCTTTTTTAATGACATTCAAGTCCTTTACCTCGGTGGACGATTTATTCGACTTGCTTGTACAACGATTCTGGATACAACCTCCACCCAAATTGACGCCTGCGGAACGCGAAGAATGGGGTCGACTGAAGCAACACATCATCCAGGCTCGGTGCGTGTGATCAGCTTCGTTAAGCCAACATTCATCAGCTTCAACACAGAGTGTTGAATACTTTCAAGTCTATGATTGTGGATGATGACGTCCTTGAGAAGGATGACCTGTTTATCCTGGAAAGGATAAAAGAGTTCATCACGACAGACGAGGTTGTGAGATTCCCAGCGGCTAAGCAACTGTTGATACTTATTGAGCGAGCGGTAAGATGGTTCCTGTTCTTCGACATCCCTCTCATTTCCATTTTAGCAAAAGGGTGGCGATAGCATGATCAAAATGATTACTGCACCTCAGGGACTACCTCCGCCGCCATTGGTGCCGAAATCGAGCAAGAAACTCAAACTATTAGACATCGAACCCCTGGAGCTTGCACGTCAGCTGACCATAATGGAAAGCCAGCTCTATCAACGCATTCGACCCATGGAGTGTTTACAGCGGGCAAGAGAACAGCGGACAGAGAATATCGACAACATCACCGTCGTCATCCAAACGAGCAACAAGGTACAAATTCACATGATATATCAGCAATCCTCTTATCTGCTGCTAGATCGCTCTTTGGGTTGCGGAATCGATTCTCTCTAAAGAGGATTCAAGACGGAGAGCTAATGTCGTCAAACACCTGATAGCTGTTGCCGACGTGAGTCAAACTAATTGTACTCTCGTCGTACTCATGGATCCCCAGCGGTGCCGAACGTTGAACAACTTCTCTACTATGGCAGCTATCACTGCTGGTTTGAACACCCCACCAATTCGTCGTCTCAAGCGGACCTGGGAACAAGTCAATCAACGCTATATGGCCCAGTTTGGTGCTTGCGAATTAACGATAGATTCTGAGAAGAACTTTGCCAAGTACCGAGCTATGATGACGTCAGTGATTCCGCCCTGTGTACCTTTCATTGGTGAGCATTTTTCTAATGCTGGCCTTGGAGATAGTCCTAATAACGCCTAGGTGTCTTTCTAACCACATTACAATTCATCCATGACGGGAACAAGGACAATCTACAAGGTCCGCCACCCGCTGGCGCGAAAGAGGGAACACTTGGAATGTCGCTCGTCAATTTCCGGAAACGGCAAATGGCATCCGAGGTTATCAATGACATTAAACGGTGGCAAGTGCCGTTTAACTTCCATGTGATACCCAGCGTCCAAGCCTACATCGAGGAGTCGCTCAATTCAGTGAGCGACACCAAGGAGTCTAGTGAGCGCTTCTGGAACATGTCTCTGGAGCGTGAACCGCGAGAACGGGAAGACGAGAAAATGGCACGGTTGCTACAAGAAAGCGGGTTCTTGTAGTGGTGAGCTGCTAACTTGGCATTGCTTTTGTATCACTGGTAATTATTACTGTAAAACTAGGCTTGACTTACTTACTTACCTGCGGATTTCTGTATCTCTCTCTTTTAACATGGTGCTTAAACTCCAATCGACAACGCCCTCGCAGAGTCACGTGTCCGCGTTGCGTTGGACTACACATGATATCATTCATTTCCGACTGACATCTAATTACGGAGTTTTGCTACTTAGCTGAATCGTACTTGGAAAGTTTGGTTTCGTCCCGATCGGAGTTGTTGGGAAGGTGAGGCGGCTTGGTTGTTTGACGGAAGCATTTTTTTATTGATGATGCGAGTTCAGCCCTTGGCACTGCTCAATGAATGCCTCAATTCCCAAAACTCCAGTACATTCTCTCCTCACACCTTATTGGATTGCTCACAACTGTTAGCGCACTGAGACCTTCACCCACAAAGGCTTCCGGGCCGCGGGTGATGCAACCGCTTCCCGTCGCCGACCAGGCGCCTCTTTCGTGAATGCTCTGTTGGCAACGGCTCTTTTTGTGCGTCTTCCGTTTGCTCCAATTGCCAGCCAGCTCATATCGCTGCTTAGCGGTGCTGGCATATCCTGCTCTTTTTCGCAGCGTGGTCGACATGCATTACGGTGCTTGACGATCACCACTTCAAAGTCCGGATTCCTCTCACCCTACTAACAGTGCAAGTGTCGAGCTCGACTGTTTCTGAACCTTCTAATCGGATACTAGTGTTGGTACCGTGTTGGGTTTCGTTATCTCATACCGGACGACTGCCTCTTTTGAACGCTATAATGAGGGCAGACGTTTGTGGTCACAAATTATCCTTGCGTCTAGGACGTTTGCTCGAACCACATGGTTCCATATACCGGGTAACTACACTTGAACTCTTTTCAAATTCTACCTCATATGTTCCAGACCAAGCCCCAGTGGGTGGACTCGATGCAGCAACCATGAAATCGCGAGGAATGGTGGAAAAGAAGACTGTGATCAATCTGGTCGAGGCTTTTGCAGTGGCTGTAAAGCACTATCTGCGGGGTGAGGATGGCATTTACTACCAGTGAGTTGCACTGCGTTGTTTCGCTCACCAGTTGTTCACCTTGAATTTCTCAAGGGATTTATATTACCTGGTCAAATTCTTACCGGCCTATGCGTTACCGCCAGGGATACCCTCAAACGCGGACTTGACCAATATGGATGGTGATGGCAACCTTTCCCCGCGTTCTCGCCCCTCCAATGCCTCTGGACCCCCTCCGCAGTCAAGCTCTCTGCTGTATCAGAGAAATGGACCTGCCTCTTCAATGTCCGCTCCACATCTTCCTCTGCCAGTTTCCACTCCGGAACGCGGAACTCGTCGCATCAGCTTCTCTCATGGAAATGCTCAAACGCCTAATAGTGTCCTCCAAGGCCGTCCTGGTCTGCCACCGCCACTTACTATATCGCCTCCCACACGCAGGAACTCCCTCGACGAAAAACGCAGTACCGAGCTTCGGAGCGTGACCAGTATTCGCTCTATGCGATCTCCAGTGCCTGGAGAGCCCCAAAAAATCATCCTTGCGCGTGCGGATGAGTCATACCTCCTTCCAGCATCGATGCCCCCGAAATACCACATTTTCGACCTGTTTCCGTTCTCTCTCCTCGTTCGCAGTTTAACGAAGCGAGGCAAGGAACTCAAAGGAAAGAAAGCAGCCCGTCTTCGAGCCAAAATCATGCGGGAGAAGGAGAAGGGAAGCCACAATTTACCATTAGAAATCAGTTTGTATCTGGTGTGTCTCCTCCATCTAGACAGACAGGTAGCTGATTCCGGGCATAGAGTTCGTATATCTCTGCTTTGCAGGTCAGGAAACAGATGGATGTGCCAACCACTAGTGCGCTTTTCCCATCGAAATATTGCGTGTTCTCAATGGAGTTTTAGACACATTGTTGGCGGCGCTCAACCAGCTGGTCGACGCACTTACAGGGCTTGAACGTATTCTGACAACTCCAGTGCCGTATTCGTACTCTATCCATCTGTGGCTCGTCGCAACGCTATATTGTCTGGCCCTTGTGAGTTTTATGTGTCCCGTTGAACCATTATCTTACTGTGTTTCAATCAAGCCTTCACAAATCGTCTCCGCCATGGGCTGGATCACGATCCCAGCTACAAGTCTTCTAGCTTTCGTCTTCTTTGGATTCCTAGTTGCCGGCGAAGAGATTGAGAACCCCTTCGGGTATGACAAAAACGACCTCAACCTGGACCATTTCACCAACAACATCATACGGACCGAGTTGCGGGCGATCACCAGTGCTGCTGCGCCAGACCCGGACCGTTGGATATTTGCGGCCGAGAACGACATGCTGTTTTCTACGGATGTCCACCATGATGAACGGGTTGGGCCAGAGACGTGGGTCAGGCGAGGGACTCCAGCAATCTTAGGCGCGTTGAGCATGGTCTAGTGGATTTCTTTTCATGTAGGGGTAACGAGACACGATTTTTTACAGTATAGAACCTATGAATTAGACACAGAACCAGTGATAAAGCAATGAGTACCATCATCGCAGAATCGCGAGAACCAGTTCGGATCACCTGATGCGACCAGCTTAACCACTTACTTGATGTCACTCCAAAGGCCCTCCTCCGGACCGTATTCTTTGCATCGGCGCGTCAGCTGTTCGAACTTCTCCGTCATAGAAGCACATTCCTCTGACCAACATACTTAAACGCTGGATTTTTTTCGGCTGATGAGAGAACGACCGAAAACATGTTGCTCAAGAACGTTTCGGTCTTCTGGCTGCTGCTTGGCCTGGGCGCAACGCGGGGGGCGGCGTTCGTAGGGGAGCTCGCGCGAAGGAACTCGACAGGCCTTACTTCAGTCGTTGAATGGGATTCCAAGTCGCTGTTCATTCAGGGTCAACGCGTTTTCATCTTGTCCGCCGAGTTCCATCCATGGAGGCTACCCGGCGATCCAGCGCTCTGGGCGGATGTGTTCCAGAAAATCAAGGCGAATGGGTTCAACACGGTGTGCAAACAGGTGTTGAGAGGTACTACTGTGTTGCTCACCTAGTCGTAGGTCTCTTTCTACGTCAATTGGGCTCTTCATTTCCCTACACCCGATACGAGCAATGGTCAAGGTGCGCTTCCTGCTACAGGGTTGCACTGTCCGACCTTTTTTCAGGCGATTTTGAAACGGGCACCTATCGTGATATTGAGCTCTTTATTCAAGAAGCGCAGAAGGCGGGGTTGTGGTTGATCGCCCGGCCAGGTCCATATATCAGTGCGTTCAGTTTAATTCGCTTCGAGCTATTTACTCAGCGCAAGCGCAGACGGGGAGACTACAGGTGGAGGGTTTCCTGGATGGGTCGGAAACATAGCGGGCTCTCTGAGGACCAATAATGCGAACTACACTCAAGGTGGGCAGCTTATCTTGTGTCTTGTCTGACAACTCCTCTCATCGTGCTATTGTCAGCATGGACACCATACCTGACCACTATGTCGAAGATGATCGCAAAGTATCAAATCACAAATGGCGGTCCAAGTACTACCCCCAATATTTTATTATTAACACTACTTTTGACTTTTTCTTCAAGTTATTCTCGTTCAAGCGGAGGTGTGTCATAACCTTCAAATTCTTGACGGGGGGATTTAAGCTGCGTTTAGAATGAGTTCAGCCAAGGCACCACACAAAGCCCATATATGCAAGTGCGTTTGTGAACAACTCTTTCTGGTATCATCACTGAGTTACTGATCAGGCCATCATCGATACTTACAGAGCCAATGGAAGTGCGTAGTCAATCTGCTTTTGTTGGAATATTCTCAGCGGTGAACTAGTTGTCATTCGTGAGGGCTGCCCTGCTTTCAGCCGTCGTTTACCAACACTCGTCAGCAACAATCCACAACGATCAACATGCCGGCCAGGCAGGGTATGACATCATCTCTTGTCTCTGAATCCGCGCCAACTAGATCGTTTTTTAGCAATTTTTCCCCTGACAAAACAACGCAAGGAGCTGTAAACATCTACTGGTGCGGATTATATTACTGGTCACGTTTAATCTCAACCTATACCAGTGGCGACTCTTACCCCCCAAGGAGCAAACAGCTGGGCTCAGGTTCAAGCTATTTATTACTCTGCTCATAAGGCTGTCGCACCATCCAATCCGTTATGCTTGGCAGAAGTTGGGTCTTTGTGGCCACAGTCTCTTCGATGTTGATCATGATAGTTCGGAGGTGGATTTTTACTACAATGGGGTGCCACTCCGTTTGGCGGGACCGGGTACGAAAAATACAGTGCGTTGACCGTTTTTTGCCTCGACGAAACTCCAACGCTTGCTTAGCTGTCAGTCCGGGGTTAACCAACGCAGATTTTGAAAACGTGTTCTATAAAGAAAACTAGTGTGTTCTTTCTAGACGCTTTGTTCTTCTTCTACTTATAGACTCCGAGTGCGCAAACAGCCACGATTCTTAGTGAATATTCCCCTTTTATCCTTGCCTGATTGCTGACGTATCCAGACATCTACATGCTGTTTGGTGGAACAAACTGGGGTGGGACTGCTGCTCCCGTCAGTTATACCAGTTATGACTATGGTGGAGGTACGATAAGTTATCCCTTGCATTTGCGGTGCGTATTTATGGAGCGCAGGAATCAACGAAAACCGTATTGCCAATGCCAAAATGAACGAAATGAGGTTGCAAGGTCTCTTCTTGCGCGTTTCTCGTGACTTGCTTGGGGCCACTCTTCTGGCGAATGGCACCAACTACACTACGACGCCGCTCATGCATACCGCTGAGTTGATCAACCTCGAAACCGGCGCGGGATTCTACGTTTTGCGCCATAACGACTCTACGTATGTGGACTGGTGATTCACTGAGAGCCTAAAAGTGTTCAACTTGTGATGATATAGCTCTACGGCACTCACGACAACACAAGTCACTGTCCAGACATCGCTTGGATCCCTAGTCATTCCCAGAACTGGTGTTCTGACCTTTAATGGTCGCGAAAGCAAGGTTGGTCTACATAGTCCAAAGCATGCTCGTTGTCTAACTATTTCAGATCATAGTTACCAACTACGTGTTCGGCCAAAGCCAGTCGACAATATTGTATTCAACTGCCGAGTATGTTCTGTGCGAGTAATGCTACATGACTTATCATTCGACCACAGGATCATGACCTGGGCCACGCAAGCATTGTTTCCTCGTCTTCATCAACATTTCTCATTCTAGTGCAGGATTGATGGGATCGACTACGTCATCTTATACGCACCAACAGGACAAAGTGGCGAAACAGCATTCCGCCTTCCCTCTGCTCCGACTGTTATTCCATCCATTCCTGCTGCAGGAATCGCGTCTTCCTTCGTGAACGGGACTCTTACCCTCAACTATGTGTTGAATGGCTCGTCCTTCGTATCAATTACCGAGGGACAGACAAAGATTGTTGCCATCATCCTCGATAAAGCCTCTGCGAATCGATGGCATGCTCCGATAATCGCTACTCCCGGCGCGTTTGGCAATTATTTCTCCATTGGCACAAACGAGACGTATGTGGGCCTACTTAAACGGGATTCCCTCGCTTCCCTTGTTGTAGTGTTCTTGTTTCTGGGCCATACGTTCTCCGTACCGCCGAAATTGCTGGTAATACACTGTCCATGGTATGTTGCTTATACCATCATAGTTGTTTATGCTTACATCACCCGTCAGACTGGGGATGTGAACGGAACCACTTCGCTCGAAATTGTTGCCCCCGGCACTATTTCCACCGTCGTTTGGAATGGTCTTCCTACAGTGACGACTCAAACATCTTGGGGAACCTTGAAGAGCCAACTTGACGGTGCACCCGCCATCACACTCCCTGTATTGACCAACTGGAAAGTCGCGGGCAGGTATGAAGCACCCTGAAGTTTTTTTCACGATCTTTGATGATTTTGGTGATAGTCTGCCTGAAATTGACCCTGATTTCGACGATTCAAGCTTTACTGCGGCTCATCTGACTACCACCAACGTACGTGTTGCATTCGTGAACGTGTTCGTGAATGATTTGCTTTAGTACACTAATCTCCCTCCTTTGGCCGGCAACGTTGTGCTTTATTCCCAGCAATACGGGTGGGTGCCTTTTTTGCTTCGTTGATTTGAACCAAGACAGACCAGGTTCTACGGCAATCATCTGATATTCCGCGGTCGTTTTACAGCAACTGGGAAAGAAACCGGCGTGAATTTGACTGTCCAGTACGGTTTTGCGGGAGGATATTCTGTGTGGTTGAACGGCGTGTTTTTGGGATCTGCTCAAGGTTCGCAAACAGTGAGCGTGTCGACGAGCACCTGGGCCTTCCCTGCCGGTGCGTTGAGGGTTAACGCAACAAATGTGCTTGTTGTTTTCCAAGGTTTGTACACAACTCCTTTGCGAAGGCTTTGACTGGCGCTGATCCATCACATCAGATCACACTGGGTAAATTGATTCTTCTGGAATCTGTAGCTATTGCGCTAACTTGCTATTTCTCAGAATTGTCGAAACTAATTGTGGGTCATCCTCGTCGTCCGACTGCGGTCATTGATTCTTTGCAGCCAATGGTGGTAAAGAGCCCCGAGGAATCAGAGGTTATGCCTTGCTTGGAGCCACTACGCCATTCACGTCGTGGACTGTACAAGGAAATCTAGTGTGTTTACTCTCCATTCATGTTCACTGTCTCATTGCCTTCTAGGGCGGTGCGGGTCATGCCCCAGATACCTATCGAGGCTATCTGAACGAAGGGGCGTTATATGCTGAGCGAATTGGTGCCCATCTCCCGGGCTTCCCTGACGACGGCTGGGCTAGTGCGACTCCTTTGTCTGGTGTTTCTCGAGCAGGAATCAACTTTTATCGTACCACCTTTGACTTCCCGGTCCCTGATGGGATAGATGCACCAATTCGCCTGTCCATAACGCGCAACAGCACGGCCGCTTCGCCCAACTTCCGTTTGCAGATCTATTTGAACGGTTGGCAAGTTGGAAAGTACGCCAACTCTATCGGACCGCAGACGATCTTCGTCCTGCCGGCAGGGTCTGTAACCGTTCTTCCAAACTACTCCTTGCTTAACCGGTTCTCAGTATCTTGCGTCGGCGCTCTCCCAACACGCTGGGGCTGATGGTTTGGGCGATGGATGCGACAGGAGCTGTCATCCAGAACATTGAGCTGGTTTCTGATGGGTTTTACACAACTTCACTCCAGTTCACCGACTATGTGACGCCGGACTACGCAGAGCAGAAGGCCCTGCGGCCTGAGCCGGGGTTTTATAATCCTATGTAGTTAGTGGGGTCGATTTCATGTGATCAATATTTTGGTGACCCACGCATGTAACCGGCCCAGCCGGATCACATATTCATGTGATCCGCACGTCTAGTAGTATGAGTGGGGATTTTCCATTCTTTTTGTGGTATTGATACATTTTTACACAGTCATTCTCTTCACCCTCCCGACCCCTATCACTCCATTCAACGGAGCCGACTTGGCTGATGCGCCATTTGTCCGCCATTGCGCGACCATCGCCTTTGCTTCAACTGGAGGAACGTTCGGATCCCGTGTCCCGACCGTAACGTGCAAACGTTGTTTGAGTTCGTCTTCCAGTCCAGCAACAAATTCAGCTCCGTGGTGGCCCTCTCCCCCTTCCTCGACCAGCTCGATGTCGTCGACGGTCACGGCCATAACACGGTCATTCCAAACAACATGTCCCAGTTTAAATTGGAAAAGTGGAGGTTGTTCCATTTCAGAAAGACGTTTGCATCGCTCCCAAAGAGCCTGCGCATCCCCGCTTGACTGGCTGCCGATAGAATTTTGGTGGACGATCGTGATATGTGGCCGCGCTGCAATGCGTTTCTCCTGGCGGATTCTCGTCCAAAATTTGACCTGAGCAAGCGCCTCCACATTCTTCAACGTCGTCTCCACCGAAACTTCCGGCAGAAGCGCAAAATACCGTGGCTTTTTCGCGTCTTTGTCCTTCTTGCTTGGCAATAGGTCAGGCTTTTTGACCGCAGGGGTATATGACCGCGCGTATTCAATTGCCTCATGGACCGCCGCTTGGTCTGGTGGCGCCACGCCGAGTACTCTGACGCATGCCTCGACAGCACGAGCAACAGCTTCCTCCAATCCGTCCTCCAGATTCATCTCGACGACCTCGTCTACCTCCGCTGGCGCAAGTGGTTCGGCCTTGGTGATGAACATCCACAAAATGTCTTCATGACTTTTCGCACTGTCTGGTCGGAGAGTCTGGTGATTGCTGCCTCGCCCTTGCACACGGTCTGAGCAAATACGGTGGACCGTTGCCGGTGCATATTTATCCATAGCCCAGTTCAAGGCGAGAAGCCGAACGGGCGGGTCAAATTCCGCGGTGGCTTCGCGGAGCGCCTGCCGGTGCTGGACCAAATGGTTGTTTCTGGTAAAAATTAGCTTACGATCGGAGAAACCATGGTTGTTTACTTGTCAGCGATGACCACATCGTTGGTGTTCAAAAGGTCGACTACGTTTTTGAGGAAGATAGGGGCGGCCTTCTTCACATGAACATCGTCACTTTGCGTATGGCCGAATCCGAAAAGGCGGGAAAGCGCGAGGGAGAGCATGGTTTTTCCTGAACAAATCATGAGATATTGTTTAAGGCCAAAGGGTCACAAACCGCATCCAGGTATGGCTACCGGCAAAATCACAGTCTTTCCAAAGTCTTTGACCGGTTTGACAACCTCCTGTACACTCTTCTTCCCATCGTCGGTTTGAGCAAAAGCAAGAAACCGTTCCCGAATGGCGATGATGCCCTTGTTATTCGCGTACTCAGCGAATGCTTCGGGATCACGGCGTATCTCCTCAATAACCCATTTTGCGTATGCCTGAGTTTCTTCCCGACGCAACTTCTGCTTGGGCAGTTTCTCGAGGCTCATACCGTCGTTTGTCTGGTTGGCGTTCCCCTGCCGCATACTGAGTAGCATCTTTGTAATCTCACGCCAGTCGCGATACTTGAGATAGGGCTCCTCGTATTTGATCTTGAAGAAGAAATTGGAGCCAGGCGGGTAAGGTGGAGTTGAGCGAGGGGACGATTCTGGCGGTGCTGGCGCCACTTGAGTTCGCACTACGAAGCCTTCCACCGGCTGTCCGTTCCACGAGCCTGTCTTGCTACACTCGTCCGCAAACTCGCGGACTTGAGCAACACTCGACAGTTCCACTGAAGCAGTCTTGATGAACCCCCACTCATCCGCAAAGGCATCGACATCCGCTTGCGGTAGCGTTTTGAACGCCCGGGTATTTTCGTTTAGACCATGAAGGTGAAGTCCCGTGAGCTCGGGTGGATATGCAAGAACGTGCTCCTCAAACGAGTCATCACAAAGCTATGGGAATAAGCTCAGCAAGGCTTTTCGAGTTGATCCAACAACACTAACCTCAGAAATAGCAGTCCAGTTATTCTTCCAGAGTACCGCAGCAAGATCCGCCTCTGAGCGGCCCTTCTGTTCAAGATATTTGCGCAACCACCGCTCCCCCGTGACCGCATGTGTGTTGGTTGGACCCAGCGAGTGCTTGGACGTGACAAGGAGCTTGTCAGGGGACAACGCGGCGATGAATATAATGCAGCCATTGCTCTTGAGACTGAGAGTATATGGCGCAGCAGTGTGGGCCTCAATGGCCGGCCATGTGCACCAACCCACCTCACCAATGTTGAAAAACTTGTCATACCCACGCGCCACAATCCGATGCTCCCCATTCTGCTCGGTGGAAAAGATCCCACGCGCGTATGTGGGAAACGGGGAGGGCACAGTGTAGTATTTGACCTCGTTCATCTTCCAGCTTGTTATCGAGATGGCCGGGTCAGCTGGTGCAGCATATTTACTCGACCGCACAAGTTTGCGTTGCTTGCTGGAAAGCTCAACAAGTTCTTTGATAAGAGAAGAAGCAGAAGTGTCCGTGACCATCCTCGACAGTCGCCGGATGGCGCTGCTAGGGCTAAAGCCCGCGAGCATAAATGGTGGAAAAGGCAACAGTGTTCATCTGCTCTACGCGTCACAGGTGGGTCACGACCACAAATTTAGGCCAGATTTGGAAGGCGGTGACGGATTTTGGCCGGAAGCTGAACAGATTTAGGCTAAAATTGGATACAATAAGGTTATTGATACAACTATGATTCGAGATCCATAGGACCTTCGCCTTCCATGGGAAAGCAGCAATTGCTCTCCTCAATACACGCTTCATCATCGTCTTCATTCCAGTCACTCGTCGTCTCCCAGTCGTTCTCAAACTCAACATCGATTGCGAGCACTTCGTCGTCGTTGTCTTGCGAGAGCGGCATGAAAGCAAGGAGATTGATTTGACCGGGGGCACGATGTGAAGTGGGCTGAACCCAACGGCGTTCTCGTAGTCGCTTATGCCGCTCGCGGTCTTCCTCAATTCTCTTGAAGACTTCGTTGCGCGAAAGGGAGGAGTGGGAAGATTTACGGTGGGAAGAGGAGGATGTAGTCGTAGGAACGGTCCGGGTTTCCAGTGAAGTAAGGACATCGTCGACCGTCTGTGGGTCCACTACACGCTTATTTCTCCAATTCTCTAGAATCTTCGGTTCGTGAGCAGCGAGTCACAAAGTCAGGATGATTCTCACTTGCTTGGTGCTGGTTAGATTGGGCAGACCTTCCCTGCCCGCTGGAACGACACACTGAACAATTTTACCAATGTCTCGACTGACAAAGTCGACATATTGGTTGGTTCCTTGACTGGTTCCTATTGCACTAGAGTGTGATTTGACGAGCAAGCACGTATCACAAAGCGAATCAAGGAAGTAGAGGATATTTATGCGCGCGTTCAACGAGCCCTTGGAAAATCAGTATGAAGACATGACAGAATAGTTGGGTCACCTTCTGGCATTCTTCGACGATGCAATCCCAAATATCTTCACCGCAAGGCGGGAAATATTTTATCGCAAAAGTCACGACCTTTTGAATGGATTGTTGCGAGCTGATTGAGCAGGTTCAGATGGCAAACACGAGGTTGTAGTCAAATCTGACGCGTTGAGACGTTTGAGGAGGTTTAAAAACTGGATTCTGACTTCAAATGGGTCCATAACTGCTTGAAGTCAGGAGCTGAGAGGTGCGATCAGTAGACATCAATGGAACCAGAACAGCGGCTCGCCCAAGGGAGCGGATGCGGGGCAAACTTGACTTATAAACTTGCTCGTAACTTTCACAACGCTCTCGTCTGCATCGCCAGCCTCGACGATGTTCGCCCATCTTTTCTCGTCGACCAGCCAAGGGTAGACGGATCACGTTGTCCACCACAGCTTGGCTCTTACCATGTCCACCGCCCGCCTCCCTCCAGCAATCGTCAGTGGCCCCACAACAACGCCAATCACGCCTATACCACTGGAGGACATCAACTCTCCAAGCGCCACAGCTACCTCCTCGGATAATAGCAGTCGCATGTCCTCCAACGACCAAGACCCATTACTTCTCGCCACTCGTTTGCAGTCTGAAGACCACATTAACAGTCTCCGCCAACGCAAAAAGCGTCGGAAGCAAGGAAAGGCCGCTGGAGACTTTTACGATAAACAAAATAAGCAGGTTCGTCTTTTTCATCCTTACTGTTGGGCCGATTTAAAAGCGCCAATATAGATAGCTTCGCTGCTCATGACAATGGACCAGCATATCGAGAGCGCGCAAGAAGAGGAAGACTCTAATAGGCTTGCTGTTCGTCTTTTCATTAGATGTGGACCTTACCTTGACTCTGACCAGATCAAAATTGCAATACGAGCCTCGTTGATTGCCAACATGTAGCTCGTTTCTTCTCGGTTTATCAGCGAATGCTCAGACTCATGACAGTGTTTTGGCTATTCTCCAAATATACGCGGCAGCATCGTCACTATCATTGTCGTTTTTTGCTACGGCAATGGATGCTGTCTTTGACCCCCTCGCAAATATGGTTCTATACTACTGCCATCGTCTGGCAGTGAGGGCGGACCCAAGAAGATATCCATCTGTAGGTTTCCTCCCCATCCCCGTCTCAGCAGTAACAGACTCACTCTTTTTCAGGGTGGGAGCCGTCTTGAAACTATTGGGGACATCGTGTATGCGACTTCTATGGGCTCCGTCTCAGTCCTCCTGATAGTCCGCCATCTCCTCATTTGTCTGACTTGAAGCTCACGATTTATAGGCATTTTCCATCCAGGATCTTACACGGGGCAATGCACAAGACTTAGCGCTGCACATCCCTGCTGTCGTTGTTGTGGGAATTGCATTTCGTGGGTAGCTTTACCTCCAATACAACACTCGCTGACGTCAATTCAGTCGTCAAGTTGGCACTTTTCCTCTACTGCTACTCCATTCGATCAAAAAATTCACAAGTCCGAGTTTTATGGGAAGATCAGTTAGTATTGCACATCTTCTATCTCGCACTGTTTTTAACCTAGTCTGACAGTCGGAACGACCTGTTCATTAATGGTTTCGGAATACTGACCTCTTCTGCCGGAGCTCAGCTGCTTTGGTGGATTGACCCTCTTGGTGCTTTATTGATATCTCGTATGTCACCTGTTTTTCTTGCTTGATACCACATTGAGCAAATCAGTTGCCCTCGTTCTCGTTTGGGGCCGCACGATTTATAAGCAGTTCTTACTACTTGCTGGAATTGCTGCGCCACTTGAGTTCCAGCAACTGGTCATTTATAAAGCTATGATGTTTGCCGATGACATCAGGAAGATAGACTCTTGCACCGTCTATCACGCAGGCCCCGTAAGTCATTGTCTCGCAAGCGCTTCATCCATGAACAACAAACTAGGACTACGTGGTCGAACTTGACATTGTCATGGACGGTGGGGCTATATCTCCCAAAGTCCTTCCCTATCACTTAGCTTTTTCCAGCGGATACTCCATTGTGGAAGGCGCATGACCTTTCTCAAGCCCTCCAGGACAAGATCGAACAACTTCCCAACGTCGGCCGTGGCACGTCTCTAATTTTCTCATTAGACTCCCAGCTTATCAGATACCCTAGCCTATGTCCACGTTGACCATGAAATCGATCACAAACCGGTAAGCTCGGCTTTTCGACCACCCATTTCTTCCGCTGACAAGGCGTAGGAACACCGTAAACTCAAGTAGAATACAGAATCTAAAGCTTGGTTTCAGTTCAGAAAACCGCTTGATCTGGTGATGGGACATGAGACATGAGACAGGCCTGTCTCATGGCGACCTGGCCAAATCACACCGGGCGAAAGCACCAAGTCCCCTGGGTGTTGTGTTATGATACCCATGGTTGCATGTGTAGTAGTACCCAGGGGCCATTCAATAGGGGCCCAGGGTGATATGCTCAAAGGCCCAGGGTGACAATTAGAGTTAACACTATGTACTTTTACATTAGCACCCCATGCTTATTCTAATATGCACCCTGGGTGAATAGTGATAACTACCTAGACCACTCTTGCTTACTTGACTTTAGTCATACTCATCACAAGGTCTCTTATCGCTGATTATGACCTCTGCACTACTCAACGTTGCAAACTGGGTCTCTTCCCTTCAGAAAGAACTACACTCTACTCTACTCTTTATCTCAATTCTCCACCGGCTTTGGGATGTTGTTGATGATGCAGTTCAGAATGCTAGGGCAGGAGAAATACCGTTCTTGCCCCCACCCATTGCTGATCTGTTACTTTCTGCCTTGCATCACCATGAGCCTACCATATCTGAGGCAGATATCTCACAACTCTGGGCAATGCTGCATATGTCCATCAAGAGCTGGAAAGGGCCACTACTAGTACAAGAGACGGACAATCTGTTATGTCAGCTAGGAGAGACGTTCAAGCTTGGTAAGTTTTGGTCAAGCTTATCAAGCCTGATAATAATATACAGGGGCTGAAATGCTATATCCACCCCATCGGACATGTCCTCAGTGCTCAACCAAACTTGGCAATCCAGGTTCTACCTTTGTAAGGGTCTACACTCTCCACAGAGGTATTCTACCAGCATATGACATTTCTTTATACTGTGGAGGTAAAATTTGTATTCTACTTGGGTACAACATAGCTGAATAGTATTATTCAGGCTGTCAAACCCGTTACTACCCCACGTACTATGTCCGCCATGCTTCAAGTGCCAATGCTACCCGGGAATATTATCTTGAGAGGCTGCCCTTTATCCAGGCAACTCAAACTGCATATCTAGAGGATCAACTCTGTGAGTTCTTTGAATATAATATGTGTCATGCCCAGTATGCCTTTCTTTCTATTGGCCTAAATATCCTTTAATATATCATAGTGTTTCAACCACCAACTTGGCCCGCATCTATAATGATCGTCTTGCTGTTACCCAAGCCTCCACTGGCATTGGCCCAAATTCTGCCTTGCTTCCAGAAATATCTCCAGAGGCAATTCTTGAAGGTTTTTTTTCTATATGGGTTACAACGCCGACTTGCTCGTGCTGTTCCACATCCAACTCCACTTCAAGTTCCTCATGGAGGTGTTCAGGAGCAAAGACTAGATCAAGCCTTGCATCAGAGTAATCAGCAGATAGCTGGCATTGGTCAGCCCTACTATTTGCATGGATGTCAAAATTGTGTCCAGTTTCTGACTAAAGATGATGGATCAACCAGTGAGTTTTTAATTTTTTTTTTAAATTTTTTTTTTTTAAATTTTTTAAATTAAATTTTTATTTTAGTCTATATCCGTGCAGGAACAACAGATGGTGTTACTCTTGGACATCCTTGTTGTTCAGTCACTAATTGTCAAAACCGTTTAATCTCGGTCAAGGACAAATTCTGCTGGGAGCATAGAGCTCAAGAAGGCATCTGTGCGATCAAAGACTGTTTTGCTCAAGCCAGTCCAGATCATATGACTTGTAGTCAGCCACTTCATCGTGCAGAAGAAAACGCTTTACGCCAGAAACAAGACTCTGCCTTTCGTGATTTGTCACGCCGATCAGCTAAAGGAGATATTCCAACAACACAACGCAGATCAGATCCGTTTCCTTTGTCCTATCTTGATGCTGATGATACATCATCAGCACCATCTACTTCAGCTACAGCAAAGCCTTTGCGCTTAGTCAGCACCCGCCGATGGACGCACAATGAGCAACTGTTTGTTCTTTGCTGTGGGGTTATTGTAGCTAGAGCTACATTTTTCTCTCATGAAGGTCCTGCCTCAGTCAAGGTTTTTTGCTCTATGTTTGCTCTTCTCATAGGCTAATCTCATACAGGACTTTCTTAAAAAAATATTTCCATCTCCCTGGCTTCTTCCTACCCACATTTTTTTTGACAAGGCCTGTCTTTTGCTCAAGCATATTCGGACACAACAGGACCAGTTCTTTGACTTTGTGCGAATTATCGTTGACGTTTTCCATGCATTCAAGAAGCATGATGATGACTTTTGCAACAATAATACTATTCCTTCTCTTTGCCCTGAACTTCGCACTATACGGGATAACAAACCTGTCTGGACATTCAACTCCTCCAATGCAGAGCAAGCCAATGTTTGGTTTGGAGCATTTCAGGCAATCACTAGAGAAATGACAGCACCACGGTATTTTATTTTATTTTTTATTATTTTTATTAATTTATTATCAATAGATATAATTTCTTTCTGGATGAAATGATTCTTATACGCAATGACTGGATGGTGCGCCATTTAGAGAAAAAAGGGTAAACAACCCTTTTTCCATAATGTTGAGAGAATGGAGGCTGACTGGAAGAGTACTTTCAATAATGTGGATTAAACTCTCAAGTTACAATTTCATGTGCTACTGCTACTTCAAAAGCTTCACGGGCTTGATGACATCTGCGTGCACGTCTTGTATTGCGTGAGGTGTCAGAACCATGTCCGCCCTCCGATGTGGCTCCAGCATTGATAGAGGAAGCACTAGGTAGCACAACAGCATGTTCTTCATTGCCATCAAACATACTAAGAAGAGTTGAATGCAGAGAAATAAAAAAAAAAAAAAAACGCACAAGAAAACGTTAACTTCAGTGTGGATCCCTACCCCATATAAGATGAACATGAAGTCAAAATCTCCCTTCTGACATTTGTCTTTAATCAGCTGGAAGCAAGGATGCAGACAATGTCCCTTGACATCATTGTCGCAGTGGACACAACTAATGAAGTTGCAGCAATGATAGCCTGTTAGTCCATACTTTCCGAAAAGGCCGAGTTCTGCGTCGTCTGTAAGCTGCCGATATTGTCTTGGAGCTCCAGAATAAATAGAACGGGCAGCCTCGACAAACAAGTCAATTGTCTAACACCAATCAGCTCAAGCACCAACTTGATTCAAGAACGCACCAAGGCCTGTCGCATCAAAGCTAAAATATCATGAGACGTAGCACCACTGTGACGCGGGCCAGCATTGTAAATTGACCCAGGAGCACCACCATTGGGTTGGCTGGTACCAAGAGATGTCATAGTCCCAAGATGAGACCATCGCGCCATGGTAGCTCTGCGTCTGATACCGTGAATGACGACGAGTCGATGATTATGGAGAAGAATTTGCAGAATTTCATCCGAGAAGGTATTAAAGCGTGCACCACCAATCTGTAAATGCTATAAGCATTCTACACTATTGGCCACAGTAAGCTTACCAAGCGCCGCTGTCGACCTTCACGCACATAGAAGCGAATGATGTCACGACCACAGCGAGAATACACGTGAGGACGGGCGCCATAAAATTTCTTGATTCCCAGTGCCTCTGGGGTGATATAGCATTGCTCTTCTGATTCCTGGTCGTCATCTTGAGTCTGGTAATATCCATGAGATGGGATAGCAAATGAAAATTATAGTCACCTTCCGTATACGTGGCTTCAACCGATCTCCTTCAGCAGCCCAAGTGACAGCATAGCCTGTGTATTTGCCAGCATTCTCGTTGACGAATACCTCCACAAGATGAACACACTTCTCGCCCACATCTTCCGACTCGCATTTTCCGCACGCATCATCAGTCCACCAGGTTGGCTTGATCTCCTCGTTGTCATCGAACATTATACTAGCCAGTTTTGCTTCCCGATCTGCCTTGGCCAGCTTCTTTGCCTGGACGCGTTTTCGGTTGTTGGACTTTGCATTTTTTCCAGGGGCAGTGTGTGCTGTAGCAGTAGAGCTGGGTGAGATATTGGCGATGTTCCGACGGGGGGTCAGAGGCGGAAAGAGCTGGGCATTGGCCTTCTCCACCAGATCACTCTGCCAGACAGTTTCCGTAATAATGGTTCGGACTCTCTCGTCAAGCCGTCCGAGCAACTGACAGGCTTCATCGCGAAGAGAGCTAAAGGTAGACTTCATAGGCACGATTGTTTGAATTCGATCCTTGCGTGGAATAACCAGATATCGGAATAGACCTCGATATAAGCTTCTCGGCATCCCATGTCTCCGACTTTGCCCATATAGACGACAGAGAGCTCTGGTCAAATATTAGTGTGAAACGGAAATCAAAATTGTGGCCTACCTTCTGTGCAATAGCTTGCATGCAAGGCTGGATCCACCGTTTCCAATGAAGCTTGAATGCTGATTGCGTGTATAAAGCAAAGACCGCCATTGGATCAAATGCCCAAGGTTGCATCTCCCGATTGTCACTCATGAACTCCAGGAACCGCAGTGCAAATTGAGGGTCAACAGTCGGGTCTACAAGATTTACCTAAACGCAAGTTAACAGCAATATTTGACTTCAATGAAGCTACCGACTGCTGTTGTTGGTGTGGGCTCAAAATCAACACTTAGCCAGTCGTATAGTAGAAGCTGATATGCCATCTTCCACCGGTACTTCCGGAAAGATGGCACCAAACAGGCCATTAAACGAATGTTCGAGAAGATTTCCAGAGTCGCAGATTTGGAACATGAGACGACGCAGCCCGGAGGACTGAGAGATGAGCTTGGATATTCAACTCACAAAAGCATTACATACCAAGAATTCCTTCTGAAACGTATTGGACTGGAACCTAGGTGCCTTAATGAGTCGCATGTATCGAAGATCACCAACACATTGCTCTACAGCATCTTCGAGGTGACGAATGCGGGGTACAAGTTGACCATGCTCCAGAACGTTGGAGTCCCAATGTATCATCTATTTCAGCTAAGTTACGCGGCAATGTACCACAAAATTTGTACTGGACTCACAGGAAAAAACAGATCTTG